CTTCGTCTAGTTTATTATTCTTTCGCTTTTGGCGCTTAGTGACATCAAGCACCGAAATCTTAGAGGCAGCCTTGCAATCTTTATAGTTCAACACGGCATTAAGCTGCAACTATTAAAGCAATGAAGGTTCGTTGATGGCTTAATTTTCAAAAGTTTCATTTCCTTCGTATCGAAAACATGAACTGTTTAAAATTTTGTCAGAAACATACGCACTGAGTCGTCTTGATCTAAATTTGGGTCATCTTGTCTTGTGAGCAATGTTTATATTCCTGTACACAAACGATCGTACCAGACCACTCTAGCAGTTTTCAAGGTTTTTCATGCAATTCATTCATTAATCGTTCTCGATAGGACAATGGAGTAATAAAAAGTTAATAATATTCACGATTCATTTAATATATTTCATTAATGCTAGTTATTTTACATTACTGGCATTAGTTTGTTTCTTCTTTACGTTTGATAGGTCAGTGACAGCACTTAGTACTCCCGTCACAACCAGTCGCCACAAGCACCCAGAACATTCGTATCATGTTTTCAACGGAGTTTCGGAAGAGTAAGAAAACACTATTTATAAAGCAATAACATATTAATCATCTGCTAACCTTTACGAAGATATTTCTATGATTAGTATAAATAATATGATGAAATATTCACCTTGAGACCGAGGCGCGGATGACACCGGGTGCCCATTAGGTTAGGTGTTAGTATCAAGAGCACCAGGGCATTCAAGCTCCCCTCGGAATTCCTTCTCATGGTCACACGTCACTCACTTTTGAAGTCGAACATCTGAAGATTTCATGTAAGCAATACCGGGGCATCTCGAGTATCCAGACCGTCAGGACAAAGGTGTGCACTGCGCAAGCCAGCTTTCTAGTGCTGGTATTCTATTTTTTTTTCTGAAGATTCCATCGTCTATTTCTTGTTCTCGAAAAGATTTCGCATTTTTTAAACGATGATTTTACTGACGCGAGTGTTAAAAGCTCAAGATGAAAGGAGCCTCGCCGACATCTCTAAATGTTTCGCTCAGAGCAATAGAAATGTCTCTATTTAACGTTCAGAATTCTCTTGCGCGTGAGCCACTGCGTACAAAGGTTGCTCCGCCTCCCCGATGGGCAGTTGAACAAACTTGCTATTCTATCGTCCCACAATCTTTGCTCTTATCTAATTTGGCTATTGATAATCGACTAGGTCTTCAAATATGATTTTGAAATCTTGTACCATATATTTGTGTTGGACTCATTTTGTTTTTACATCAGAATCTTATTTGTAGTTTATATCTATTGTATGCAGCTTAGTTGTATCTTGATTTTATTGTATTTCTGTAGCACTGGTGTTGTTATGAAAATATATTTATCCTGTGTCTGTGAAGCTAAGTAGTTGTGTTGTGTCGGTCGTAGCCATAACGTCTTCTAATTACTCCAGTCTCAGCCAGTCGTCTTCATACTCCAGTCTCAGCCAATCGTCTTCATACTTCAGTATCAGCTGGTCTTCTTCATACTCCAGTCTCAGCTAGTCGTCTTCATACTCCAGTCTCAGCTAGTCGTCTTCATACTCCAGTCTCNTAGTCGTCTTCATACTCCAGCAAGTTAATATCAACAAAATTCACCTAAATTGAGGCAAGCTGATGATTGTTGATGGAACTGATCGCTGAAGGAGCCGATATTTAATTCATTAACGATCATTGAAACTTTAGGAATTTTTGTATGTAATTTTCCTTAAATTTTTTTCTGCAGTATAATTCTTAATGTCTTGCTGTGTGGATGCTTAATTATGTTATTTAGGATTTTTATTGGCTCACAAAGCAAGAATTTTTTTTATTTCATGAAGTTCAATGTAAGTTATTCTAATGTAATTTACGCGGATACTAATCTGTTAAATTTCATTATAGTCCCAACAAATAAATTTGAAGAGAAAAGCATCCGAATGAACCGACATAGTTGCGATGTTAGTGAGCATTGAGCGCGTCAGTGCCCCGCTTGCGTTCTCACTCCTGCCGCTGCTGCGTCGCTCGCTAGTCCAGCTGGTAATGCATGTATCTTTTCAAAAATTTTCCAGATCGAACAATATTCTTCATTGAAACTGCATTTTTATCAACCAACGGCATCTGAAGAATATTGTTCCATCTTGAAAATTTTAATCAATGAATTCTCTGGTCATTAACCACTCGTGTTTAATAAAGCTTATTCTGCTATATTATTCTAACATACCAAAAATAGGTACGAGTTTGTGACTCCGTCAGCCAATCACTGAAGGCTCTTCAAGCTAAACCTACCAGTGACCGATCAAAAATCGTCCGATACATGTACTCAATTAGGCCGCTACATGTACTTGTCTGCTAAGTGTATTTAGGCTGCTATACGTGTACTTAGGTTCACTATATCGTTTGCGTTTTGGTATGTGTGGAGTGTTTGTTTTCTTCACGTTAGTTATTGTTGTAACTTCGACTGTCCCCGCGGCGGGACAGAAATTTCACGCAGAAGCTGTATTTGAATCTAAGAATTAATGCAATCTTTATTGGTTTTGAGTGATTGCCATACAGGACTATTCCACATGTATTCTAAGACATTTCCTGCATATATGTGATTAAATAATTTCGAAACGGGAAATGTAAATCTAGCAAAGTTGTAAAAAGCAGCCACTGCAGATTATTCAACAGCCATGAATCAATGAATTTTGATATGATTTTATGCAATCCTATAAGGTTTTATTCATGCGAATCAATTTTGTATAACAAATTATTTTGGGCAGAAATTAGCAGATAATTTTTTATTGTATGCTGATTCCAGATATCGGCGCATTGCTATATACTTCACAAGAATGATTGATATAAATTCCAGAATTATATAATTATGTCTGCCCTATATTGATATGAAAAAATATATTCATTTCTCAGGGAATATTTTTTTCAATTACAGGCGCAGTGATTTGTCTCAAAATATTTGATGAATTAGAATATTGCGTATATTCTCTTAATGGGTTACGTGTTCTATATATACATGTATATCGAATTTATCAGTTTCTTTTTTGAATGCATGGTCTTGTCTTTCTAAACTTCAATATTATCGTGGGGTATAGTGGCAAATAAAGCAAAGATAAAATGATAATGAAAAAAGTAAACGATAAATAACAGAAATCAAAATATAAATAATCCATGCGTTTCCTCAACTCGTGTTCTAATCTCGGATTAAAGATTCGAAGCCTTTCTGTAATGTAAAAACAAACCCAAATATAGGACTATTAATAATGAGCTAAACACTGAATGGAACCAAACACTACACACATGAATAAAGAACATATATACATATATCCTTAAATTAACGACAATTATTGAAGCACCACTCAATTTACTCGCACATTTTTATCACAAATATTATCAGAACCAATGCAATCACGTACCTCTGTGGTGGAGCTCGCAACAATGACAAAAAGTAAACTTTCATCAACGAAGTTATTATCGGCGAAGAATCAAAACTAAATTGACAAACTTCACAAATCCTATTGCAATCTCGTAAAATATTAATATTGATATTCGCTTGTAGCAGAATAAATTCTATATGATAATATTTTCGAACTTGCGCGCGACACAACTTATTCTACGGACCGTAGCCAGAATATTTCACTTGTGTTTCTGCAAGCCACGGAGCACGCAAACTTTGATAATCTTTAACTCCCAAAAATCACGCTATTATTTCATATAAACATTTCTACACGGAAAGTACCCAAGCATTCAAATGTTAATATGAAAAGGGTAGCGTAATACTAAGGTTTGTTTGGAATTACCCAGCAGTAGCAATTGTCTGCCCAGAGGTTATTATGTTTAATGAAACAACAAATAAATATTAACAGCAAATAATAGGTCTTCATATCACATCAGGACTGCGATATGATGGAAAGCGATAGCACGTAATTAATGGACGATAGTTGGAAGAAGATAGCCTTTAATAAACGATTTGTTAAAGACGATATTATTTGATGTTAACGTAATGTAAACGATTCGAGAACTTCTAGATAATAAAGTGAACAAAATAATTAAGGTATTGGGGTGCCATCTAATTGCTAATATTGCGAGACTATTCATATTTTAGTAATTATGATATAGTTTTGAGCTTAGGCTAACATTTCCAGGAATTAGATGTAATTAGATGTAATTTCGAGTAACACTTCAGCTTCAGTGTTATGCAGCCTTGCTTCTCATTTCACTTCTCATTAATTTCTGTTTCATTTGAGGCGATAGAAGTTTCCAACGAGAACTTCTTGCTAAACCGATGAAGACGCGGCAAGTTCTGAGTCACAATCACAGTCTTCAACTTAAATTCACGTATATACAGCACTCTTTTTCTAAGCATTAATTGGAACGGCAATACATGTAAAATTATCCATCGCAGAGGAGAGTTTTTCTGCGTGCCTGAACTCATTCTTGTAAGGTATTGGTAACCTGCTAGGATGCGCGTTTTATGTTCAAGCTTGACAACCTTTAATTGTAAGTATATTATAGCTAATGTAGGCACGGTGGCAGTATAGGCCTGTCTTGACCGTATTGCTTTGGACGAGAGCGGACAAGCCTTGTTCAGACCGCTCTATTTGAGAAACCTTACTTCAAAAAATAGTTCCTCGTGACGTAATTTCTAGTTATATAATCGCTAGTAAGACTAATCTTTTTGAACCTTAATTCTGTATTAAGTTTGTCTGTTCCCCACTTCGTCTTTGTCCAATAATAAGCCCAGACATCACTGCTTTTCCTTCATCTGAGATTTGGTCTAGTCTATATAACAGCAAATGCCAACAGACCTACATATATGCAAGCCCCCTGCTCTTTTGGGCACTTACAATTCTGGCATAGTAACTTAAATCGATCAAGCTTATCTTTTACAATAATCAGTTCAAATAGAATTTGATATTTCGTCAGCGTATGAATATTTACAAATTAGGCATATGTTATCTCGTTCTTCAAATAAATCCTAATGCAGCCAAGTGCCGACATGGCCTTGGTCAGTCATCAGTCGACATCACTCGGGTGTACAAGCTCATGTCATCTTCCAAAATCAGCACAATCCAGAAACTGCCTGACTGGAGCGTTGAAAAATCGCAACCTTACATCGGAAAGCCCTGACCACCAGAATGAAATGTATAAGACCCACCGTTCTTGGTACGTAAATAAAAATATTTCTATGAAGATTTTATAATGAAAGAATTATAGGTAGACAAGTTCATTTTGTGTAAAGTGATTTCATTCGAATACGAGTTTAAAATTTACATTGAGAGTTGTTGGATTTGATATTAGCGTTGTGAGGCAGCGGGGCATGTTCGTGATACGTTAATTAATATCTAAATATTTATCCTCTATTTGTTCTATAAACCCTTTGGAGATGCGGAGGAGCAGCGACGAGCTTCGTTTAATGCTAGAAGATATTTTGTAATTAAATTTCTTTATGTTGTGTGTGGATGTACAGCCATGATGGCGCTGATCGCAGCGGCAGCCGCGCTGCAAGTTGAAGGCCGCAAAATGTCGCCGCTCTCCTTCGTCCTCGGCATGCAGCGACACGACACTCGTCAGGATCTCACTAAACAACGAGCTCAATATATAGCTAAAGACTTTGTCAACAACGAGCCTGAGCTCACAGATCCGAGGATCGTCAACCGTGGTTATGATGGTATTCAAAATGGTTCAGTTGAAAAAGGAGACTCTAGTAAAATGGTAACCGACAGAAACAATGAAAATGTCAAGGTTATTGGGTCTCAAAAGACACATTGGGACGTCTCAAGAACATACCAACAACTCGGCGAACTCTTCAGTCAGTCGAACGGTGACGGGCTCGGTGCCTTCTACGAACAAACTGCTGATGATATACACTTCGGACTTTACACGACGTGAGTAACATTAATTATATCAAGTATTCTGTAGATGATATTCATATTAACACACGCTCACTTTATATTATCAGAAATTGGTTTTCCCGAACCGCGCAATTATGATCGTTCGGTCATGAACCCTGTCATAACGGCCTGTAAATTGATTATTTACTGTATATCGTCCATATATATATATATAGAATATATTCTGATCGAGTCTAGCAGCCTGATTCCGAAGATATACTGTAGCGGAAGGGTTATGTTTTCTCTTTTTTTTTTCTAAAGTCAATCTTCTAGAACAGATAAAAACTTGCATAGATTGGCACCATTTTTTATTGAACTTTTTATTTTATTGAACTCGTTACAGTTTTCCCAGTCAATATTGCCATACATAAAGCTTGTAATGCTTATTTTCTGTGAAATGACAGCAAGAATCCAGTAGAAGATGAGCGGCTGGTCGCGGCAGACTCAGACTCCCTGACGCAGTCTCACTTCGACGCCAACAAGCAGAGCGTCGTCGTCGTTCACGGTTTCACGGGGAGCTTAAGCGGTTGCCCGTGGATGGTCGACATAAAGGATAGCTTCATCAGGAAGGTTCTTAAATATTACAAAAATTTTTGCTTCTGAAAGCTCTGATAACTAATAATTAATGTGATCAAATGGTACAGTTCGTGTGCCCATAATGACATATAATACAGAGTGCAATAATTTTGAAGAAAATAATCTGAATCTTGTCTGTTGCAAGGACATGAATGTGGTCCTGGTGGACTGGGGGGCGCTGTCAGGCAGCGATCTCATGTCGTACTTCCACGTTGTTGAGTACAACGTCCCGTTCGTGGGCTTACAGCTCGCCGCGCTGCTGCAGGCCCTCAAGGTTTGGTATCGACAGATGTGCACGACTTAAAAAACAGCTGCCAAATGAATACACTGGAGGAGGAGCATAAATTTACGCTCAAAACTTCATCTTTGCTTGAAAGCCACGTGTGAAATATAAGTGATCCAGGTTATATAGAAAAACGTGATGACGTAATGCACACGAAAATTATTATATTGTAATACTTTTTCATCCGACTGTTTTATAGGTCGCATTATGTTATAATGAAGTGTGTAGCACTCGTCGTAAATCCACTGGATTCTAGGGCATTCTGATTTCAATTGAACTTCAAATTAAAAGGTTCAATTAACACCAGCTGATAAAATTAAGGTTATGCGTTTGTAAAATGTAAAATTTTAGACGAAGAATATAAGGATTTGAAATCTCTATAAGTTTACGGGCGCAATAGTAAACATCTAACCGTGCGCTGAAGGCCAATTGCATAAACCATATAAGCTGCATAAGCTGGAACATCACGAGTGTTGCGATCTGGTGTGATTTCAGGGCACAGCTAAATTATTTATTAATATATTAATTCAAGAGAAAAACATAATTACATGGTGCATAACTGAACAGTGGATTAATTTATTGTGATATTTAGTCTCAGTAACGATCAGAACGTGGGGCACAGCAGTCGCGGAGACCGACATTTGTGGAGAAAGCAGGATAGCTGCACCCAGTCTTAATATTGACAATATTATATAGTAATCTCGGATATTTTCACTGTGAAATATAGATTGATATTTATTGGCGTGTGCTCAAAAAATGTACAAAAAATGTAATGAATTAAAAAGGTTGTTTATATTCATGCAATCTCCTTAGATTAATTATAATTCTGGTAATTCAATGAACAAATTATTCACCAGGAAAATGTTGGCTTATCGGAAGACAAACTTCATCTCATCGGCTTCAGCCTCGGTGCCCACGTTTGCGGATTCGCTGGCAAGAATTTTCGCAACATTTCGAGAATCACCGGACTAGATCCTGCAGGTCCGGCGTACCAATCAGCGGACGAGGACCGCAGGCTTTGTGCCTCGGACGCGAACTTCGTGGACATCGTGCACACGGACATGGAGGTGCTTGGGTTCAGCGGCCAGCTCGGCCATGTTGACTTCTTCATGAACGGAGGCCTTGACCAGGGATGCAACATGTCGTGCAGTCACGCGACGGCGTACGAATACTTCAACTCGAGCATCTGGAACATACCCGTGCTGGGCTACCAGTGTGATGACGAAAATGCTTTTGAGGTAAACGCTATCATGAACCTGACTACCAGAGGGATAATTAAAAAAAACCTGAATGTAGTAACTACCATTTCATGAAAATTATAAACCTAACACACACAATTCCTTCATTTTTGACGATAGCTAGGAGCTATTAGGTTATATAATGTTGATAATGAAAATCAAATTAGAAACATTCAAATGAATATTTTTTGATGATGCCTTATATTTTTGCAGAGAGGGGAATGTTTCAATCACCCTTCGAACTATTTTGGCGCCAACGCAAACCCCGACAAGCCTGGAAACTACTACATGATGACCATAGTATGACATCATGACATGCTAGTAACCCATTCTGTTTTCTTTTCTCAAAACATTATTTCTTTGTGCTAACTAAATCAAAACCACACAACAATGTACTGTTTGGTTTCATACTTTACAAGATAGATATTATATATTATAAATTAATTATATTATAAATAGATATTACGATTATGACGAGAAGAAACGGGCTAATTGTTTCGCAGCACGACGACATCGTCGGTACGGGCAAACTAGCCCGCCACTCTCTGGCTGAGGTGCAGCTGCCGGCTGGGCAACACAACGTATCACGGATACGCGTCAGCTTCACGGCGAGCGTGCCTACGGTGACCGGGGGCACTTTCCACGAAAAGAAGTCCATCATGTGAGTGAATTTTGAAATGAATCATTAGAAAAAATGAAATTTATGGTTGAATTTAAACATGTACGAATTTCGATTGTTGAGATGACAGTTTTTAATATTTTCACTCGTTGATTATTTATTTCTGGGTGCATATGATTGATGTGAATGATGGATGCTGTTTGGTCCATAGAGCTCAATTAGGAAGGACTGGATCGGTTTAAAAAACGTTCTGCGCCTTAAAATTTCATTAAAATTAGTCTTGTTCGTTTCTACACTAATTTCTACAATTATCCTACAACGCTGGCTTTACGTACAATGTTACGTGCTTCATGTCTTATTTTGTTGCAGAGTGGATAACAAGGAGACGCTGTCACAAGTGCTGGTGACACCCTTAAACTTAAGTGTGAGAGACGTCACTGTCAAGTTAGGGTTCGATCCTGCCTTTGGAACTGAAATAAAAAAGTCTTTCGTCTTACCATCGATTTCATTCCAGGACATCGTAACTGGCGAGTAAGTACAGAACTTGAGTATTGATTACACTGGAGGTAATGTCTTTAGTTCAGGATGCTAACTTGTTGATTGTTGTGAACATACTAGTAGTGAAAATTTTTACTTAGGATGGCTTGTTTCAGCTTATCAGGCATTCTGGATCATGAAAACTGCGAGGTGCACTTCTCTCATATGCATCAAGTAAAAGCCTATTTAAACGCGTTTATTTTTTTGTGATTTTTGTTGACTGGGTTTTATTTGCCTCGGACTATTTGCTCTTAATATACATTAAACGCGTTGTAATAATTTTTAATGTATTTTCTATTATTTTGCCTTCGCAGGAAATTCTTCGCCTGCAACGTCACTCTGAAGCCTATCCATGGCACGGTCGTGACGCTGCAGGAAGAGCCGTGTGCCGCTCGCTTCTAAACTTTAATAAAATATAATAGGTACATAAAAAAAAGTTAGTCAATGTGCTATCAATATATGCAAATATTGCACTTTCATCAGTCACATCAGATCGGTTCTGAATGGATCTGGAGGCAGCATCTTCTGTTTTAGTATAGCAACTTATTAAAATTTTCTATGAACGGCAGAAAAAACAAGTTATAGGTACAACAATGCTGGTTCTGGCTTAATTCTTTATTCACTGCAATGTTTTTAACGTACACAAAAAGTGACCCGGTGATTTCCTGTATTGATTCAAATATATTATAACATTTTATAAATGTTGTATCGGTAAATAAGACGTTCATTCAGTTTAATTACAGTATAAGCGCAACTTTTATTGAATGACCTAGGGTAGAAAATGCATACTCGCGATACTCGTAGATAAAAAGCCAGTAATTCATGTTTTCTGCAGATTAAGATGTGCACAGAGATCCCCGTTTTAATTGGAGCCTTTTTGCTCTTTTTTTACTTCGTAAGGATGATGTACATGGGATTTTACAATTAAAGAGTTCATGTTGTAATTTAAATCGTCTCATTTAACTATTTTACTTAATAAGAAATCAGCATAGAACAGATTTTTTTGACGTATGTGCAGTACAATTCGGTCTGCTCTAATACAAGTCTAAATACGAGAAAGGGTAGTACAATCTACCAGTGAGACTAAATAGACACAATTTGAAAGTTTAAGCCACGAATTCCGAGGAAAGTTACAAGGAAAGTGTTCGTGACGCAAACGGTCTGGAATATCACGCAACATTAAGCCTATGCGGCCACTTCAGCACGCAACGGCTGACCACCTAAATTGAGTTTCTTGTAATTCCACGGCCGTCGGTGTTACAAAAGACTTATGCGCTTCAGATTTATTATTTTTATTCACTAGAGGTCAACTGATAATTCCCAAAAATATTCCAACTTGCCATGTATCGGCAGGAAGGTAGACCAGTCTCGTGGTGAAACCAGGCACCAAACAAGCAAACACACTTATTTGAAATAGTTCCTCGAATCTATTCAGGACCACAGTTCCCCAAGGATTGGACCAAAATTTGAAATTTAATTTAGAAGACAAATTAAAATTTGTTTCTTACATTATGTGACGAGAGCCACGTGAAAATTGCGTTTGAACAGTTTTTTATTGAAATATCTTACATCAGTTTTAATCTTTTAAATTAGCAGGATTCAAGGTTAAACAATTTTCAGGAATAGTAGATCCCGAGCAACGACTGGCTGACCGAGCCACATATTAGCAGTTGGGCGCGTATCCACGATACTTACCCATCTTCCCGATATGTCTCTCTCCGGGAAAATAATTTTCAACTTAAATTATACGTAAACTATTGAGTGTAGCAACCTGAGGAGGTTTAGTACGCAACAGAGAACATTTTAAAGTTGTCGTACGTGGCGACAGCCATCAGTTCAAGTCATTTTGCGCTCACTTGAACGTATCCTTTTTTGGGAAGAAGGGTTACATTCGACAAACGATACAAAGCCAAGGATTTCTAGAACAAAAGCTATGACATTATGTCCCGGTGCGAGGCAACAAATTATTTCGTCGCCAAATTATCTCGTTTTGGGTAGTAAATATTTTTGTGTTGAATAAATAAGAAATTCAAAATCGATTATCACCCCTGAAGTGTTTCACCGCGAAGGTCCTCGACAGCCACCGAAGCTCTGTGTGCACCACAGGTGAATCAAGTGGAGCCGACACTAATATTATTCCTTCTCGATAGATACTCCCTGATATACCTCAAACTCTCTAACTACCATACAGTTTCAAGTTTGATACAAGTTTAAATTAATGCCATATTGTGGGGCGCTGTGAAAAAGCACCATAAAAATCTTGTACATTTACATTCGTAGCAGTTTAGGTTCATGGTGATCTGTCTCTCGTCTGATGACGAATAACTTTAATTTCTGCCATCATAATGATTTGTAACAAAAAGCCGCGAGTAACAGAAACAATTTCAACTCAGACGCGAAAAATGTTAATATAAAATTATATGAATGATTTTCTGTCGAGCTAAAATTACAGAATGTCCTGTAATAAAAGTAAAGAATAATGTATCTAGAATGTCATTTTCGTTATGATGACATCCAATATAAGCGCTCTTTGTCCTCGGTTGACTTTAAATGGCACCAGGATTAGGAATAGGTGGGTAATGAATCGCCATGGATCCGTGCCAGCCTGGCTTCTGGACACGTAGAAATACGGACCAACCTGGCTTCTAGATACGTAAGGATACGTCCCAGCTGGGCTTTTCGATACGTAGAGATACGGGCCAGCCCGCCAGCTGGGCTTTATACGTACCAGCTGGGCTTTTACTTAGAGCTGGGCTTTTACCAGCTGATACGTACCTGCTGGGCTACGTACCAGCTACGTACCGAGATACGTACCAGCTGGGCTTTTAGACACGTGGAGATACTGTACATGCCAGCCGTAACGTGTTCTTCACTAAAGCATCAAAAGTAAGCAGATATGATCATTTTTGGAGCCCTGTCATTACATGAGGTTCAATTCACGCCTTGTTGGCGCCTGAGACTCTCGCTCTCGTCGCTTTCCACGCGTCCCGACGATCACGCGAGGTTCAGCAGCGCCATCGCCTGCATGCGCGACATTCGAAAGGACGGAGAGTTTGGGGCCCCGCAGCCCACGCGTCAGGACAGTCGCAAAGTTGGTGTCGTCTTCGGTGCAGGTGACAACTTACCTCGAGGCCATCATGGAGTGAAGGGTAAACGTGTGACTGCTAACGAACCTGGAAAATAAATTGCCCATTGAATAAATAATTAATAAAAACGACACTGAAAAAATAGACAAATAATTGAGGAACAGTAAGCAATATATTATGGGTTTACCGACCCAGGTTCGGAGAGTTAAAAGAAGGAAATCGAAGACGATCAACACCATGGATGAATTTCACGCTCCTACCCCTGTCTCTTATACACATCTAGATGTGTATAAGAGACAGAGGAAGAGCCGTGTGCCGCTCGCTTCTAAACTTTAATAAAATATAATAGGTACATAAAAAAAGTTAGTCAATGTGCTNTGATGCTCTGGCAATGGTGAGTGGTGTGATGCTCTGGCAATGGTGAGTGGTGTGATGCTCTGGCAATGGTGAGTGGTGTGATGCTCTGGCAATGCTTCCCTTATGTAGCTTCACTCGTTACCATTACTGTCTGAAAATTCTTACAATTCTAATTAAATATCAGTTTGCAATTTACCTTCACCAAATTACAATAAAGAAGTATATGCATCTCAGGAATAATATTAACATTTTGGCTGGCCTCAAGCTGACATCAATGTTTCAAAACCTCAATCGTTAACGACAACCACGATAAAAAGTGAAGTAATTGATATTTTCACAATGGTTGCATTGTATTCACAGTCAGAGATAACACATAATTGCAAATATTTTCTCACTATTTAATACCAACCGCTATACCCAACATGATAAGTTGGGAACGAATAATTGTTGTAGGTCCTTTATGCACTAACAAATTTTGCGCCATGGTTTTAATGTATTAGCTACAGTTAATGGAAAACATATTACAATATGTTATTAAATTAAGAGTGAAACATTTTATCGCATTGTTGACATGACGGACATGTGAATGACAGCCAGGCAACAGCAGAGCTTTACTGGACTCACCAAAGTAACCAAATGCAAGCCCAATTCTTGCATTGGACGAGATCGCGTGAGTCGAACGATTGGCTGCCGCTCCAATTTTACCGTTCGTTCCTGTTTAAGATAGTCATCTGGGCGCCCGTTATTCAATGAATGGCGCCTTTCACTGTAAAGTTGGCAACACGCAAGTCGATTTAATGGCCAGCAATGGTTAAATAATTACCATATTAGACTAACGAGTTTGCGTCATAGAGAAGCAGGTGAAACTCAATCTGTACAGTCGGAATGACGTGGGAAAAATGTTAACGAATTTCACCGTGAAATGAAATCCAGATTACGCTCCAAATAATTGAACTGCATGACAAATGAACTAGAATTTGTCATTTCGTTTTTAGAATTAATTCCAATATAAAGAATTTTTATTTAATTTTAAAAGAAGAATGGCAATGAATTGTTTACAGCATCTCTGTGAGCAATAATTGACAATCATTTCTCGTCGTGTGTAAAATAGTTAAATATTTTAATATAATTGGTTGTTGCTAAAGCGAACTCGCATGCAGAACCATGAGTGTAAACTCGTATCAATTTTGAACAACATGTTGATGCTTCGTGAAAGGAAAAGTCCTCACCGAACTCTCGAGATAACTCTGGGAAACAAGCACGTGTCGGCAGACACACGATTACGCTTCTTCACTTCCGTCCTGAATTACGCAAGGAACTCATCTCAGCTGCGTGACATGGCGCTCGCTGCCGCGTATCAGCTCTCGTCATGTATCTTGTTGCCATACAACCTTCTCGCATTGTTATCATATTAATACGATATTTCGAGGAATTGAATGCTATTTTAATGGCAACTTTCATCTGATGTTATATTATGATGAATACATTATATGAAAAATAATATACATAGTTAAAAAAATCAAGCAGAGGTTAACAGTGTCTTGAGGCCGATATAAACGCTACGTTTTGATCTGCGCAGTCTTAAAATGGAGTGAAAAGGTTGCAATTTTTAGAGCGTCCACACGGTACAGAGATATTTAATTGTATTTCGCTCAGTTTTGTGTGATATCGTCATGAAGAAGGTACTACTGTGGTAAATTCTGGTATTGTGTTTTGTTAAAAAGAAAAGATTGGAAAGTTTCGGAGGTACCCTGCGTTCTGGGTGGTCGCGGACGTGGCTTCTTCAATGGCAGTTTTTTTTTTCATATTGGATTACTGGAAAAAAATNTGTATGAAAACTGCAATATCACCAATTTACAGTAAACACTTCTCAATGAATCGATTTTTTACAACTACTTCTCTGTTTGCAGTTGCATCGATTGCTTTGCATTTATCCACTGAACTCTCATATACGTATAGGCCTCCGAGAGTCAGCCACTGTCGCCTGACGAATCGAAAATTAGGAACAAAATGAATCGGAAATCAGTGCTACGTACCGTCCACACGCGCTAACTTGTCGGCACAGTTTCAGGAAATCTATGCTCTCAAGCTCAGTCATCAGTGCAACTTTGTAGTCTTTCCGACGGACCCAAAACTGCGCAGATTTCCAGTCTGCACGCAACGTTCTATCTGCAACGTGTTGAACTGTGCAGTCGACAGAAGGTTTTGCAAAGCGTAGCTACTGGACCGGCTTTGAAGTTAAGAAAATGTGCACTTATGTGAACTAAAAACTTTTAAATTATTTCGCACTGCAATTTCCACGAAATCCGAGAACGCAAACAAAATATTTTACCGATAACTATTGATCTATAACCAGACACAACTGCCACCACCGATAACTATTGTCAGGTTTACCAACGTAATTTTAAGCAATAAAAATATTTCTAGGCATCACGAGATTACAGAACACGACCAAGAAAAGAATCGATACACTTTATGAGTGAAGATGTATTAAATACGTGCACGTAATAATTATTTTTATTTTGTTTGCAGATGGTCACGTGTTCGTTTCAAGAAATCCGAGCAAATGATCTTCAAGAAGCCGAGGAACGCCAGTTGCTGCCGTCGCCTCTCGAAGTGGGCATACGAATGCTGGACGAATTTGGCAATACTGTCAGTCAGTCCTTGCAAGGTCTTTTGGGTGTCACTCAAGCAGAAAAACCCCAGAAAATGCCTAAAACTCCTTCCCAATTCCTCCAAACCAACTCTATTGCTGACTCGAGATCTCCTCCGATCGCCTCCACTACTTGGTTGCCAGAATTTCCGACAGCTCACCCGGCGTTAGCTCCTGCCCAACCACCAACCCAAAAAAACTTTTTCTCAACAAATCAATTGAATTCTCCAAGTTTTGTTGAAACGAACCAAGATACATCCACAGCGGTTTTCAACAATGCGAATGGTATTCTCACACAAAACGCTGTTTTGCGACAGTCTCCTCATCTGGATCCTGTGTTACTGTCTAATCCAAGTTCTCAACAAATTTTTTTGTCGTCACAACAGGTAGGTCAGGCTCAGATTACCCACTCGAATGGTAAACCACCGGGTGCACAGAATGGTATTGCCGACGGGTCATCTGCTAAAAATCTCTTGACGTCTTCCTCATCAGCAAATGCAGCACCACAAACTGTGTCACCAGGAGTATTTCCTGACTATATGTTTCAGCTGCAGCCACCTTCTCAGAAAACTCTAGCTCCCGGATTCAACATCCAGCAACCAGTTTTTATCGAAACAGAAAACAATCTTCAGCTTAATTCTGCTGCCATTTCGTTAATTTCAAACCAGCATCACAATTCGTCAGCTTTGGTGTCTCATCCACAGACGGACCATTCGGCATCCGCTTTAACAGGAGAATTCAGCACATTTACTAACGCTCAAATGCCGGGCGTTGCATTAACGATTCCTAATAGCATGCTCGGAGAAAACAGATTGAGAGAGAAAAACAGCCATCTAATATCTACTACGAAAGGAAAGACTGTACTTCAGTCACCTCATTCATTGCATGATCATAGTCATAGTGGCGGAGAACATCAACATAGCCATCTTCATGATCAACATAATGAGCATGTACAGCCTCACATCCACGAAAACGTAGGGTTATTTTCTAAATCTCCTAATATTTTGACCACCGAGCAGTTGTTATCAAAATTATTAGCATCCTCAGATCAAGGAGTTAACATTCCCTCAGAAGCTGTTATTCATCTGAACACAGGTAGCACAGATGAAGATACAGAGGCGTTGTCCTTCAAAGAAATTCCAAAGAGAAAACTTAAACAAAAATTGCATTTTGGAGGTTGGGTAGGAGTGCCCCAGGAAAAAGCATTCCTCAATGAAAATACATTTAAATCGATATCAACTTCAGGCTCTCATCTTGCAAGCGAGTCTAATCCAGCTCAAAATTCAGTGATTCAACATATACCAAAGCTCGAACCGATATTCGTACCTCCAACGCAAATGGTTCCGCCGGATAAAGACCCTAGTGCCTCTTTTGCAGGTTCAATTAAAAATGAGGTATGGGATCCAAATCGCATGAAAACACTGGCATTTAAGCAACATGATAACGTGAGTAATGACAATTCCCCTTCCCATGGGGCAGATTTGTCTTTTCCAGCTAGAAACTCGTTATCCGAAAGCAAATTTTTAAGTGCTATTGAATTTCTACAGAAAGGCTCCACTGTCAAAAATGATGTGAGAGATCAAGCTGCTCATCAAAAGGTTATGACGCGCCTAAGACCTCATGTACAGGGGCAAAATTCTCAATCGATTGTTAACTTTGACCCAGCTCTGTTCGGAGTCCATCAAACTCTGCAGCCACCTGAGCTCGGCAACTCACTCAATCAATTTCGGGCCAGCCTTCAAGATTCACAGGCCAATTTTCTTGGAATTACCCTCGCCGATGAAACTGACGCCAAATCTTTTAATGCCCTGTTGGCGGATGATTCTATAACGCTAGAGCATGATGACGATACAGGAACATTTTCTTTCACTCAGGTTATTGACAACGCCAACCCAGCTCAGGTGGAGGAAGCCCAACAGCTGATCACGGCGATCCCAGCGATAAATATCTCTGAGATGTTACAGTCAGATATCAACTCCACTCATGCATTTGATACTGAATTAATTCTTAAAAGTCTCTTATCATTCCGTAAAAAGCCTCGGCGAATTCAGGATTTCAATCCCCAATCCGATTTCCTTCAAGACTTCCCTAACCACCTATCGCCCTCTGTTCAATTGAATTCCTTCGTCACGCCACCTAGTATCCAATTGGTTGATTTATCAAAACTAAATCATTTCCAAAACAAACAGGGTCCTAAACAGTCATATTTGCAAGACTTAAGCATACCTGCTTTTGAGAAGGCTTCTTCAGGTCCAAATTTAGGCAATGAGTTCGCAATAAACAGAGCGAGGCCTTCAATGTCAAATGAGAGGAGGAAACGACACGAAACCAGGCTCAATAAAGTTAACAACGATTTAAAAAGTTTTTTAGATGTCCAGGATGAGGTATGGAAGATAAATGAGCCTTCAGATTTACCAAGACTTCCATCGATTGGCATGTCGCCTCCCCCGTTGCTAGCCGACACCAACCCTTCGAGAAGTCCTCCAAATTTACAACTTCAGTCTCCCCCAACCAATGATCACATCGGGCTACAAAATTCTTTCCAGACTCTTTCACCTTTAGTTGCGCTTTCTAACTTATTCCAGCCTAACTCATCCCCTCCTGAAAATATCACTACAAACCATAATGACGGAAAACAATTGCTTGTTCCATCTGTAAATTTGGAGCCGCCGATCGAGGAGTCGCGCTTTCGGATTACACCAAAGCCAAGTCATCAGTTTGGAGTTTCTTTGGGTTCACATTTGCACAATGTGCCAACGATAACATCATTGAACTCAGAACACGTGCTGTCCCCAGAAAATTTACCACTACATCAAACTGATTCTCAACCAAACTCTGCTCACACTTTGAATTTGCAAAGTCAAAAAAGAACGGCTGAAAATAACCAGCAAAATCCACTTTTCCAAGAACAGTTAGCAAATTTTCCCACCATAATTGTGTCCACGGGCTCTTCTCAACAGCAGCAGACGTTTGGAAGTAGCCAAAATGCCTTTCAAAGTGCAACCTTCAACCAGGGTCATAATACAATAACTGCTTCGCCATCGTTCGCACAAAATCAATTCAGACTAAACGATATCCAAATTTCAAGTCCAAATAATCATGGTGGTAACAACATTATTGGAACAGAATTAATTTCTCACCAATCGGGCACGCACGGCAGCGCATTTGATTTCTTGCAGAATCCACTGCCATTATTGCAACAACTCCCAGTGTCGTTGATTCAATCGACGACTCCCAGAACCCAGTTTGAACCCGTGTTTCAGAATAGGCCCAGCATTAATCAACCCAACAACGATTTTATAAGGACGTTAACTGGTGTTGGTGGGCAGTTTTCTCATAGCATTAATAGTCAGAAAGCCATTGGAGGAAATTCTATAAGAGTTCATGATTTAGGTACAAATGGAGTTTCTTTCAATAATCAGTTTCAAGTCTCTGGAAATCATCCAGTAGAAAACTTAGAACCAATCGAGACAAATACAGCAAATTCGATTCCTGAACAAGCAAGTACTTTCAATCCTATCCGCTTACAGAATTTTCGGAGTCTTTCTCAACCCTTTGTTCCCTCGGATAGTTTGGAATTTCCTCAAGAAGATCAAACGACTGGTCAAAGCTGGTTCAGAACTCACTCAAATCAGTCGACGATCAGTGGACCGGGAAATTCTAACAGATATTCTCACACTTCTCTTCCAAGATTTGTACCTGTTGGTTCAAACATTGACATCAAAACCCTTCCAAGTTCTTTGCCCGGACTAACGTCGAACACTGTATTAGGAAGGATTGAATCGAACCCTGTGAATCATGAAAACATCACCCCATCTACCTCAATACCGCCATGGTCTCGAAGATTCCGAAACCGTTTCGCCACTACTTTAGCTCCGGCACAAGCAGCTCTACCTCAAAATTCAGAAATCGATTTTGCACCGGGCATCAACGGCAATATTGCCCTAACCCAAGGCCCCGTCACATTCCAACCGCATGTAAACGTTGGTCTCGCATTTACACCCTGGCCGAAAAGACTACAAACGACTTCATCGACGACGACCACGGCAAGTCCACCAGTTACCTCATCACAGACCAGTAACTTGAGGTCGGATATTTTATGGCCATCATTCAGGGAAAGTTTCGCTCAAAGACCAACAATAACGACTAAAACTGTACCGCAACCGTCATCCTTAAAGCCTGAAACGACTACAACTCGACACTCAATTTTCGACGCTTGGTTGAGGGCGTACCAGACAACAACAACTCAGGCCCCTGCTGCTGAAGAACTAATCGAGTCCCATGTGAGTGACGTGCAAGTTCAAAACGGCAACGCTCAGTTCAAAAGCATCGATCAGTTTCAACCACAATTTCAAACGCAGAGGCGTAAGCGGCGGATCCGTAAAAAGCCACTTTCAAGACCTGAGGTTCCTGAATATATGGCTCAGGAGACAATCGTGAGACCGGTCACCGTAACTCATCTTGAGAACACAACGAAAGAGGAGTTGGAGACTGCTGCATTACCTGAAATATTATCAACGACTATCACCGCTGCACCGTTGCTTGAGGAAGAGGCAGAAATTTCGGCGTCGTCTAAAATCCGCGAAAAAAATATGTCTGATTCAACTGAAACGATGTTGAACGAAGATTTTGCTGTCGTTAGTACCAGTATTGATGATTGACCGAACTCACGCCTGATCTTCCGCAAGATTTTTCGTATTAAATAGCTGACATATTCATGATATTTATAACTTTGTAAAAAATAGCACACCTTTTCTTTAGCTCTGAGATTAAGTTGTGTTTTTTCAAGTATTGACTCTAGTATAGGAAGAGGTATGAATGGAAGACATTTCCTGCAATAAATATTGACCATAGAAGCTACATTAAATGTTGAAGAATATTATTATCTTTTAAAGTAAGAGAAGATTATTATGGGCAGAAATTGCTATAATCTTGTAGAAAATTGTTTTTTTTCTAGAAGAATTAAAAAAGTTTCTGATGTCATAAGTTATTTAAAATACGCATTAAATTTATTATCATATGTTTCTAGGCATGCGAGTCAAAATTACACTTGGAAATGGAGCGTGTTTACATATCCTGATGTACGTATATTGAACAAGGGATAAAGAACGTAAATAGTGTCCACAAAATCGAGAAGATTTGCCTTCATGACAACACGTTTTTATTGGTACGAATGTTTGACCATCATCTAGCCTCCAGACAATTCATCAGAAAACAGTGTACCAACAGAATTTAAGCTGATAGTACAAAAGTTTGCAGCAATAGGTTGACACGAATATTGCTAAAATGTTCTAGCAAAAATTATTGAAAAACTCCCACTGACCAAATTTCTGTTATCGACAAATGTTTGCTTGGTGATCTATTTTTTGATTTAAGTTGGTTCAGTAGTCATGGTTATTTGAGAGGCAGATCGTTTTGAGATTAATATGAATTTTACTGAAATTGCCGAAAGAATGTTTAAGAATTCGAACGATTTACAAAGAGCTTTATAGTTTATTGATCTTTATAGGCATTGATCTATAGAACTCAGCTACGAACTTACGAGACGTAACATTTATCATGGAAAAATACAGTGATGTGAATTAGCAAAGAATCTACAACCATTTCATCTCAATAAGAGTGAGAAGCAAATATCAGGAAACAGCTTGCACGGCTCCCAGGTGGCTACGATAAGCGGTCGATGCCAGGCCGCTGCTGCGAACGATCGCTAGTTTCCTTGTATCCATTATAGGCTTCACCAGGGCAGTCATTGTCATTCCAGAAGAGCACTTGTTAGGGGTGGTTATAATATTAGTAAAATTTGAGCTTTTTAAGATTCGCCTAAGACTTTCTAGATCAGCATAAAAAACATGCGACAGCAATCAATGTTTTTGAATTTTTTATTTAAACTTCTGCATCGGTTGCAAACAATCCAGGGGCCATACTTTCAAAATTTGCTAAGTTAACGTAAGTACTTACGCTCTATTTTCTTGTCCATGATTGGTGGATTTTGCTTGAAAGGCAGTCAATGATTGGCTGATGAACTTACGATCTCTTAACTTTTTTTGAAAGTATAGGCCCAGATGTTATTCACATAAGTGGAAGCAGAAAATGCAGAATTCAAACTTAAATTGAAATATTTTTTCTATGGATGAAATTTTAAACTGAATCCTATATTGGAATGTGATAGACCGGTGCAACAGTGAATATAATGAAGCACGTAATAACTTGATTAAGGTGAGTGTCAGCATATTTATGGCCTCTTCCTCTCATATCAGATTGATGGAACGTTTGATTCATTGCCAGCCCGGAGACAAGTTAGGTTAGTTGAGGCAATGAGTGCGATATTCAATGATTTTTGTGAGGAAAAAGTGTAATGAAACGGAAATAGGGAAATTGAGTGCGATGTTCAACAAACCTTTTAGGTTTTCTCGTTGAAGCTTCTTGCACCATGCTTATTTTATGAAACGTCACTAGTTCGCCAACATTACACATTTGGCTACAATAAATCCCTTCCGTACGAAGACTCCACCGTAACTCTAATTAACTACGAAAAACATTTTCAACGGCACTGAAGTATCAATATGGTGGCGACTAAGAGATAGTTTTGTTAGTACAGTTTACACTGGAGGAAAAGAGGCGCTATCATCATCATGGAGCGCTAAAAAAGCCTCACGTCCCATTAGCAATCGCAGTGAAACAATTTGAGTGAGGTTTTAAATATATAAATTACATACATAATTTCTTCATAGTTCACGGTCCGTAAAATTCTATCAGCAGTAACTTTGTTATAAATTTAAACACTGGGAACTCAAAATAGTTTAAAACAACTGCTTGCGGTTCAAATGAATGCAATTACCGTAGAGAAGACATTATAGACTGGGTTGGTTACTACCTATATTGAGTTGAATATGCTATACCTATAGAGGGCATACTATTACTAATACTATAGTGGGCAGAATATGCTATACCTATAGACTGGGTTGGTTACTACCTAGGCAATATGCTCACTTTTACTGCATATCTTTATGTAACATTCACAATGTATTTATTATTCTAGAGTTTTGGCCGAATCAAAATGACTGAAAAAATTTCATTATTTATAGCAAATTACACTTCTCTGGCTCATTGGCATAAAAATCTTAATTGTTATCGTATTTGTGCGACAATAGAGCTGGTGGAAGGTCCTGAGGGGAAGCAGCTGAAAGAAGTTGTAGAAGCTGCAGACAGCGAATTGGCACCTCGAATAGATCCCTGCGCCGCCATCGGACACATACCCGCTCAATTCGACAAGCATGAAATAGACAAGCATATAAAAAATGAAGTCGTAAGTCATAAATACAAATTTCTCATTTATGAATATGTTTATGGTGAACGAATGGGTGAACCTTCTTCTAAATTCAAATATCTTCATATTTTAATTTTTTAGAATTTCTTAGCACTTGAAAATACAGGGTGATTCATGGAAACGTCCAGTTTTTTATTTCGCTGCAAGCAGCAAGATGTTGAAGGAAAGGAGCGGGGAGTATTTGATATGAAAGGCAAGGTCATGACGATTGGTGTTCCGCTTAGTTAATTCCACTATGCATTGGACAAGTGAGCAGCGTGCGTTTGCTGTCGAAGCGTACTTTTCTAATGGCCGTACGCTACTCGCTACATAACATGCATTCCGTACACAGTTCCGTATTCGTCCTTCAGGTCGGGGTCTTGATCGGAAGTAGATTATTTCGTGCTTAAAGCCAAGTTATACCCTTGAATCTAAGCCATCGCCAACATACCCGTCAATATGCTTCAGGAAGTTGAACGGAGCTTCACAAATCGACTAACTGAATGCATTAACAATGGAACTGTTATTTGTCCCATGTCATCTTTAAAACTAAGTGATACAAAAATTCAGGTAATGTCTGTTTTGATAAAATTTATATTGTAATGATATCTTTACCAGATTTTTTTTATTGAGGTTCCATATCAGGAAATTTCCGTGAATCACCCTGTATCAAGGACTGGAAAACTTCGGATGTTCCTTTTTGCTTGTGATTGAAGGTAGATGCAAATACTCATAATCAATAACACAAATGGTATTTTTAAATGACTATTTACACAATTCCACTCAACACGGGGAAAACTGGGTACGAATAATTTTCACCATCTTTTTATTATGTACTACCACACAGATTTACCTTCTAACTAAGAAAGTAATTCGGGGAGAAATTCTTATTACGAAGAATTTCGACTTTCGTTTCGCACTTTAAAAAATATATAAAAAAATATAACTCAGTACTCACTGCAGTGAGTGACAGAGAGCGCATTTTCTCGTCGACGAAAACCTGAGGTCACGGACGGACGGACAGACAGACAGACAGGCAGACAGACAGACGGACAGACGGACATGGCGAGCACAATAGTGCATTTTTCCATAAATGAGAAAATGCGCTAAAAATTGTCGCACCTTAATTTGGATTATCATCCATGCATCGTCATGACCCAGGCCCACCACAGCACCGCAGCCATTGAGGACGCAGGCAGCGCAGCGCAGGCGGTGCGTCGTGGCGTGCCAAGGAGCGGCGTGGCAGCGTTCCTGTTCCATCACCTGCACTTGGCGCTGGCGTCGCCTTCGCTCTTCAGGGTGCCTTTCCTGGTGCAGAAACACAGCAACAACAACGGATGTGAGGAGCTCTTCGACTTGCACGAATATCTTCATCCTATCTTAGTTCGACAAATATTGGATAGACAATAAGCAATGAAAAATTAACATTATATTCATATTTTAGTGCCTAATTTCTATTTTAGTGCGTAAAGACTAGAAGAAAACGAAAAGTTGGCATTTCAGTAGTCAATGCAACATTACAATAAGGAATAATTTAAAATGTCATGTCATATTTTATTTCTCACCAGCGGCGTTTTTCTTGGTGTACATCATCGTCGTGCTGCTCGTAGGAGTGCCGCTGTACGTTCTAGAGGTCGTCATGGCCCAGTACTCATCACTTGGTCCCATCCACGTCTACCGCTGTCTGCCTCTCTTCACAGGTCGCGTGGGAGCTGCAGAAAAATAAACAATATGCTTCTTTAATTAGAAAACCGTTAAATTGTAAATTATATTAAATAAACTTGAGTAGAACCATCGACAAATATCGAGAACATTAACAAAAATAAGTCTAAAATTGGATTGAATCTACGATTTCATTAAAGCCCCACGATTGGACAATAAAAAGTAATACTTCCTATTGAAAATAAGGTACTTAACATAATTTTCATGTTGGCAGGAGTGGGCGTCGGCATGCTAGTGACATGCTTCCTAATGACGATGTACTGCAGCGTAGTGATCAGTTGGAGCACAGTCTACATCACTCAGAGTTTCTACAACCCAATACCTTGGAGCCACTGCCCTACCAGCCGGCCTGCCGAGTGCACCAACATTACGACGTCTCCATCCATAGAACAGGAGCCACAGTCTGGAGTGCTTGCAATGGTCAACGAACTGAACGGCACTTCTAGTCATCTTGATGCTGCCATCATAAAGGCGCGCTACATACCACCCGATTATTACTTTATGTATGTCCATTATTATTTTTACAAGTATGTTCGTTGGCAATGAGACCTTTCTTTCATAGCGTACTTTGTTGTATGTTATAAAGTTTTATTTTCTACCTAATTTTCAATTTTGGTATTGTGGCAAATCGTTTGATGAGTTGAAGTTGATATAAGCTCATGCCAAGTTTATTTCTACAACACCATTCTTAGAATAGGCCACCATTCCATATTTTTATGATCTTTATCAAATTTATGAGCACAAAATTCAATAAACAGTCGATTTATTAGCGCATGACTGAATAAAAAATATTCAGGTGTAATATAATTTTTTTGCACCTTTAGAATTATAAAGCTCCTTTCCGGGTTCTGCATTCAGGACAACGGTATCCAACTCGCTGTACAATGAAGCAGCAATGACTTTCGGCATCGAGTTACCTTTCCTGATTCTGCTGGTGTGGATTGTCGTATTTCTGTGCATTATTGCTCGCCGAAGATGGCAGTCTGGTATTCCGTCATGGTGCGTGGCCGTCGTATTTTTGGTTACTCTAACCATCATGTTTTTGGCGGGATTGAATTTGAAGGAAGGAGACCGAGGAATTCATCGAGCGTTTGGCTTCAACGTCACCTTCACTGCCAGCGAGCTCAAGCACCCCACGATATGGATGGATGCCCTGGGACAGGTACCGATCTATATTACCGCTCTATATTCTATGTAATGTGCAATTTATATAAAAGTTCATTATAAGTATATTTTCTGCAAATAATTTATGTTGGGCTCAATTATAAATGCAATCAATCAGATTAAATCAAAAACATTGGCTCTAGCATGGGATGAGAATCAACCATGCATAAATTAATAAAATAAATAAATAAAAAGCCTACTCTTCATTCATACTTTTTTCCGAAATGTTATTCAAGCATTTATGTATTTTTTACCATAAAATTTACTTATCTTTATTTATCATCACAGGTATTCTGGTCCCTGGGAGCAGCCATTGGTCTACACATTATGAGTTCGAGCCATAACGAATACAGGGACTCGGTGAGGCCTGAATTTCCTTCTTAATTTATAACTTATGAATGAACATTGCGGGGCTGATCGCTTGCATAAGATACGAATCATGAAAAGTTTTCATTTATAAGTTTAATTTGCCTAGAATTCGCAAGTTTAGCGGAATATTTGTTGTCATTAGGTTTGCATTGATCCAATGCAAATTCCAATGCATTGCTCCGATGCTTGAGCTTGCAAGTGATGCTTGAAGAAATCATAGTTAAAATAAAGAGAACAATAAAATGATTAACATTCGACAGCCTACTGAATTATTTTCAGAAAGCTTAAGTTATTCGGTAAGAACAACTCAATCTTTTGTTTGGAGTTCATCTGAATAGTGTTGATTCATTTTATGATTGATAGCATGTCACCGCTCTATAGGTTCCACTTGAATATCAGGCCGGATATATCACTTTTTTTCCTCTATAATTCATATAATACACATTTGTTCTCGGTCTTCAGATCGTCATGAACTGCGCAGCAGCGTCTATCACCAACTTAATCGTAGCGTTAGGAATAACGTTGGCCCTCTTCCCATACGTTGGTGAACTGTTTGCAAGTCCTGCGGTCGCTGCCAGTGAGTCAAGAATTCTGTTTCACTAAACACTAACTTCTTATACATTAAATTTGAATTACGACCAATTTTTTATGTTTTGAACAATTTCTTAATAATCATTCACCGTTTTCTTCCGTTAGGTTAGGGGAAAACCGATGCTACTGATATTCGTTATATTCATACTTTTCGTTTGATTGGATTTGAATCTTTATTTGCTTCCACATTATGAGACTTGATGAACCAATTCGTGTATTTACAAACTGAAATCTCTATCCCAGACCCAGGATTCTTCTTCGTCTTATCCTCCCTTGCGATGACGAAGTTAGGGTTGCCGGAAGTCTCATCGTTTGTGTTTTATTGTTGCTTCAACATACTGATGACTCATCACGTAGTTAGTCTCGCTGATACAGTCCTCTGCAGCCTAGCTGAGCTTCTCAAGATCAGATGGAGGAGGGGACTGCGCAGAATTTTGCTGGGGGCGGCAGTGTGCTTCTGTGGCTTCGTCTTGAGTCTTCCTTTCGGCAGTTCGGTAATTCTTTATAGAGATTTTTTTTAAATTACCGCTCGGCAGTTAATGACAATGACATCAATTGGCGGAGAATGTGCTAAAAATTTTTGTAAAGTTGTAATCAATATGTTACGCTTGTACAAATTATCTGACCTGAGGAAATAGTTCGTGAACAAGAGGTCACGGTTTTGTCTAATTTTCAGGACGGTATTTACCTGCTGACTTGCCTGGACGCTTACCTACCGTGGGTCTCTGGTGGGGTGTTCGCCGTGTTGGAAATCACGGCCTTCGCCCACCTCTACGGCGTCGACAAGATCGCGCTGCACTTCAAAGACATGAGCCAATCAAAGACATCTTTTACTAACTACTGGAAGTTTATTCTGCTGCCTGCTCTCGTGGTGAGGTCCATCAGCGTGGTGAACTTAGACTAAACTCATTTGATTACGGCATGAGTCAGCTGCACTCGTAAAACTTATAATTTGATTCAACATCAAACTGGTATCGTATCAAAGCTGAAAAAATAAAAGCTTCGACTCATTGCAATCATTTTATTTTCAATCGAAATGAAATTGTGATCTTTCTTCTATTTTTTATCCTGTAATTCTATGAATCGTCTATAGATAACACCAACTTGATGAGGCAGATTGTGCAATTATGGGCGTACGTAGAGGGAGTGTCCGATCCTCTGTATTGGATCGACACGCCCACGGGACGCGAACAACTTCACAGGAACGTCGGCCTGGGGCTCTCCTTGCTACCGTTGGTCGTAGCCGTCCTCGCTACCATCGGTGTACTCTTCATTTTGAAGGTACGCGGTGACTGATCACTTACACCTCTAGAGAGGGGACACTATTATGACAATCAAATTTCGTTGTACATTTATTCTTGATAAATTTTTTCTCTCTGCTGAGCTTATGATACTCGTATTTTCTATAGTCCAAAGCTTTCGGTATCCTGGCACGAGCGTAAAATGATTGATCAATTAATTATGTATACTATTTTTAATGTATGACTCATTCAACAGAACCCCTGACTACTTTATGTTCACTATTATGCCTGTATACATTTGTCATTTACTCATCATAAAAACTTGCACCATTGTGTCTCTTTGGCATCCTAAGAATTCGATAATTATTTTATATTGGCTATAAATTCTACTGATTATCATCAAGGAATTAACGCCGTTTCATTTTGGTAGCGCGACAACCTGCCGCTGCTGCAGCCTCTTCCCACGTGGGGGCCCGCGGTGGTGCAACACAGGAAGCTGTACACGCAAGATGTGATGAGGGCCTCGCAGCGTGTGCCGTGGCTTGTTATGCAGGTGATGTACCATAACCTTACACCATTCTGAGAGAAGCTGTACTCACAAGATGTGATGAGGGCCTCGCAGCGTGTAGCCTCTGATGCAGGTTGCACCAAGACCTCACAAAGACCATGACTGACAGAAGAATGACTTTTGAACTTGTCGCATGTGTTATATGCTTTTGCTTTTGTACTTGAGAGTTGAAGACGCATGAGACTTGCACATAGTCGTCTTCGTGGACATACTATTCATTTATAATAGTCAACGTATAATAGACGGAAGTGAATTTACTTCAACCTATATTTCAGAGTCACGGCGACCTACTGACGGAATCCAGCAGGAGTGATTGGATTCCTGTAGGATATTCGTACATCCCCCAGAGCGCGTCCTACGTTCTGCTCTCGTCAAGCTACCTCGAGGACATGGAAGAGTCGGGCCGGAAAAATATAGTGCATAATTTTTTGGTGAGAATTCAAAACGAGATTGAGTACACATAGTGCACATATTCTGATAATTTTTTGCGATTTGTTTAAACTCAAATTTAGGCTCAATTTGCTAATAAGATTGCATAGGTTATTGGTCAGCTTAAGGAGGTATATATGTTCTTCTAAACGTGTCAAAAATTTGTGTCGGGATTGTTAAAGTGCTGTAAAATTATTATAAATTCAAATTCGTAACTTCTATTTTCTGTGTCATTCTGTGTAACTTTTTAATTATTAAAATTAGAGATCATAGAAACACTAGTATAAAAAAGGAAACTAAAAATAAAAGCTAAGTGCATGAAATATGCATAGTATCTCTATTCTACGGTATCTATTTTATTAGAAGAAAATAAATATCATTAAATTATAAACAAAGTTAGCTAGTCTTCCCGTTAAATTCTGCCCAGCAAATTACGCTTGCCCTGAATGTTCCAGAAACTCCGAAACCAAATGAAGCAGCAATTGCAGGACGCAGACAAAAAAGAAAGCTGCTGCTGTTGTTGTTCAAACAACCGGCACCCCTATTCCAAGAAAAGGAAGGCTAGAAAGAGGAATCAAAACAATATAAACGACAGCACCGCGCAACATCAAAAAGGAGTTGAGACTCAGAGAGAGAAAAGAAATGATGCCATAATGGAAATAGAGGAACCCAGTTGTTTTCAGCCTCAGACAAGAGTAATAATCTCGAATGAGTGCTCGACAGCAAGCGTTTTGCGATCAAAACCAACGGGCCCATCGAGAGAAAACTTCATGACTGCTGAGTCAGAAATAAGATTAGGAAATAATGTGATGCTTCCTGAGTCAGGTACTCATCATCTTGAATTAGAGAAAATTTTAATGGAAGACGAGGAACCTTTGGATGAAGAAGCCGAGACCAGGACGTGCGATGAAATAGCAATAATGTGCCAGACCAACAACAGCAATCAAAGCAAAGTGCGCAAGACATCGGAGGAGGAATTCGAATTAGTTAGCGGCTTAAAATTAGCGTCTGCAAGGACGTCTCAGGCCAGACGTAGAAATGGAGTTGGGCTGCCATTACCGGATACGAGTCTTCTACCCACCCGACCTCAAATGGAGATGTACTCATCGGCTCAGTTGGCTTGATATCTGCAGTAGGATGATAATTTTTTTCGCCATCGTGCTCTTATTTTCATGCGATATAATTAAGATAGCATAATAATATAAGGTTTCAGATAGCATAATAATAATATAAGGTCTTAGGTATATTGCTACTCTTTCATCATGTCGTGCAGACGTGTGCTTTCAAGATACTTGGAGAATGTTACTGCATGATCACATTTGTGTGCTCTATTTGGCTGGAGTTTTTTTTGTAGTTCATGTTATATTTATTTTATCGTAATTGTAGTCGTCAACCTATCCATTTACTTCTATTCATATGCAATTGTCGTCGTTTTGACACCAAAATGCAGTGAATGCATTATCTGGCGAGAGTAGGTTAATAACTACGTCGATAATTCAGTATACGTGACTTATTACCCCATGTAAACACTACCGGCATGTTTAGACGGCATGACTCACAGCCGCTGTGAACTCTTTGAGATCTATTGATAACTATCTATTGATAACTAACAACAACATAGATTGATAACAATCTATGGATAACTAACACGTTTACCTAGATTGCTTAATCTTCACTGTAATTATAAGTTTTATTCGTTCAAAGGATGAAATGAACGTACATAATTTTATGATTAATATTCAAATGAATCATAAAAATTATGAATAATCCATAAAAAGGGTTATGTATAAGTTAGAACTCTTAGATCGAAGATGAAAATGATATGGTTCGGCTGGGACCAACCGTTGGCGTTGTCGGGGCTTGTTCGTCATGAATACAAGTATTCGTAAAGTGGCCGGCCAACGAGACTGGAAGGAACTCTGGGGTCACATACGTGGACCCAGCGGAGGAGCGCAGTACAGGTGGATACGCTGGAACTTTTTACATACAACGCTCGGCACTTAGAAGAAACATCCAGTCGTGCAACAATTCGTAGTCATTCAACTTGCAAGAACGATCATCCAGGCGGAAGGCTCAGCCGGTGACAGGACGATAACAGAGGCTGGTCCTCTGGGCCTGCCGTACACGGTTGACGCTGCCGGCCATGGTTCGAAGACAAAGAGAAGTTGGTTCCCGTCAAAGTTATCTTGACGGGAAAATAACTGGTGGACTGCGGCGCCGGAGGTTAATCCAGAGGCCTGTCTCGACAGAACACCACACGGCAGCCGTGTTCAGACATGCCCGTTCAGAAAGGCGACTCCATTGAGAGCAAAATAATCCAAGTTCACGTTCAACGTGAGCTCTGAGTAATGAGTCGGAAAGAAGGAAAATGAGCGACTCAGTCAGCAGAAAGTCAGGCCGCTACATTACAAGTTATAATATCCAGCTACATATCGACAAGTGTTCTTTGAAACTCTTAGATTAGCTCAAACAATAATTGTGGGAAGCGAAAAATATAATGAATGAACTTAAGAAGTAAAATATGATGATATAAAAATGAACGAAGCACTCATCGAAAACTCTTCTAAGAATTGTTGTAAGAATTGTGGCACAATAATTAACGTGTAGATCAAGCTTCGCCTGAAATTTCAATTATTACTAAATCATTATCTAAATTAAATAACTACGTCTGTCACGATAAAGAAAACTAAGCGTGCGAGGAAGCTCACCGCCTGCCCCGTTGGGCACGGCGCCAAAGAACCCCACAAATTGCTTGCTAACCTCAGTGCGGGTTAACCGTCGTGGCGCATGCGTGTACGAGTGTACGACGCTCAGTTGTGCCTCAATTTACTTCGAAAAAGCTTGCCGCTTCTTATATCAGTTCACCCAAACACCAGTTATGCAGTAATAAGACAGTGTATATTCATAAAACTAAAAATTACGTGTCAAAGTGAGTAGGAAGTCATCTAGACTAGGATTCCTGACCCCAAAATTGTTCAATTATGTGTTTTACATTCGTCAATGTACGGAGTGACAGATAACTGTTCACAATGGGTTCCATTTTATGCCCATTTTGTCATCAAGGATCGTGGAAAGATTTGCAAGAATTTAAAAAGAGGCTGGAGTCCGTTTTAACCTGTCCTCTCAGTTGCTTAGTTTGTAGTCAGACAGTTCTTGGACTGACTGAACTACACGCCCATCTCTGCCAACACCAAGTCACCGTGCAGAATATCGCACTACAACAGAACGACTCGCCCGAATCTTATAATTTCAATAGTGTTGAAACTTTAAACTTTAGCTCGTACTCCGGCCAATATATAGAGGGTGTAAGTGTCGCGGGGTTTAAAGACATCCCGCAGAGTAGCGACGGGATTCTTCCGTTTGAAAAACTTGATTTGAAAGATAAAAGCCCGCGTAGCTCATGGATATTACCTGTAGCGACATCGTCGATTTTAGCTGGAAACCATTCATCTATAAATGACCCGCAGACTTCAAGCCGATCATTGTTACAGGAGAACAGACCTTTCTTACACAACTCTTCCCCAGGCAGCACTAGCGAACAATTCAGCTGCAACGAATGCGGGCTACTGTTTTGTTCAGAGCATTTCTTGAAGTGGCATAAGGACATAATCCATAAACATTCCGATGACTTCGAAGTATGTTGTAAGTTGTGTGAAAGTAAATTCAAAGACCTAGAATCGTACCGAAATCATGTGCGTCTAAGCCACAACGAACAGAGGTACATGTGTGAGCAGTGTCCAAAACTCTTCAAGCTAAAAGGGAGTTTGGTCGTTCACAAGAGGATGTATCACGATGGCACTCCGAGTTCCTGTAGATTTTGTCATAAAAAATTCTCGAGCGACACAAGACGTGATTTCCACGAGCGTCGACATCACGCCAACGGTGGTAAGGCTACTATTAAAGGAAAATTTTCTCAGGATGGAGAAAGGACTCCATCACCCAAGAAAGTAAATACTGTTTCCGCTGGCAGTCTACAGAATGCGCGACGAAATCTCGATAACCTAATGGAGAAAAACCAAATTCATTACGCACAAGTCACAGTTGTAAATCCTCCAAATTGTTCAGACAACGCTTCACAATTGATACCAACAGCCATAATTTCCATGGCTCAAGACTGCAACTTACAGCAACTGATTTCTTACGCTTCTCCTGCGGATAAATTTTATAGTAATAACAAAGAACTTCCCGTTCGTGAGGCGATTAAAAACATAAGCGTCACCCAAAATACGCTTAGATCCTCCGACACTCAACCCGGACATTTCAAATACGACTCGCAAGATTTTTCGAAATCATGCCAGAACATAGAAAAGTGTGCTGTTAACAAGTCACCAGGTAATAACGACTTCTTTGGAAGCAATTGTTCATTTTGGCCTTCTTCTCTTAGCTCAAGGGTCAGCTCGTCTAACCAATTCTTAGCTGTACGTTTAGGCTCGGCAAATAATTCCAATGAAATAAATTCATCAGTTCTTAAAACAACAAGCGTAACATCGAGCATTAAAAGAGTGGCAAGTGTTAATGATTTAGCTGACACGTTACAGGTCAAATCTTCCTTAATCAAATCACCAGTTAGGACTGCGAGCATGCAAAAGTGGAACAGCGTACCTGACGTCGCAGCTTCTGAGGCGACCAAAATAACTCGTCCTATCCCACTTGATGCATCCTATGACTCACCAGCAAGCCCTCCATGTGGTAGGAGCGAAATCAAACAATTAACCTCCAATATTGACGATGGCTCTCAATGCATCGCTTCGCATTTTAGTGATAACTCATTTCTACCGATAGAGACTTGCTTTCGGTACCCTGCCAGCAACGAAGACGACAGTCAAATCAACTTCAGTCAACAAAGCACTCCAAGCCAAGCAAGCTGTTCTATGAATTCAAATGAAATTCAGAGAAATTTTGAGTCCACCAATCTTAATGATAAGGTACGCCTGACTCTCAAGTGTTTTTTTTTATAAAAAGCTGTAAAAATTTGCTAGTTTTTTGATGTTAGCAATTGCGACTATAAAATAAATTAATAACGAATACATACATACGGCTTACTAGAAATTTTCTTACTTTTTAACTTCACTCACTCATGAACCTGACATAAATAACTCGCTTATTTCACATGAACTTGATTTCAATATCCTAACAATTTTTAAGTTATCCTTACCGTTTTGGATGTGCAATTACCTTTTGTTGCAGCAGGTTGGCTTGCCAGCGTTGCTTGGGTTCGAAGGGAAGCAGTGGGAGTGCGAAGTGTGCAAGAAATGTTTCACTACAAAATACTTCCTCAAGAAACACAAACGCCTTCACACGGGTGAGACTCCCTACAGCTGCTCCACGTGCGGCAAGACCTTCACGTTCCAACAAAGTTACCACAAACACTTGCTCTACCACTCCGACGAGAAGCCTCATGTCTGTACCTTCTGTGGTCGCGCCTTCAAGGAAATGTCTACTCTACACAATCACGTTCGTATTCACACTGGAGAGAAACCGTTCGTCTGCGAAACATGCGGTTAGTGATAGTTAGATTAATGATATGGATTCTATTAAAGCCATGAATGGCATTCTTGTCAAAAAGATAAAAGTGTGAGCTTATTGATTATTATTTTTTCCATAAACTCTAATAAAATTTCCAGTAATCATGTTGACTTCCTTGTCACGGCAGGAAAAGCATTTCGACAACGCGTGTCGTACTTGGTCCACCAACGCATACACACCGGCGTCTTACCGTACACATGTCAGGGATGTAACAAGTCTTTTCGTTATAAGGTGAATTTAACCCTTACAACGAAGCTTATTTTAAGTTCAGGACCTTATTTTAAATTCTAAATTAGTATACCAGGTTATTTTCCAAATCCCTAAATAGTTTTTGACCAATGTCCATACTTTTTGGTAATTGAAAATTGGGGACATTACCCAGAATCAGCCTTGGAAGCATTCTATTTTTAGATTAGTTTTTTTCTATACTTAATGTACGAGACATTATCAATGTGTTCTCCAATGCCCGCATGTCCGTGCGCGCCACTGTTGATGGGTTTTTTCTTCAACAATGAAGTACCCACCGGACTATTATTAATTAATGAATGAGACTTTAGTTTTAAAATTGACGAAATATTCTTATTATTTTTTTTTGTTTCCAATAGGTCAGTTTACGGTCGCACAAATGTGAGGAAGTCAACGATGGAACTCCTTCACCATCAATAGATCATGCACTTCCTGCCCCCCTTCATCCAAGTACTAGTGATGAGACCTCAATGATGGAGGTGTCCTTTGAACGGGACCAAAGTTTTAACCAAAATGAAGAGGAAACGAATAGAAATCAGAACGGAGAAGCCACAACTACTAGAAACATTTTTGTATTGGAAACTTGCGGCAACTTCTCAGAAAACTGGACCTCTCAAAGACCAGGAAACCATGATGTTACTGAAACTCATGAATTAATGACAAACTCTTTCAAGCCTACTAAAACAAATCAAAAGACTTTCGAGAGAACAGTTGAGTCATCTGAGATTTTTACTAATGCCATAAAGGTAGGACAGGTATCATCTGCTTCAGGCAACCCAACACTAATCAACGCATCATATGTTGCAGTAAGAGACAGCAATGAAGTACACGATAGAAAATTTAGGGCCAGAAGCAATGATCCGAATCAGTCTAATTTATTTAGTGAGTCATTGTCTTTACAGGGCTCATGTGAGTCAGCTTCCAAAATTGATATACCTTCGACCAAGTGTGGGAACGCGCAAGAACGGAATCTTTTGCCTAGTTCACATTTCGGGAGCTACCTTTCTGCAGAATTTGGAAACGAACCGAGAAAAGGAAGAGTTGGCAGCCATCCTAGTAACTCTTCCAGTACTTCGGATTGGAACGAAGAAACTCGGAATCAAAATTTGGTTTCGCACTGCAGTGAAGATCCAGTGACCCTAACTTTATCCTCACCCGCATCTGATTCCGATGGGGAAATGGACGGCGAGATGTTCTTCAAGGCATTTTTTACGTGAATATTTGGCTCTACATGATGCAAAAAAGAATGTAATGAAATACGCTTGTGATAACGGCAACATATTGCCGGGGATGCTCGTTGGGTAATCAATGTTGAAGGATAATTTTTGGTCTTGGCAGTAAGTTGGTTTAATGTGCATCCAGAAATTTCGAGCGCCATGTGATAATTAAGTTAACTCGCTCACGGGAAAATGTGGCATGCAAACAATTATAATTATTATGTGGTAACTGAAAGTCACGAATAGGAATGAAAGTGAGGCCAAAATGGCCAGGGTTTGGCGTGGAGTTATCGAGATGTCAATGGCAGTAAGATAAGGAGACTGAGGGAGCATCAAGTGCGCACTTCGGTAGAATGACATATTAGTTTCAAAAGCTCGCTCAGGTATAAAAAAAGCCGTGAGGATCCAGACATTGTTCCTAAATCCTTATCCTAAAAATGCATATGTCCTGCAGGCTGCAGGTTTGTGCTGCAAGTGGGCGCAGGTTAATCGTATTGAGATCATCGTACCTCGCTGTGACATGATTTATGTATATCACGCTCCAATTGCATTCATGCGGCAATAAATGGTTTCCAAATACTGCGTACATCTTTCCCAGCAAGCTATTAATTTAAAACATAAATTGGTAAATTTAAAAATTTTTATGAATGGATGAATTGTGAAAATGCAGTGTTGCGCGAACGAGCCATTATTGGGCCAGCTGATGCACGATGGTGGTGCATGCTTCTCGCCGCTTGTAGTGGTGCAGGGGTGAACGATCAGGGATTGTGCCCAAGAACACGTCCACTCGTCTCTTGAAGGTCTCCAAGGGTGAACTCCCCCTCTCTTAGATCCTTTGGTAGGACGTTAAACAGCTTCGGCCCAGCCACGGAAAGAGATTCCCGCAGGGAATGAAATACGAATAACGAATCGTAAGTTTCCTAAAGTGCAGATCGTCGAAATATTTCATCATACAAATCGCATCAAAACATTGTACCGCATCTATGTTTTTTATTACATACGTTGGACTCTTTTTAACTGCACATTATTTAATACACATTACAACATTTGATTGTCATGCAGTCTCATGCAGTGACGCAAAATCTGTTAAATTTTCATGAAATAAAACTCGTGAAATCGTTTGGATTACGTTCACGAAGCAGTGATGGCTGGCATATCACATGCACGACAATCAGATCATTGTACGATAGAACGTCACTCTTATCAATGGTGACTTGAACACACCATCACATTCGGATGGCTGGGTCAGCATTTATTATGCAGGGTCTTCTTCAGAAACGCGACAAGGGGTCAAGAAATCGTTCCTAATATCCCTTGCTCTTTCTCAAGACATAATTATATATCACGCTAGGATTTCAAGCAATAAGTATATAGAGCAATACATGAGCGAAGAATATCAGAATTTTGGGCCTGTTGCAGGGAACAAAGAGTACGGTATATTTACCACAAGAAATTTAAGGTCCTCGTATTAGGGCACTTACAACATGTAGGCTGATCAATCGTAACATAGGGCCGGTTCTATGAAATGTTTTTTTTTGCACTTCTCATGTCCAAAATTAATACGACTCTAGATGTGGTCGCGTAACCCCTCAAGAAGTGAACGCCAACAAAGCCCATCTATTCCTTAAGTGGACCAGTAAGACGCTCGGCATTATCACTGAAATCTGATTTTTCGTTCTTACAACTACCCTGAACTTTCTTTCGAAGAACTAGTTCCTTACTGCGTGTCTCAGGATTAGATTGAGTGATATAAAATGTAACGGCTTAACCACAGTCGGTATTAAAAACTAGAAAGAGAACCTTATAAATAATTTTTATTTCAGATGAATTTACTACGTACGAAGTCCTCGCGAATTTTTTTTAAGGTACGACGCCTAGGAAAACATAAATGCGAGCATTCGATACATGAAATGCTAACAAACTCTTTTTTTGAGCGAGTACCAAACATATAGAACTATGTTTCGTTGGTCACTGTAGTTTAAAATTGACATCAAAAATAAATTTTAAAGCTCTGTAACTTTAATTTTGATGAAGGAGCTTACTGTCCTAACTTTCATGATAAGAGCTACATGTTTGCTTCTCATTTAGTGACCACCGGTACAAGAGGTTCACTGCGATAACCAGAAAGCTATCAGCACAACTCGATGGTTCTTCTTGAGATCAAGCTGATTTAGGTTAATGAGGCCTATCTCAACTCGAGTGATTTGATCCACGTATGTCTCTCAAGCTGAGACTATATTTTCTCAGTCATGTTTGTTCAGTGCCTGGATCGTGCTGACGCCCGCTCTGTTGGACGATAATAAATGAAGGCATCAAATGACTGTAGATTGTGGACTGCATGTTGATAAATAGGTTTATTGAAATAGGTCAACGATCTCTCGCAAGTACCTGCTGTATAGAAAGTTAGATTGATTTTCAGAGTAGAAGAACAAAGTGATGCAAGAATACGAAAGCAATAGAAAGACTAGACTTATAAGAATATTACAGCATCGTGTAAATCATCTTCATTTGCTAGTTCTTGCCACCGCCCACCGCATAGTGATATTGATTAGTAGTGATTGCATAAGGGGCGGTATTAACAATCGGTGATTATTTATTATGTAATACATCTCTGCGTGGGGGCTCGGACTCCAATTAACGTCATTTAGGAAATTTCGCAGTCGTAAAGAGTAATTATTTAATATTTTTTAGTTTATTTGAATCGCAAGGCAATGGCATCACAAACACAGCGCGAGCTTATGTATCATATTTACGTCATATGAAATCCGGAACTTCTCTGTTAGGTGCTCATCATGTCAATCTTTTGAAAAACTACACAACAAAAGGAAAAAAAAATTCACTTATGCCTGAAACTGTGTGTAAGTTTTGAACTCGTTTATCACAAATCATATCTTATCCTGAGGGAGTATTCCTAAGAAATCGATTTTTGAATTACATCTTAATTCATTCTTAAAAAAATGCAGGATCTCAAAACAGAGACAAAAATACTGATGAGAAAATTTTAGATAGATAATAAGAACCATTGAGGTCATAATATTGGTGCAGGAAATTCATCATTGGAATGGAGAAGAAAATGAAAAGACGGCGGCTGCTGGTGCTTCTGATCATTGGTAAGTTTTTACACATACAAAATTATATAAAAATCGTCAACTGAGCAGTCGTAATAAACTGTTGAATATATCCGGTTCAGATATATGAGCCGTAGTTATAAAGATTAATTCCGTAATTCCGTATAGAATGTCAGCCTAATTAAACTTTTATTCCCATGCACTGTAACGCAAAATTAGTAAGTTGGCACAAAATTTCGTGCTAAATGAAGCAAAACCTTATTATTTTCTATTCCTTAAAACTGCGTTCAATGTTTGATCAATGATTAAACTATAATCTACAGAATATTACCTGAACTGCTTGTAAAATATGAAATCTCTTTGTTTTATACGGGTGAATTCAACAATAAGTTCTTAGAATAGAATAGAAGTGTCGGCGTTGAAGAAATAGGCCCATGGCCTGTTGCCGATTCTTGAACTTTTCGTGACTTGATTCACAAGGGATCCGGCCTTTGGAACCCGATCTTTCCATAGCTGACGATTGATTGAGATAGCTGCTGGACTTATTGCCTGATCCGTAATTTGCTAGGCATTTTAAGACTGAACATATGCTCCTGCATAGCTTCGTCTAGTCTGTTTTTGAAGATGTTCATACTCAGAGCTTCAACGATGCTATCATGCAGGTCTTGTTATTCTTGATTTTTTTTCTCGCGTTAATTCACTTCATATTCTATCGTTTGATCAGACTATTGCTTGTATTGATGAATCTTGGCTGCAAATAATGTTTTGGAAGATTAAAAAGTGAAAACTAACCGACTGACGATTGATTTCGCTAGCTTGATACGAAAATCGAGTATATGCGTACTGGGTATGCGCGTCATTGACATGAGCTTATAAGTCCACATTTATTTTTCAGCAGCGGTTGCTAATAACCAGCACTCGCATAAAGAATCATCAAACGGCGCAGTGTCCTATTGTCAGAAAACGCGGAAGAAGTGAAATTCGAACTAGTGAATCGTTGTGAATTCGAAAGCAGTGGGTCCGTGGGACATATACTGTATACGTATTATGTACAAGGGAGCAAAATGGTGTAGATGTAGGTAGATGTCTGCTGCTATTGTGAAGTTAGGTTTTCGGTGATAATAAAAAAGTAATGAATGTAAAAATTTGAAAAAATACCCTCCGCAGCGTACTCATATTATCTACTTATATTTTAAATTTGAAGAAAATCCGTCCATTATTGACGGAGTTATGCGTGCCAGAGTTGAAAATTAAGTTAGGTTTTCCGTATTAAAAAAAAATTATCAATGAAAAAATTTGAAAAAATTCCCTCCGCAGCGTACTGATATTATCTACTTATATTTCAAATTTGAAAAAAATCCGTCCATTTTTGACGGAGTTATGCGTGCCAGAGTTGAAAATTAAGTTAGGTTTACCGTATTAAATAAAAAATTTTTGATGAAGAATTTTGAAAAAAATACCCTCCGCAGCGTACTGATATTATCTACTTATATTTCAAATCTGAAGAAAATCCGTCCATTATTGACGGAGTTATGCGTGCCAGAGTTGAAAATTAAGTTAGGTTTTCCGTATTAAAAAAAAAATTATCGATGAAAAAATTTGAAAAAAATACCCTCCGCAGCGTACTGATATTATCTACTTATATTTCAAATTTAAATAAAATCCGTTCATAATTGAAGGAGTTATGCGTGCCAGAGTTGAAAATTAAGTTCGAGCTCGCAGGCGAGTTCGCACCCGAGTTCGCTGAAGTGTCGAATCGGCCGTACGTCAAGGCAAGTAAATTGGCTCGCAACAACGTTTTTCATGTGTAGCAACGAACTAAAAAGGAGAAAATAAAATACTTAAAAAAACCTTTTTAAAAACCACGTTTTTCTTGTGGACTAAAAAGTAGAAAATAAATTGTGGCTCGCCCCAAAAAACGTGGGTCGGGCTGTACGTTCACCATCAAATTTCCAAAATTTTATTTGATGTAAGTATTAAGTATTTTATTTGATGTGCATTCCTTACGGTCTCCACGGTCAAATTACGTGTCCACATCATCCCCCATCAACATGTCCCATCATCAATAACCTCCCAAAATTAACCTCCGGCATACACGTAGTGGCAACATCTTCTTGGCAGAGGCATGAACCTAACCAAGACTCGACCCGCATGAATTTATTTCTTAATAAGGATAAGGTAACGGAGGAGAAATTTTGACAACGTTCGATAATAAGATACATAATAAAGACACGAAAGAGTGTTCATACTTGGGACATGTCCATTGCAATATTATTGCAGATGTTATACGTACGTGGGACGTAGCGCGGTACTCCAATGTTCATTACCAGCACAGACACTTTAGTGTTGACTACAAGGAACCAGCCATGTCGCCTCGACCGCTGAGTGCTATGTTTTGAAGTTTTTCCTTCGCGACCTTTGTTGCTAGCGTCGTGATGGGGCCCCAAAATTTAGGCAACCAATCGCCGTTCGATATCCCTTTCTGCTGAAGTTTTGTTTCTCTACAAAATGCGGTGTAACTAATACTAAGAATTAAGATACTAACGATGTCAGTGTGCAGGCATTTTGAATTTCTGGATTACGCGCAAACCGCAACTTGACGGCCAGCCTGATCATAGGAGTGTTCTATTATTGGTTAGGATGGCAGGAATAGTGACGGACGGACGGCTGAAATTCTAATATGGTGAATAAAGCATGTATTTTTGAACGGATCTCAATACTGTGATTGGTTGTGATGTCATCCGCTCCAGACTGCGATTGGTTGTGGATTTCTGATGTCCGATTCAGACTGATTGGTTCAATTTGGTTGGTGGGATTGTCATTGTGATGTCATCCTCTTCATCCTGTGATTGGTTATGTCCAATATGCCATGTGTCGTGAGTAATTTAATACCCATACAGAATTTCAGCCTAGGCCAGGAACGAAGCTATTTCCCATGTTTCATGTAAAATGCAGTACTTGGAAGTACGTATGTGGATTATTTCCTTCTTTGGATAAGCCACCGAGATTTCGTTACATTTGGGATCTGCCATGTATGTTTACATGTTGCTTAGCTTTCCCACGTGGCCTGCTTTTATTGACAACGGGCACCTTTGATGTTCCTTCAACTCTCGTGTCCGCATACTTGACAGAAAAACGTGCGTTCTCAATTCCAGCGAATTAATGACCAGAGAAAGTCAGGCTCGCGAGTGCGAATGTTTAGATTTTGTGGTTATAATCTAAAACGTTCATCCAATGATCCAAATAATGACAACGCTCAAAATATTGTTGTGGAATGTTATGAGTGGAATGCTGAATTGTTTTCCCTATAAGGCAACAATTCATTTTAAAATCGACTCGCGAATTTATAACTCGTGTAATACGTTCAGCGATCTTGTCATTTGCGCAGAGCCTAATTATTTATAGCTGAAAAGTTGGCTGCATGCCCTGCGAAATTCAGCGTAGGTTGGATTTTATGTTGCAGATATACAGGGAGTATTCTCAATCTCTTAGAGTTCTTTAACTGAACTTGAGATTACCGACCCTCAGATATATCTTGTATCATCTTACAGGCCTATGTTGCGCATCAGTACGGTCAGAAGATGAAGAGTGTGCGTCCGACTCTCTGAGATGTGAAGTCGATGGCGAATCCCAGTGTATTGATCCTGCTTGGATCTGCGATGACTACCCTGACTGTGATAACGAAGAAGATGAACAACCACAAAGATGCAAGGTAAAATAAAGTTTTGAGCACACGCTCGGTTACAGTGGCCGCACATCGTTCAAGAAAATGATATCCTAAATTGCATTTGCGAAAAATTAAGTGTTGATGTATCCGCTCGCGTCTGCACCGAATTAATAGACTTTGCGATGCAAGGCATATGTAACCGATGCATTTTAAGCTAAAATTTTCGCTTGGAATTAAATGTTGAATTTAGCTGTTGTACAGTTGACGGATTCAAAGATTGGTTTTCATCCTAGAATTCATACCTAATGGCTTAAATGTAATTGTTTACATAATAAGTTATTAAGTTGGTCTGATTCAGATTGATATGATAGCTAGTGGAAAGATTAGCAGTTAGACGATGTACTGCGCAAATTACGGTGCCATAAAGTATGCCGGGAAATGAAGATAGAAGTGAATTTTACGAAAATGAGAAAACGATTTAACAATATCGCGGAATAAGCTTCTAGGTTTCCTTTTAACTACTTAACTTTCATGGTTAGAATTTCGGTACATTATAGCCTATATTTTATCTTACTGTGTGTTTGATTATTAAGTTTGTGTGTGTGTTACAATATTTTATTTAAGATCCTGTACCTATTCTATTCTATAAAGACTCCTGTAATATTCTATTTAAGATCCTAGACCAGGGCAGAGAAAGCAAGTTTATTCAAGGCAGGTTCACAAGAGACTGACTCGTCGGTGAAGACGAGGCTTAGCTTAATGTACAATAGAAAACGTCCTATCTAATATATACAGGGCTAACATTCGTGAATGTTTAGGCAATAGACTTCAGTATACAACAGATCCCCAGAAGTTCGGGCAGGGTGGCCCAGTGGTTAAAGTTCAGAGTATCAGGATTGGAGCAGAGAGGCGCGGGTTCGATCCCAGCTCTGTGCGCCAGTTTCTGGTTAGAATCGGCAAGGAGGCCGGGCGGTTAAGCAAAGCAAAAATTGAAGCAGTGAGCTGCGAGTTCGAGACCGCAAGAAGCTGTGGATGTTCTGCGATGTTAAGAATCGGCGACAGGCCTACGGCCTGCTAACGCTGAAACCGCTATTATTATTATTATTATTACATTGAAATATTTTACGTGAGTTTTAGGCGCCGGCAGAGACACTTCCTGCGACGGCAGCGGCGCCTGCCCACGGCGGCGACTCTGAGGAAGAGAAGGAGGAACCGCATGTCCCTGGTTAGATTATTTTGTGCTCTGCCACATAATTCAGCGAATTTTCTTATTTTGATACCTTAATTTTTACCAATTAATGGAAATTCATAAATCAATTGCTGTCACATTGATCGCTAAAAATATGTTTTATCAAAAATGTGTTGCGTTTTGTTATGGAAATTTCCTCTTATAAAGAATGCCACTGCATTTATGATTCCATTCCTTATTTTGATTCCTTCATATGATTCCATTTATGATTCCATTCCGCTTTTGTTCAACCACCGTCTGATAAAATCCTACTCTTTCAGTGACTACACCAGCTCCTGAGATCCCCGAAAATTGTGCATTGAAGACGTGCAATCGTGAGTTATTCAGCTTCTTGTTTCTCTTAAAATTATTCTTCCGCATTTTTTTGGTAAATTAACAGTGAATAACTGATGATAACGAGTAATAATGATAAAAATATCAGTCCAAAAACTTTTCTCTTGGACTGACATTTTGCCAAATACGACACGAAGGTTGGTTTTGTTGAATTTCGCCGAGCGTTTGTCACGCTCAGAGATGTGCTGTGGAACATGGCAGTGCTTTTTGCAGAGCATTGAAAATGCAATTTTTTAAGCTAACGTCTACTCTGAACAATTGGTTACAGTTATTTATACGTTAACTTAAACATCGCCGTTTCCGAATTCAAAAATCTACAAGCAAGAAGAAAATATTTTGCTTGAATATAGAAATACGAGTGGTATTGTAATTGAATACGCATGTTAAATAATCTAACGAGCAATATTTGTTGTACGCCTAGTTTTCATATCACTAAATGAACTGGGATATCCTCTTTGGCCCTCACAGCCGGCCCACAGTTCTCGTACCTGAGCGCGCGAGTGTACCGCTACAGCTACCGCGTGGTCGCCTCCACCCAGGTACTCCACACCTCGCCCCGCGCGTCCAACTTCGTCGTGAACGTCGACGTCGCTCTCAGCGTCCTCACCGCCTGCGAACTCTCACTCAAGGCGGGTCCATTTCCATGGCATATCTTCTTTCCATCGAATATATTCATTCATTATCCAAGTTTATATGCTGAACAATTTTACTGCGTAAAGAATGTCACTCCATGAACGATCTTCAGCACACCGAGTTATTCCACTTGTTAGATCGTTTACCGGTTCCTCAATTTGTTGATTATGTCGAGTCTTCATCGCCGTCTTTGATAATTTCAAAGAAGCACATTTATGATTGAGCCCCCAGATTGTCATGACTCCCCGTTTATGTACTAATAATGCATAGTTCTAGGGGCTTTGATACTTGGATCTGGATCATAGTTTATGGAATGTAAAAATTTTGGTTCAAAATTACGAATTCAGCAGCCCCGATTATTGCTTTTGTGATGGTTGTACTTTGATTTCAGGACTAAAAATAGTGTATCTATAATCTACGAACGCGTTATTACAAAATGAGTAGCTTGCGCTCCTATATAGGCTCTTGAGGATGATATATTTATTAGCCAGAGTGTCAGGTACATGGTTGATATTTATCGATTTACTGTATCTCACACGCTCACGATTGGCTACTTCTCTTTGCATTCGTTACCGTCACTGTATGAAATCGTTCTTGTTTTTTTTTCTCCTAGTATTAAGTGTACATGATATATTTTCGGAACGATTCAATGAACAGTTCACTCTCCTTTGGAAATAAGTTAACCTGCCTGATATAACCTGCCTAAGTTAACCTGCTATTCGTATCCAGATCGAGGACGCGTGGATGACAGCGAGCTCCTCGGACGGCGAAGACGTGACAATCAGGGACAACCAATTCCTGACAAGCCTCAAGGCGAACGAGATGCGGTGAGTTCACCATCCCAAACTCATTACTAGCACGAAAATGCTTTGTACCTAAAGATATTCAAAAGCAGGATAACATTTTACTGTTTAATGACTTTCATTTTATAATTTGTGAAGGTTTACACTGGACGGGGGACTAGTGGACATAGTTTGTCCCCGCAAGGACGAGACTCTTGAAAGTCTAAACTTCAAGCGAGGCTTGCTCAGCCTCATGCAGAACTCTATGCCGCGCTTCGACCTGCGACATTCGTCTCGTGAGGTACGCGAGCAGAGAAATCTTGCATAATCCTGGTTTATCTGTGAAGCAAATACATTTAAGTCATTTATTGAAAATTTATTAAATCAACTGAATTGTCAACTATTCAACTTTATGTTCTTGTTAAGAAGAAACTTTGGAAAAAGAGATCCCGCACACTGGAAATACAGTTGAACATCAACAGCAACGAAATGTATTTTTAAATGTTAAAAGTGGTAAACTAACAAGAGAAATCGCTAGCTGATTTCATTTAATTTAATCAATTGATTTAATAAATTAATGTTTCAGTTGATTTACAATCTTGTAATTACACGTGCATGATTCAAATTAAATTTCCGAATTCTTTTCTTTAATGATATAGTAACAACTTACCGCTTAGCACCTTCAATATTGTCGGAAATCAATCCGTCTGCATGAATATATAAGCTTATATATATATATAAAGGTTATTCATACAATTGATATTATCAAAGTTTTGTTATATAAAAGAACAATCAACTCGTACATTTTAATTTACGTTTGATTTTTAAGCATCAGTTTGAAGAATAAATATTACGAAAAGAGAAAAGTGCAGCAACGAAATGTTCCCATAGTATTAATTCCTATAATTTTAAATCAGTGAAGTTCAGGGATCCCAAAAATGCTTTGCATTTCAGATGGATGTGCTTGGAACGTGTGATTTCACTTACGACTTTGCGGGTACCAACGACACGGCATTCGTCGTTGAAAAGAAGAAAGATTTGGATTCTTGTTCGAGTAAATTCGACGTTTCTTCTTCAGTGAAGGGAACTCCTTACGCATTCATCGGGGTAATTGAGAAGAATCTTATGAATATTTATCAAAGTTTGTTTTGGCGTTTGCGTGTTCGAAGCCCAGCTCCGCAAATAAATAGTCTGTACTCTGTTTGAACTCGGATTAACTATATATACTGATCGTGTAGGGATATTACCTGGACCTGTAAAGTGGGGGATGATAGCAAGGCATTGCAAAACTTGGAAACGGCAAGACTAGACCAAAAAGATGAATTTGATTCTAAATTGTTTATTTATATATAAATTTGATTGCTTATCCAAAATGCGAAAATAATTTTTTCATAATTGGAAACAAGTGTAATGGAAGTTCCATGTACACGGGTTCGAACGGAACCTTTTTGTAATCTGCACGCATAAGCACTATTTATTATTAACAGGATTATGAACAATAGGAATGGAGAGATTTCGGATACCGTAGCTATAAAACTTTAGATATTATCGGATTATCGTTCAGAGCCAGGTTAACATGATGTATACTTCATAAATTACGGCCCTTTGAAAAGAAAATTTAGTCCCGTGTTCCGCTGCTTTTTTTATTATATATGCATGATACACAACTAATTTTAAATTCACTTGCGCATATTTTACTAAATCGTGGAGTGGAAAATCATAATAACCACAATTAACTAAACATTAGTAAATTAAATGTTTACGCCATCATCGAGAGCTAAATGATCTGCCTTGTTTAGTGAATCACATGAAAAAAGTTACAATTTATTTGATGCGACCGTTCAATTAATGCAATTTTTATGAGATTTTTTTCACCATAGGGCTACCAGAGCACCCCCGTATTTTCGACGACTTCTTCTTGCCGTCAAAACATCGCAGAAAAAAGAATTTACTCCGTGGAATGTTCTGAAGAAAGGAAGTTAACTCCCTTCAGCGGCGACCAGGGAGGAGTGATGGTGGTTGTGAGGCAGACCTTACAGTACAAACAGTCTTCTTTCACAAGTTCGCGCCGAGGTGAGCAAGCTTATAAATGCAAGATAACCACAAAAATTTCTAGATAATAAAATTTATTACTTGAAAACCCGTTATGGGTATATTAATAATTATTATCAACTTTGGTATGAAGTGTTCACTCACAATAATGTTATTCAAGTGGTATCGAAAAGTACCTCAAATTATTCAATAGAGGGAATATAATAAGCTAGTAAAATAACGCGCTTCTGTTTATGTTGCCAGGTGCTATTCACCGACGTACTAATTTGGAATACGAATTTCTCCCAAATTATGATGAATTTCCGAGCGGCAACGAAGAAAACGGTCAGGCAGACGCTGACGCCGCAGCGTTGCAGCGGACGCATGCCATCCTGGACAGCATCGACCAGCACCTCAGGGTTCGTATAATTTTACAAAGAAATCAATTTAAAACTGATTTTTGAAACACGTTTCTATTACCAACTTTAATTCCTTTGTTTCAACCGCAAACATTGAACGGAAAGCAAATTGTATAGAGATATTTGATCTTATTGATAGCATCGTTTATAGGTTTTCGAAATTTCATAACGCGAGATAATTTTTGTAAATCTGCATAAATGGAATTGCCGTCATTTGCTGTTCAGTGAAATGTTTATATTTCGAATATCATTTTCAATGGCATTTCGTTTGTGAAGGTTTCCCTAGTAATTTTCTCTGAGTAAATATATATAGTAAATACCTGCAAGCAGCATCGAGCTCATGCGCTTGGTACGTTCAGGTTTATCCCTCCTCATATCATATATTAGCAACATTTTCGTTGTATATGCCAAGATGTAGTAGTCGGAAGAAATTTTCGCGGTGACTTTCCCATGAGTAGCACTTAAAAATATATATTTGAAACCGGTCTTAGAATGACACAATTGACCCCTCAAACAAAATCGGATTTCGGGGCATTTAAGAAAGTTACTGCAATAAATAACGAAGTTCTCGGGAACTTTTAAAACACAGTTTTAATGCGATCTGCCAGTCCGGAAATTTTCGTCTAATCTTTGTTTTTATTTATCTCTTGCCCTTAAAAGTATTTCCATCATTAAGGTCTCAATTTGCTGTTGTCCCGTCAATGCCCTCATACCCTGGTTAAATTCTCAGAATAATCGCTTCTCTTCGGTGGCTAAACCAAGCGACTTCAACGACTTTGTCAGCGCCTTGAGGGCCTTAAATAAACATCAGCTCATCGAATTGGCTGACAAAACGGACTGGGGGAAGAAGAGGTAGATATCTACTGTACTTTTATCAGTGGCTGCCTCAGACATATATCCTTGCTTATCTTTGTAAGAATAGAATTAAAGTCAGACAAATATTGTAGTAAGCGGACTGACTTTTGCCGACGAATCGATCGGAAGAAGCTTTTGAACATTTCCATTTCCAGTGCTTAGAACCTTTTCTTATGGAGAGGCTATTTAGTTGTTTACATGGAAGTCATTAATCTGATGTAAGTTTGACATGATGTCATTTTGGTTGCAGGCTGGTGTTTCAGGACGCAGTTCCTGCTGTGGGAACCCCGGCAAGCGTGGCTCTCATGAAGCATGTTTTGATAACCAGGAACAATTTTGAGCGAGCCGAAGAATGGCTTAGATCTTTGGCATTCATTTCAAGGTGATGAGAAAACTCAGTAATGCTGAATTTGAACTTGAGGAAATGTTAAGGACAAGCATTGAATGAACCGTAACTCATTTGAAAGTACTTCATCACTATTTGCGTGTACCTAGCCAGTTGCCACACTGAGTCACACTATTACGAGAGTGATGCAACGTGCATGCGTTCTCTGATGAGGGTGCGGAATTTACTGTAGTCATCCTCTTGCACAAATTGATTGGGAGGTGGTAAAATCTGTGTATTTTGTGTAGATTGGTGTAGCCCATTGCTTTTCTTTGCGCTCTTTGAGAGCTGAAGCCGTGTGTAGTGAAGTGTAAACCTAAAACTGTTCGTTTTAGGTTTACATGGAAAACTCGTGCATAGATAGTGGGTATTGTCTATGAGAATTTCTGAAGTGTTTCGCAGAATGATGGGTATTATTTGAAAATTTATTTGTGTTTGCCTTAGTGAGCTATTTATTTTTGAAGGTGTATTCTGTTCGACGGTAGGTTCTGTTATATAGCGTGTTGTGTTTGTAGAGCTGAGTGGTTGTGAGGGTTATGTCCTGTAGTTGATCGTGTTATTTCATCAGCAAAAGCTATCTAGTCTGTGTTGGGTATGTGGTGGGAGGTCGTGTCGTGGGTGTAGAAGCTGTATAGTCTGGGGTAGAGACAAGCTCCACGGGAGACAACTGTGTGACGTTGTAGCGGGAGACTTATGCGATTATCTATTATTATGAATGCTGTTCTGTCTGTAAGGTAGTTTGCGAGTGTTTTGGTATAAGACGGATGGAGGTTGAGTTGGATGATCTTGTATTAGAATATAATATAATTGTCGGCACCGAACAGATAGGGCCATGGTATGTTGCCAATTCTTGTACTTTTCGTGATCCGGCCACAACTGATCCAGCTTTCTGAACCCGATCTTTCCATACTTGACGATTGTTGGAGATAGCTGCTGGACTTATTGCCAGTTCCGTAAGATGCTAGGAATTTCAAGACTGAACATATGCTCCTGCATAGCTTCGTCTAGTCTGTTCTTGAAAGCGTTCATACTCGGAGCGTCAACAATCCTGTCAGGGAGGCTGTTCCACATGTCGGTGACTCGAAGCAAGAAGAAATTTTGTCGCATGAATGTGTTACACCGCAGTTTTTTTAGTTTATAGCCGTGGCCCCATGGTGTTTGTTCTTGTTTCAAATTCTAGGACTCATTCTGGGACCTTGTATAAACCGTAGGTATACTTGTATACTTCAAAGAGGTCACCACGAAGACGTCGATTACAGAGGCTTGGAAGCTTCATCATCTTTAATCTTTCTTCATATGGCTTGCCTTTTAATCCCGGAATTATCCATGTTGCGCGTCTTTGAACACTCTCGACTAAATTTTTGGAGCGAGTCCTGCAAAGAACCGGCCGAAATGGCATGATTGAATATGTATAGTAGATTGTGGATCATGTTTTTGGGTAGGTGTTTGAGTTGGAGGGTTGTGATGAATGTGAGACCAGGTGCGTTCTGTTTGAATGTTTTTAGTCTGCGTTGTAAGTCTTTATGCAATGGTGATAGGCGAGAAGTCTGCAGGGTGTACTTTTGTAATTCAACTATTATATAGTTGAATTAGGTGTACTTTGTTGCTGCCGTGGTCATGTATTATGTGTTCTATATCGAAGTCTTCATTGTCTGTGTCATCCTGAGTGAATATGTCCTGTCAGTGGTTGCGGAATATGGATTTTTTGTTCCGGTGTTATGTTGAATGTTGCTGTGTTTGCGGTATGGGACAGCTTGTTGGGTGTTGGACCCGATCATGCGTTTTGGGATGACCAGAATATTTTAGGATCTGTTTATGTTTCTAATGTGCTAATGAGGTCCTGCAATGTCTGTGTTTGAATGTGTCAGTATGCTGTGTGTATTGTTGACGTAGGGTAATGAGTTGTCTGTTGAGCGCTAGCGATGGAGCGTTGGTGTGAGTGGCTTGGTATTGTGTTTGAAAGAGTAATGTTCCGTGGGAGGTTTGATGCGGTGTATTGAGGTAGGGACAATGATATCGGTGGCTTTCTGTATACGTTTTGTCCAGTTATCTAAGTATTTGTCTATTACTTCTAGTATAGGGTCAGATTATGAGGGTACTGTGTTTTGTGATAATGTTTGTTTGTATTGTGTCCAGTTTGCTCTGCGGAAGAATCAGCGAGGACGGATGGGTATTTGTGTTGGATTTGCAGCCATGGTTGCTATTATGGGAATGTGATCTGACGGGTTAGTGGGTCCAGGCTGTAGGTGTATGTTGTAGAATGCTTTATTGTTGTATAAGACTCTGTCAGGTGATTTTAGGCTTTCTTGGGTTGGTGATTTTAGGCTTTCGTGGCGATGAGGGTTGGAAAGTAGGAGGCCGATGTGGGTTCATTTGCGTTGGAATATTGAGTGTACTTGTCTTCCTATGTGGTTGGAGCTGTTTCCTAATGTTGTGTGTTGTGAGTTTATGTCTTCTAGGAGGTATACGGGATGGGGCATATTCAAAAGTGTGTGTAAATCAATGTAGCTGATGTAGTCTATCCGGGGTGGAATGTATTTACTTGCTATTGTGATGGATGCTTGTTGAGTATCTATTATGATTGTGAGAATGTCTGTATGGGAGTTGTGTAGTTTGTATGGGACTATGTTTGTTTGACTATGTCGAGATATGTTTGGTTGATTTTGTGTTTGATAGTTTCGTGTGTGCTTGTTGTTTATTTTGCATTTTTGGCTTGCGGTTGTATGGACAGTTGGCGGCTAGTGTGCGGTGGTCTTTGTGGCAGTTGAGACATTTCTTGTAGGTGTAGCCGTAAGTCAGTATGCCTTGGGCTACTGTCGTGTCTGTGGTTATGATTTTGATTAGGTGAGTGTAGTGTTTTATTTTGGTGATGTCCTGTATGTGTAGCCAGCTTTGTCGTGTAGTGATTTCATGTTTGATTTCGTCGGCAGTGTGGCTTCCTATACGTCCCTGTCTAGTTGTCGTACAAAATGGCCCGTTTAGACTTCTGCTCGAAGGTCTGGGGGTATAATTAATGGGTGCCAAATTGATTCTGTTGAATGCTTCGGCCACCTTTTTCGAAGTCAGTTTGTCGGTCGCAGTAGCGTCGTCAGTCACAGCGTAAAAACCAGTGGCAGTGTCACTCAGTCGGAAAAGTGGAGCGTCGAGTTCGCTGAAGGTTGTCTGAAATATTTTGAGACGGTCGGTAGGTATTCTTGGGTCGATTTTTTTTTCAGTTCATTGCGGTAAGTCTGAGGTCTAAAAAGCGTTCTGATACGTTTGATGATGGGTTGGATGAGGATGAAGATGAGGGTGGTGGCTTAATGAGTGAGATGAGAGACTAAGTCGTGGGGATTACTGTCTCTCGCCCTTTGGGACAAGCCCGCATCAGGTTAGAGGCAGAAGTACCCCGTGGAGGAGGGGGCATGAGGGCATGGGGAGGGGGGAGTGAAAACACAAGTATGAGATGGGGATACAGTCGTAACTCGTATGTACAATAAAAAGAGTGGAAACAGAGGTAGAAAAAAGTAGAGCAACTAGTTCCTAGTGACACGCCCTCACTGTGAAAAGGCTGCTAGATCTAAGTGAATCACAAGAGAGCACACTTACAACCACCAGCAATGACCATGGGGGGCCGAAGAAAATGTTGTGATGCAAATTTACTTTTATGCACCCAGACCAACTAAAGCGACTTTGGAGGAGGCAGCTGGTCTTCTATCTCTTCCATCAGTACAAACGGAAGCCTTTATTGGAGTTGGTGCGTTAGTGAACGCTTACTGCCTGCACAACCGCGGCTGTCAGTCCCATGTGGAGGTCAAACAAATTATGGATTCTCTGCATGGCTTCCTAAAGGACTCTTGCATCAGCACCACCCCCGAAGAAAAGATCAGGGTATTGAACATACTCGTATAATTGTTGAAAGCTGACAACTGTAATTTGAAGTCGAGAACCAATGGAAAAATGTTTCAATAGCTTTCTATCTACATTATACATTACACCTTATCTGTAAAAACCTGTAACAGAGGATTTTAGTGCAAGGAAAAGGAAAAAAAGTTTTCCAGTACTCTGCCCCCAGGATAGTTTAACTAATAAACTGTAATATTTACTTGATGTCACTAAAAGCTAGATAATTTTTCAGGCGTTACTGGCCATAAAAGGCGTTGGCAACGCCGGTTTGGCTGCCACGTCACAGACGGTCGACTTGCTGCGAGCTTGTATAACCGCCACCGAGCCCAGCAATGAAGACGAGATTCGAGTGGCCGCCGTCAACTCCTTCAGGTGATTTGGAGCGTCGGTCGGTCATTCCTTAGAAACTGTGATGAAGCCAATTTGAATATTTTAATATCTTCTTGAAGAGAATTTTCCGATGAATTAATTGTAAATTTCATTTAAACGCAGTTTAAACAAATAACTTTTTTGAAAAATGATATAATTATATACCCAATAATTTCTTGAAATTTATGAAAGGCGCTTCCACTGCAATCTGACGCATCCTCTGATGGAGTTTTTCAAAGACATGCGAGAAGACTCGGAAGTTCGTATCTGGTCGTACCTCGGAATGATGCGTTGTGCTGACTACGATGTTCTAGCGACGGTCATGTCTGTGCTGCATGATGAAGAAGTCAACCAAGGTATTCATTCCAGTGCCATATTTTTCAAAAATACCTACAGATTACTTGAGGGTAGAATTAAGGATGCAAACTAGGCAATCGCGTGGGGCATTTGCAAGAAAGGTTTTTAAACAGCAATCTAGAGCTTTAAGTGACTTATTTGCAAAATGACTCCAGTTCCTTAGGAGCAAAATTAAGAAGTCAACAAGTTTGTTGGGTCACAAAGTCGTACTTGACTTAGACGTTTTCTTTGGTAGACAGTTAAATTGCGAGCCAAGCTATTGCAAGCAAGATCGATACACCATCTGAGTAATTGGTTATTATGTTGTCAGGTCAGAAATGAAATAATGAGCACATACGAGACAAAATATTGAATGAATGTTTAATTTTAGCGACGATCTTTTGCATAAAATCTTTACATTTACTATTATTCTTGTATTATAGTCATTTGAAAAGAACCGACATATGTTTTTCCAGTCCAAGATATTAAATAATGCCGCAAAAAGGATTACTGCCGCCCATATTAACACGTTTGTTACCACAGTGGGATCGTTCGTGTGGACTCACCTGACCAATATACAAGAAGGCTCACTCCCGTCTCGTAATGCCGTGCAAGCTTTGCTTTCTAATCAAATCCTGCAGGAGAAGTTCAGGACCGACCTCCGCAAGTTCTCTCGCAATTACGAGTGGTCGCTGTTCTACGACCCTCTCAATATCGGTACGTTGCTGCATATATCACTACACGTATTGTGCTACTACTATCCACAATGTGCCAGGTGGTGATGTCCGAGTCAAAATTATAGAAACTTGGGAATATAAGGCCACATAAAACTAAAGTAATTAAAGCAATAATGACCTGTTGTCAGAAACATCGACCACATGCCACTATTGCCGTTATAGTCTTCTCAACGAAGTGGTGGACCTTAATTTGTTGTCTCGGGGTATAAGCCTAGATTGTGTTTATCAGGTGGAAGTGTGGAAGGCAACGTCGTGTTCTCTCAGAAGTCCTACATTCCTCGGTCAGCCTCACTAAACTTCACCACGGATCTCTTCGGGCAGTCCGTCAACTGGCTAGAAGTGAGAACGTGCGCAAAAATTTATTCTAAAGTTGTAGTTTTTATGTCATAGGGAAAGGCAACTCAAGGGCAGCGTTCACTAAACAGCGATTTACAAAGGCGTTCACTTGAAACATTTCTCATTTACTCAATCAAATGAGTTATTATTGTGACGAGCATCTTTGATTTTGTTAAAATTTACATCAGTCACCGCCGATTATGATGATTAACCGCTTATTAAACATGTACGAAAAAATGCGAGTCAATAACCACATAGCAATTGCAAATGTAAGTTATTTCTGCTTCGAAAAATTAATTATTGGTTAATCGTGGTGAGAAAAAGTGCACTTATCAACAATAACTTTAAAATATAACAGCCGTTTGCGAGATGAATATCTGGCTGCAGGAGACGGTTGGGAAATAACTGTCAGTTTTCCAGCACTTTGGGACGGTGACCTTCACGCATACTTGTCTTACAATACTTTCTGTAGCGCAAGCCCAAACGTTCGACGTAGCTACAAACTTTTTTATTATATTCCCTCACAGTTTGAAACTCGCCTAGAAGGTTTTGAGAGGCCCCTAGAGAACATGTTCATGGGTAGCATGCCCATGCCCACCTCTGACGACATCAAAGACAGCGCCGTGAGAGCTCTCATTGAGCGCACCGGGGCCGCGGAGGCGTACCGCAGCAAGCAGCCAGAGGTGAGGAGCTGTGTAACTCATTCATTTGCTCCTTCATTACTTGCAATGCTTCACTGATATAAGCTGAATTAATCGTGATAAGTAATTAAAGAATTTCCAGATCTGATAACGGCTTACCTTACTAATTATCTCACTTTTTTTGGCGATCAAATGTATTTTAAAAGACATTGGTCGTAGATTGTTGGAGACTCAGGTTTACTAGGATGGCCAATCAATTATTTACATGAACTTTAAAATTTCTTCGCTAGAGGTTGAACATTGTGTTTTGTGCCATTAAACTGGGGCAGAATTTATGTTTCTTGCTGTTATCGTATCTTTTCGTTGAAATATCAAGTATGTAAGTTACCCTGGAAAATTCGAAATAGTCGCGTATAGGTTTGGTTTACATTTTAAATATGTATTGAATATTCAGTGGGATTTTAATTTTATTATTTTCAAACATTTCCCTCTTCAAACTTTACCGATATCATGAGCTTGTCGTAGAGGAAAGAAATTGAGCCGAAGTTCTCTATGAAATCTTTGCTTCAAAGAATAAGGCTTAGTTGACGAGAAACGCTATAAAATGGGTTTTAATATTGAAGTAGGTAAAATGTTGCATCATAATGCCAGGAGTTCGGTGGAGATATTGTTTTGGGAAAACTATTTAGCTTGCTGCACACTAGAGGTGTTGGAGCAGATTATTGATATCATGATGGGTCAGCTCAACCTTTTCTGTACGTCAAATGTAATTTAGCTCGCCGCTATCTGCCAGGGATTTGAGCTGCTAAGAACCAATAGGTTTACTGAGTGTAAACCTATTTAACGGGACTTTGAGCTGCGAAGAACCAATAGGTTTACTGAGTGTAAACCTATTTAACAGGACTTTGAGCTGTGAAGAAACAATAGGTTTACTGAAAAATCCCGAGTCTTTGTAGGTGAATTGCTTACTTCCACAGGCGGGGTTATGCATGCCTCTTAGCTGATGAGTACAGCGGCTCGCTCCTTCACTCGATTTGTACTTTGAAATTAAAATTTTCGATCGTCCCAGTGCAAACTGAAACCAGCCGACAATGTTGAATGGACCAATACTTCTCCATTTCTTTCAGCTTTCGATGGCACTTCGCATGTTTGGGAACGACGTCTTCTTCCAACACCTCCACGGAGGGACAACAATCAGGGAGGCTTTCGCTAAATTGGACCCCACGAGACTCATCGAGCGACTCAATAACGGAGAGGTGGGCATTATTTTCCCATCGCATAGTTACGTTCACTACGCGATCAGTTGTACTCTGTGGAATTTTTCTCTTCCAGAAATTTGTGTTATTAAGTGAAAAGATGTAGACCAAATTAAAAAGATCAAATATTAAAGATAGATAGTTAAGTACCTCCCTACACATTAGGAGGTACTTAACTTCGAAATGTTCTCAGTTTCAAATCACACTGCACGGCAATGCCAACCCAGATAAAAATTGCTGGCCCCGACGTGAGCAGTATAGAGATTAGCGTACCAACACAGTTTATTACATAAGGATACAAGAAGGCTATTTATACCCAGCATTACAAACTTAACAGTTCAATAATTCACTTAATTTTACTACATTTTCTAAAAATTACTCGACGTGTGCCGTCATAGTTGTCTCATAGTTCATGTGAAAATACTGGGTAAATAGCGAGCAGGATTCGTATTCCACCAGCTGTTATGGTTTGCCCAATCTAGCTAATCTAGTGTGCAATGTTAGTCATAGATTCAATGGACAAGTTTTTTCGATTAAAACTAATATTGAAAAACATCCGGTACTCAAAAAAAATCATTCACGAGTAGAACTACCCTGATTCCCCAACACTACTTCCTAAGTTTTAAGACGCAGATTATCCTCGTATTATCTCTTGTTATTTCTCGTAGACACTATCGCTGCAAAAAAGCATTCGTCCGATTGAGTCGTTCGGTCGTGTGGCGACGTCCGCTGGGTTGCCCGTCTCCCTGGAGTTGACGGGCACGCTGTCCCTGGACGTCCTAGCCACGGCCACCGTGCGCTTCGGGACGCTCTACCCTGACTTCAACCCCAGCGTCGACATCCACGGCACACTCAGTCCAAGGTCTGTTACGATGCTAACATTTCCTTATTCACTATTGTGCAGGAGATAACTTAATCCTAAACGGTTAGTGCAGTGACTGACCGTAATTTTTAACACTATCATTTGTTTTTCTCTTTGCTAGGAGATACAATTTTGAACATTATTTTTCATCCCCATATCTCAGAAACCCCTTTTATTTGATACTATTTTATATTTTTATTTTTAAATGTATGTTGAAAGTTAAGATTATCTCTGATCGGTGTGTTAGAAAACTTTAGATAAGAGTTAAATTCGCAAGAGTATTACAAACGCTTGTAATGATCGTCAAATATCAACTGTGTGGCAGCGTTGCTAGCGACATAAGAGCGACGTTGAAGATCGACGGCATGGCAGCGGTGGCTGGCGTGGAGGTGGCGGCGTCACTGAGCTCCAGGAGCGCTCTGTCAGGCCGCATCAACGCTAATGGCATGAGCTCGCTTAACCTCGACCTCAACATGCCTAATGAGAAGGTCGAGTTCATCAACGTCACGTGAGTTCAGGGAAGCGAACGCTACAATATTTTTGGTTTTATATCAGTGAGGCTGAGAATTTACAAGGCACACGTTAATACTAACCTGATTATACAGCCAAGCAAGCATACTCTCACGTCGAATTTGTCTAGGATGAAATTGACTCATAAATATAAAAGTCTCACCATGTTTAACAATGCTCCAGTTCTCAGAACCTCATTTTCAGCTATCTTCACTCTATGTGTGAACTGACTGGTGTAAGTTAGAAAAAAAATTTGTATTAGAATGTCTTTACTTCACGCAGCGAAAAGCGTTATGAATAATACTAGTAGTTCTCAACTCGGCGGGACCGTCCACTCGAGTTACGGAGCGAACATTTTCTTTACGTATCACAAAAATTTCGTAATTATTTTGTCTATCTCTGACAAAATAATTAACTCTGGATATGTCGAATCATTTAAACTATATCTTTAAATTAGATGTGCCTAAAACATTTATGTTCTCCAAGAAAATAGTGTCCTTATTGCAAGTAAAATTTTTAATATATTACGAAAATCAAGCTTTCCATGCAGGTTCCTTGAATTACTGACAAGGCTTGTGTGCAATTTTTATTTTGTATTTGTGCAAATAACGCCATTTGGTTGATAGCGTTCAGCACGCATCAGTTCTAATATTAATATTGAATATATTGTTATATATTGTTTGACCCATTTTCAAACCATTAAAAATATTCAAATCAAACTATTTTTAACCTCTATTTGGTTATTACAAACCTTAATCGAACCAGCGTTAATATCTTCGTTATTGCTGGCCCATAGCATATTTCTGTCCGTTGTTTGTCGGCATGTGAACTACTGCATCACTTTTTGAGGAATCGTATCGAATTTTATGGCGCAATTCGGACAATTTATATTCCGACGGCAGGTCAAATCTGTTCCTGCTTCATGGCTCAGCATCTGCGAGTGGTGAAACGCTACGAGTTGACCCTGAAATTATAGTTGCTGATAAGAAAGTAGAAACACACGACTGCACTCCGTACGCCGACGAGATAGGAGCGACGGCTTGCTGGTCTGTTCTGTTCCCTAACACCTCTGAGGTGGAGGGAGCTCCTAGCTTCCCACTAACTGGGTCTGCACACCTCAATGTCGTGGCCATCAAAAGCGATCCCAGTTTGGGGACATATCAAGTCCGGTACAGCTTCAACAATAATGAGGTGAGCAAGACTGCTGCCACATAGTCGCAAAACAGCTTTCCATTAGAGTCGTATGAACCTATTATTTTTTCTTATTGTTTTGAACGACTTGCGGTGCAGATTGGGTGAATATCTTGTATACCTTCGTTTCTTAGTGTATAAAATTTTGTGAGAGCTTGACGCTGCTTTTAATAGAAACTAATCGAGAATTGGTATTACGCACTATTCTGGACGGCAGAAATATAGTCCGAAATTTCCAAAAATCATGTAACCCTGAAATTTGCTTCCTGTTTCAATATATCATAAATTAATGCTCATGCATATAATCTGTCGCGCGTAAATTACATTTTCTAAGCAATTGTGTGCAATTGTTATAGTGGTACACACTTCTACAGAACGAGCGTCGCTTGATACTATCAGGCAACACTCCAGGCACGGCTGTCTCCAGGGAGCACAGCCTCGTGGCGGCTCTTAACGCTCTGCAGCGCACTGCTGACCTCAAGATCAGTACGCCCAAGTGGAATTTTGACGCCAAAGGTTTGATAATCGTCATGTACTTCAAATAATTTCATTACAAACTATAAAAGCTGAAATATACAATGAGACATGGAGTACAAATATTTAAATGTTCCCTAATGCGGATATTCATTATATATATATATGTTTTTTTTTTATTTTTACCTTCATTCGTCGATTGTCAGTAGATTTCAATAGTTCAGCTACTTCGATTGTTGCCTTTTGCATCCTCGCCGAATCAATATTTTACTGCCACTAAACCTTCCTTCATAATAAATTTTGGCTCTGTAAAATTCACCTCTTCTTGATTCAGAAGTTTTCTGCACTTTCATTTTTTGAGTTCTATACCAACGAAGCACCTAAAGTCTTGTAGTGTTAACTCGAATTCGCCAAACTCGGATCAAGTATCGTTTACTAACCTAACCCAACACATTTGCAATCATATACAAATATTTTGTGCTTGCTACATCCAGTACAAAAACTTTCAATATCACATCAGGCTCATAATTCAAATGCTGATTTATACTACAACTTTCTGTGCCATGGTTTGCTTGTTGTTGGCGCAAGCTCAAGAAATTAATGTCATGCGGCTTCCAGGTCCAAACATAATCATAACAAATAAATTTTTTGTTTTCAGGTCGCTTTGTGTGGGATAGATCGGTCAAGAAACTTGATTTGGTCTGCCAAATTGATGGGCAGCTGGTGGCCGAGGTGAGAGCTTGAGGACCGCGAGTATTTAAATAGATCTATTTAATGTTTGTAGGCTTCTTTAAGAGTTTATTGTGGCATATATGACTACATATTGCACAGCTATAGCCTGGTGCTGTGAACAATTTTCATGGGTTTATTTAAATTTTGTTGAGGTTTTTACGGAGTCCCGCAGTTCATTTTTAATATAGTATAATAACATATAATAATACAAATCATGATAATTTTTACCAGTGAACATGCAAATAGCAAGTTTTGGTTTCAGGTGGAACTGAACATGGCACGACACGAGAAAGATGGTCGGAAAAACCTGATACCGACAGCGAAAATTAAATGGAGGGGAAGAGATCTTTTCAATCTCGGAGGTAAACATTTCTTTTGACGCTTCATAAATGTATTGGCAGTACATCAAAAAATGTTAATTGACCCTACATTTATGATAAGTCGGGCAGCTTTGCCAGACCCGACATTAATGATAAGTCGGGCAGCTTTGCCAGACCCGACATTTATGATAAGTCGGGCAGCTTTGCCAGACCCGACATTTATGATAAGTCGGGCAGCTTTGCCAGACCCAACATTTATGATAAATCGGGCAGCTTTGCCAGACCCAACATTTATGATAAATCGGGCAGCTTTGCCAGACCCAACATTTATGATAAGTCGGGCAGCTTTGCCAGACCCAACATTTATGATAAGTCGGGCAGCTTTGCCAGACCCAACATTTATGATAAATCGGGCAACTTTGCCAGAAGTAATACAGTTGACCAAAGCGCATGATGGGCAGAAACTGGGTGCGTTAATCACCAATTTCAATGACGTTACAATTTCGCAACAAGATAAATGTATAAATAAATAAATAAAGTGCTGAAGTCAAAGTGCACCTCAAAGACAGCATTTCTTCTCGACTTCTCACAGCGCAGCTGGACTAATATTCTTCACAGTAATTCCTCGTCCACGGAATTTACGACCAAGCTCAGAAAAAATCTCCACGATAGTTGGTCAAATAAAATAACAGTTATTTTCGAACTGATACCTAAATAGGAAAACTGGTTGATAAAATACAAAAATGAATGAAATTATCTTGTGGATATGATTGTTATTGTCATTTATTTTGAACAGTTCTATGTCGAAGAATCTATTATGACAGTAATACGGCACATCATTAATAATATATCATTATTAATAATACTAAAGCTTCGACACTCCTGAATGATTACAATTGATTGATCATGAAACTGCTAAACTGCAAATGGGTTATAATCACAGGAGAAATAGAGGCCCTGGAGAAGCAAGGGTCTGTGGTGTACAGCCTCGGGCTGCAGTTCTCGGCCAGCGGGCTGGAGGCGACGACTCAAGAAGCGCTCATCAGGGGCGAGCTGCACGGCGAGGTCAAGGAGGGGGCCAATGAGAAGAGTATTAATCTTAACATCGATTATAATATTGCGGTGAGTGAAATCTAATATTATCTCTTTACATCAACTCTTTCATTCATCGTCTTCTTTGCTCTTGTTGCATTTAATTGATAATTCTACAGTCAGAGATACTATTTTATATGCGGTCACCTTAACATAAATCACTAATTTTGTTTATTTTCCTTCAAATAAATCCTTCTTCGGTACAACGCGACTTGTTCGCGAAAGCTATGTACTCGCTAGAAGAATGTTGTATTAAAACAAAATTTGAGTGGGCAGAAGCGTTTATTTATACTGAATGACTATGTTCTTAGGGTGAACAGCACAGAACGACCGTGGATTACACTCTACTGCACACGTCTGACACCGAATATAAGTTCGTGAGTGACAGCGAGGTCGTCTTCACTCAGTTTCCCACGCTCAATCTCGTCTGGAAGAACTCGTATCGGGTAAGTCGCTCTCTATGACTTCGACTGTTCTACAGTGTGTAGTTCCTGAGTTAACAACAGAACGAGTCACGCATGCGTTCTTAAATGGTGCTTTTGTATGTGTGTTTGTATACGTGGACAACACCACTAGGAAAGTAAAGAAGCACGAGAGGCGGCACAGAATGGGCAGAAATTTAAGAAGAAAGGGAAATCCCATTTGGAGTCGAAAAAAGGCATAATTAATTTTTGTCGCACGATTAATTTTTTGTGATTGGGTCTGGATTGAAGTTGAATGGGGAACGAAACAAGTTAGGGCTTCGGAGACTTGAGTAGTGAATTTATGTGCGGGGTTCATTTATTGATGTAATTTATAGAATAGATAACCACATTTTTACGATTCATTCAGACCTATGTAGAGTGTCACACGAATCAGCTCTCGTTACGTCAGTGTGTTCAGCAACGTGAATGACGAGCGGCTCTTGCATGTCTGGTCTCGAGATATGCTGCTAAAACATATCAGACTTTAATGGCTTATGAAATATTAGTACAAGGCGCCGCAGACTCCAGGTGTTAATATTTATTCTTTAATTTGCGTTGATGTCCTCTGCTGCCAGTTGAAGCGTGGGTCTGTCGAGATGAACATTATGCTAAACTTCGGAGAACATTTCCACAACGACGATCACGCCGTTAATTTCCATCGAAGTCTCACTTTCCTGCACTCAGAGGAGCAAACGTTGATCAGCAGCAAGCTCGCTCTCGGGGTTGGTGAAGCATTTCGTAACTGGATACTGCTTAGGATCCATTGTGCTGAACATCTTCCTAGCATTTGTTTCTTTTCAGTGGAATGAATGCATGAAAAATTTAATGAACTTTTCCAATCGAACAGCTAACTTCAAGAAACTATATTTGCAGCACAAAATGAGCAACATAGACGTGATGCTGGCGGCAGACTTTCTCTCTGACTGGACCGATGTCGTCTCCACCGGCTTCGTCTTCCAACTCGTCTCAGGTAGGCCGAAATTTTTGAAATTATTTGCATGTATCGAAAATCTTCAGCGACGCATTAGCAAGCAGTTTGGGAAGATAATTCTGGCACGAGAATTCATTTTATTTGTCTACTTTCGTCGATGATTCTTTTCCTGATGTCCTTATATGAAGGCAATAGGTTCCATGAAAGATTTAAGGTTCTTAGACAATAACGATTTTGGTTTTTCCAGCATTTTTTATACCAGAAGATATTGTTACCACGCGGAGATCACTACATTCGTCCTCACGATCAGTTAAAGTAGTAAAGAAAGGTAAAGTTGTTGAAATTCTGAGTATAAATTGTAACTAACTAATTTTTTTGCTTAGAATTTTAATTGCGGAAAAGTTCCTATACGAATTAGTTCGAAATTATTCGTTGTGCAGGACGCGACGTCTCGTCACGCCTGCACCTACAGAAGGTCCCAGGTCCCCGGTTGGACGGCTCAGGAAGTTTCGCCTTGAATGTTCCGTCGCTATCAGAAGTTCTAATCAACGTAACCATCAACGAGACTTCGAAGAGCTTGTATAACGTCAGTGGTTTTAAATCAGCAAGCAGCTTAAGAAATATTCTTAAGGCCTCGTAGTGAATCGGGAGTGTGGATTATTGGCTGTTAAGATGGTCAATATGGAAATGATATTACTATTAGAGATGAACTCCATTCATACCTGAATCTTCCTTGTATTGAAAAATATCATACCTTTCCGTTCATTGAATTCAATGCTACGGCCCGTAATCTAGTAAGGATAGAGTTAGCGTTTGCATTTTGTGTTTTGCACGTCGTTTAACGCGGCCATTATACGAATTAGGCATTTATACTGTTGTTTTTTAAGTTTGTTGAGGTTTTGGTGCAAGTAAGGCATTTTTTTATTTCTGTACTACTCAGATTGGTGCTACAGGCTCAATAGGAGCAGGTAACGAAATGAGCCTGATAGGCACGTATGAAACGAACCCGCCGCTGTCACACCACCAACTCCTGCTCACTGCACGGCTGCCGGACCAGACCTCGGCTAACGTTAACGTCACTGCGCTCTTCACTTGGGAGAAAGCTTTCGTTACCATAGAAGTACTCTATATATTTTAAACTATGAGATATTCACATTAAAAATAACAACAGACTATTTGTATAGTTTACATTAAGAAGCTTTTGGTATCTCTTACTGCGCTATATTTGCGTAATAAACAAAATAAATTTATCAGATTTCAAGCCGCTTCTAAAGACAACAGCGTCTTTGGTTTGCCCGTTTTTTCTTGCACAGGAAAATACTGTTCTTGAAAATGTCTTCGACATTTTGCAGTGTTATTCTTTTTTTCCGTGTGGAGGATCTACCGAGCGCTAAATAAGAATTCAGGACCAGGACGGCAACGTTGCGTGGCATTACATGCACTCTTCTTCCCACAGGTGCAACCCCAAGGAGGCGGCGCCTACAGGAGCACCGCTTGCTACACGCACGTTATCGACCAGCTCGCCGTCAGCACCAAATCTTTGGAACTGGAAATTTCCTTTCCCAAATTAACTGTTAAAATATCAACGGACCTTTCAATTGGTCAGGTTGTTACCGTCACAAACCGTCTACAGTCCGACAGGTTGGTTATTTTTATCAATAATTAAATTGTGAGGGATTGGCATTGCAACTGCAATGCGCATCCTATTTGTTCAGATTATAATTTGTGAATGAATTTTAGTAACAGTAGTAGGGAATTTTAATGAGGATGCCAGTTCTAAAGTCAAGTTGACCAATTTATTTCGTTCAAATTGCATTTATATAGTTCCGTAATTTGTAGGACGTTGTTAAAGAAAAGTATGGAAATTTACTACATGCTATATAAAATTAAGAGCTATAATTTGCTAGTTCAATATCGGTGATTGTTCAGGACGCAAGACGTCATCACTCGTCTCGTCCTGGACATCCTCAAGCCGAAGAAGAAGGGAGCGCGGATGACCCTGCAGTGGGACCCCAACAGGTTGTATTTACTCACTTCAACCTGACATTTTTCTAAACATCAACATTTTTTTGCCATATTAACCCAATCTGACCATACTTTTCTTAACAGTAAATCCTATTGCATCATATTTAATTATGATCCAATTTTATGATTGTATATCTGTAAGGCTGTATATCGTGATTTTTAAGGCACTGAATGGAAATTGAGATCAGCAGGACCGACCATAACTTGGGTCAGTCGGAGCCCAGAAGTCATTGAGATTGCAACCCGTGTATGGACATTGTCAACTGACGGTATCGTGCCTTAGCCACTTTAGTTCAGTAGATAAACACCGCCTTTAATGTGTTGCGGAGCTGGACTTCCATTTGCTTTTCGGGAGCTGGCCGAATTGAAGTTAGTCTTGAAGAACACGTCCGTCGTGACCACTTGAGATGATCAGATTAACTGTCTAGGGGACTATCAGGTCGCTCGAATAGTCCATTAGTGTGAGATTTGGCATCTATTATCCATGAGGGTTGGCATCCATTAATATAACGGTTTCACATGATGTTCTTGTTTTTATTCAATTGTTACTGTTAGGGTTTGATTATTTAAAGGAAATACCTCACAAGAGTATTACGAACCCGACGAAGCACCAACTTCATTACAATATCAACACATGCAAACATTACATGCAACGATTCTAGTTGCATCATCTCAATGTCTCTCGTTTCTCAGTCGTGGCTAGTATTGTAGTGCAGCTGTACGTATAAAAAAAGTGCCTGACAGCATTTTTTTGACGCCGTATGGAGCATGTCGCTTAAAAATAATTGGTTATACTTTTTTCATCCTAGGGACCCGTTGTAGAAGTAAGAGTTGTCCCTGCTGCGGGACTGGTCTGATCTTACCCTCTTACATCCTATGGACCCGTTGTAGAAGTTAGAGTTGTCCCTGCTGCGGGACTGGTCTGATCTTACCCTCTTACATCCTATGGACCCGTTGTAGAAGTTAGAGTTGTCCCTGCTGCGGGACTGGTCTGATCTTACCCTCTTACATCCTATTGACCCGTTGTAGAAGTTAGAGTTGTCCCTGCTGCGGGACTGGTCTGATCTTACCCTCTTACATCCTAGAGACCCGTTGTAGAAGTTAGAGTTGTCCCTGCAGCGGGACTGGTCTGATCTTACCCTCTTACATCCTAGGGACCCGTTGAAGAAGCTAGAGTTGTCCCTGCAGCGGGACTGGTCTGACCCAACCTTCAGCTCCATCAACGCCACGGCGTTCCTGGGGCTCCTGGACAACACTTATCAAATGGCATTGACTTCTACGGCGCTCAGTGAGATTATATAGCTAGCTTACTTTGGTCCTAAACTATTTTAAAACATTTGGACTTTGTATCTGATATTATAAGCAAGACTGTTATCAAATTGTGTGCATTCGTTATTGTGTTAAACGATTTTTCATTATTTATAAAATTAATTAGAAAGAATTTTACTATATTGTGAATATTCAATTTTTTTTCGATTCAAAAAAGGAGCATGTGTGGTGTGTGCTCATGTTAAATTAGTAAAGTATAGTAATGCCGTTGCTGAACAATAGGAAAAGTTTGGCCTCTTGCCGATTCTTGTAATTTTTGTGGATGAAATGCTGAGAATATACGTACGTCTGCATAGCAAACTATAGGCTGAGAATACACGTATGCATGACTTTTTAAAATAAATCAATTAATTGATCTAAGGAGTAAATGTCGTTAACATTACAGAAATGTACAGAGGAGCAGCGTTTCTATGGGAACAGCGGCACAGCGGTCGTCTGACGTGGCAGGATTCCCTCACCAGGGAACGTCAAGAAGTTGTTGGTTCCGCACACGCGCGTCTCTCTCGCGCCCAAACTGCGGAATTTGTCGCAAATTTCGATCTCGCGACTCCTTTTGAAGACTGGAACGACAACTACTTCAGAGTGCTGTAAATAATTTCCACTGAAGATTATTAACTTAAATGAGTTTTTTTCTGAATATTTAGCTTACATGAGGTTAGAATCAGTTTAGCTTTGTTTGGCTTACTTATTTTCTGTTTGGGGTTGATTAATTAGTAGTAAAGAAATTTGAAGAACCATCACAGTTTTAGCGGTATTTATTTGATATAGTCCTAAGACCATTTAGACTCGGTATTTTTCCTAAGACCATTTATTCGGTATATTTTATTTAAAAAACCAGCACAATTCAGCCCACTCAATTTAAAACCAATCTCCATGTATGATTCGACACATTTCAAGCACACTTTGCGAAATCTGTTACCACACGTCTATTTTTGCCTCTATGATACAATTTTACGTTGTATGTCAACACTCATAGTTGCTCGTTAGCTAGTTATGGTTAATATTAGTGCAGTTGCTCGCATAAAAAACAGCACCTGGCCTCATTTTTACCGCCGTTTTATTGACATGTAGGTTACGGATTTCATTTCATTATTTCCATTCAATAAATGCTGTTTATGCCTTTTGCATCCTAGGGACCGAATGATTAACATAATTTGTGTCTACTTAAAACATGAGAGACCAAATGGTGTCAGCACTCAGTTTGAGTCAGATTCAATTAAATTCGTAGTTTCTTGATAAATAAATAGAACCTCTAGTTTAGTTTTAAAACCTGCTTTTCCTCTCAAGGTATTCCCGCGATGCAGATCGCATAAACGGTGTGGTGAACAGTCGATGGCATGACGATGAATTCTTCGACGCACGAATGGTCGCGGAGAAAAGCTACGAAAGCCTCAGTCTGTTCAGTGGCAACTCTTCGCTGGATATCAGCTCTTCTTTCCGAGGCATGACCTCACTCAAGACTGGGGCTAAAGTTAACAGGAAACCTGGTCTTTTGGACTCAACAATGTTCATGCAGGTGAGAATTAGCAAGAAAAATCTTTATAATACATGAAAAACGATGATAAAATATCTTTCATGTTGTTATGTGTTCCTCAGGGTGACACAGACCGAGAGTCCTTTCTTCTCTAGGTGCATTATCATATATATGTTTATCTATCAAAGTCGGTTCTAATCTAGTGACTAATCTATATTTTATTTATGACCGCGTTCATAAATAATCAACTTGACGCTGTCGTTCTGTTTTCCCCAGTGGGAGGAAGACCGCATCGAGGTGCGGCTGGAGGGCCACGACCAGAGTTCGTCAGGGCAGCTTGACTATTCAGTGTTCGGGCACGCCGTCACGTCCCTGGACGGCTATCGCTCCCTCTCGTCGGAGCTCAACCTCGTCGCGTCGTCCAATAACGTCAACGCCAAGGCAGCCGCGCGCTGGGATGCTTTGAAATACGAACTTAAGTGCCGAGGTGCTTGCTGATTTTACTCTTATTTCCACATGTGCACTCAAAGCGTTTTGATTATACTGAAAAAAACTGCTGTTGAACTCTAATAGTGAAAAATCATAATAATGCTTATGTGATGTGCATAACTAGTAAGCGTGTTTTTTATTATTTATATAACAGGCAACCGTTATTCTGGCGACGATTACTTGAATGGCGAAATATGGCTTTTATTGCCTGGCTACGAAGAAGGTGATTTTTTCGGCCAAATGAAAATCTTCAAAGATCCCGTGGACCAGCGACATCGGCTGAAGGTAAAAAATATCACAAGCAAAAAATTAAATAATTTGTCCTTTGATTGTTTTTTCTTTTTATAGTACACTGTCCGAGAAAACGGTAAAAAACGGTCTCATGGGCGTGCTAGTGGCCAGTGGCCACGTGAAAATGAACCGTTTATCCATTTTTTTCTGATGATGTACGATTTTCTAGCGTTAAATTTGCATAAACACGGCCATACGGTGTTTCTTTCCACGTGCCGGCCGGCCACTATAACGCCGGTAAGACCGTTTGACGGTGATTTTTCTAACACTGCATGCCTACAAACAATAAATCATAAATGTCACTAGACCATCGGCAAGTGGGGTGGGAAGACTCTGCAGGTGGAAGGCCACGTCACGTCCGAGCGCCACGACTTCCACGGCAGCCTCAGCATCAACACTCCATTCGAGGCGCTCTCGCACGCTCTCCTGGTACTCGGCAAAGGATACGACGGTGTCAACCATAAGGTAACTCTAACATCAAAACCTGGTCAATTGAAAATTCAGAAGAAGAGAATTACATATTATTTGGCTCCGGACAGGAAATTAGCCTCAACTTGACCTCCATAATTTTAGGCTACCATTTATCTGTGCTTGCTGGAGTAAAAGGGTGCTGCTCCAGCAATCACACTATTTATGTTATTTGCCAGCAATAGTTTGGAGTCTGTCGAGTGTGTAAGCGTGGCATGCGCTGCAGCTACTGTGAGAAATTATACCCTTACAAACAGAGTAATGTTTTATTCACTAACCGAATGTATCATGTAATGTGCTCGTTGAAAGTACAATGAAATCAATTTAAACACCAACTATGAGCTGAACTTGTTTGTTAAATACATGCCTTTTATTTTTCTTGACTGTCATATATAACATTTCAACCACAATATTAATTGAAAAAACAGAGGAATTGTGTATTTACATCACATGATTAAAATCTGTGCAGTCGGAAGCCCGCATTGCGTGGGGCACGAAATTTTCTTATGGGTTCGAGCTGCTCGGTCACGTGACGTCCATCACCGACTTCCTCGTAAGCGCTTCAGTGCGCACGCCCATAGAGCGCTTCAAGGTACCAACGTGACTTTGCGGCTGCAAGTTAACTTTTTTAAATAATGAGTAAAGCTTTATGTTGTATCTATAGATAGGACTGTGTTTTCTACGTTGTTATGAGCTACAACTGATATAAAAGTAAAATTAACCGGATTTATTGACCTTATCTGCGGCATGATTTTAATTGTGTATTAATTTTTGACCAATTTTAAGGAAGTGAAAGCAGAAATTCGACACCTCTTTGACATCAGCGACCAAGTCCGTTGTCACTCCAGGATCTTTGGCCAAGTCGGTGACAAGAAAGTAAGTTTATCAGGCGTAGAAAGTTACAGTGAAACTGCATCATTTTAGGGACCTCTTTCTGTAAGAACTAGTGGAATGTGTGTGGTAAAATACGAAAAATTGAAGATATATCACTAACAATTATTTGAACGAATAAAGTTGATTACGAAGATAATTTTACAGTACGGCTTAGGAGGCCGCTACGAGCAGGGAACCAAGCCTCGCATTAGGGTCGCGTTCGAAGCGTATACTCCGCTGCCGATGCTAGAGTTGCTGTCGCTCGACTTGAGTGATAACAGCGCCTACCACGACTCTGACTACCAGCTTCAAGTTCTCTATGGCAGCAACAGTCCACTTCACCTCACTGTTGAAGTTGTCGTGAGTGAAATCTTTTTAAGCGATCGATGACTAAATATTAATATTTTTCGTCGTGTTACCGATATGAGGAGCAGATTACCTACCGGCATCGTTCACGCTCCAAGTCTAAACGCGTTCAAGAACAGACTAGATTAAGTTACTTTCCTCCACAAAAATCCATCGTCCCATAGCCCTAACTCAACAATCTACAACACGACGCAACAGAAAAAAAGAGCCTATCTTCGGAAACACTGTCAAACACATGCACCCAGAACGAAAGACGACAAAATCCACACTGAACACATCCACACCATGCAGAAGCACATACAAAACAACTGTACCATCTATAGTTTGTTTTCATTCTTTTCCCAGTGGCACCACACAGCACCATTACATCTAAGTTCTATTTGCAGTAAAATTACTTATCATTGTGCAGCGCGGACACGACGAGGAGGACTGGGCGGTGAAGGCCGAGCTGCCGTTGTCTATCCTGGACGCTAACATTCACGACCTCAGCCTCGACGTCGTCGCGGGTCTGAGCTGGGGCGACACGAGACGCCTCAGCTTCTCCCTTACTGCTGACTCCGACACGCGCAGGAAAGTCAGTGAAGTCATTCCTTCCTTACTTCTCGTTTCACATGATATACATTGGGATGTAATGCAGAGATGTCGTTGGGTTTCCTACCTGTGTTGTTGTATAAGGATTTAAAATGGAATTTGATGTCAATATTCAAGTTATATGTGAATATTTTGCCAGGATGACTGTTATCATTTTCCAATATTATTCATAATAAATGAACTCGAAGGTGGTGCTGATAACTCGCCTGCCACCGCACGGCGAGAACTCGCTCGAGGCGAGCCTAGGTGGGTTCATCACGTATCCAGGATACGAGGACGTGAGCCTTGATTGCCGCTTCTCGGTACCTTCGTACGACCGTCCCGGGGCGCTGGACGCGGCCTTCAGGTAAGCATGAGTTCGTGTGCTCTGTTGTCATTAAACAATTAAACATTCCTGGCATGTCCTTGTGCTCAACTCTAAGACATTCCCGACTGACCTATCCGTTCACTACAGAAACTCTTGAATACATTGGTGCTCAATTAAGGTAATGCAGGCGGACTAATACATTCACTACAGAAACAGTTGCATACATTGTTGCTCAATTATGACAGGTCTTTTGAGTATTTATATAATTGCACGACATGGCTTATGTCGCCTGCTACGTGCTCTGTTGCTTCACTAATGAGAGGGTCGGCATGTGCAGGACACACGGCGCCGGCACCACCGCTGTCAGGATGAAGGGCGACTACAGAGCGCTGGATGCTACGTTCACGTCTCCCTTCGAACCGTACAGGTCTCTCTATGTCTTATATTGTACAATATATCTTCTAGGTGTTATGTATTCTCATACTGAGGTGATGTGGACTGACCCGAGGTGTGAACATTCTCATACTGAGGTATAAGATTGTTGAGGTATATTGAAGGTAAATATCATATCAGAATATTATAACCTCAACTTCACTTTTCTCATCTAATCGGTGCTTAGTGACCCTCTAAACTATGTAAAGTATTTTTATTTCCGCTTGCACTAGTTTTGTGATGTGGCACGCTTGCGTTTAAAACTACGACTTAATAGGGAAATGAACATAGAGGTTTTACTTCATAGCGTAAATTTAGAGTTTTTCTCGGAATGTACATAAACAAGTTTATAAATAGATAATTGTATGATATAATTTCATAAAACTTGCATATATGATTTTAATTAAAAGCGAATTGCGTGTGTATTCATTTAACCAGTAAATGAATTGATGTCAGAACTGGAGAAGTGAGCTGGCGCTCGGTGCCGCTGAGCGTCGTGCAAGAGAAGGTGAGCGGCCGCGTCAAGTGGGAGGCTGGCGAGGTGACGATGGACGGCACGACGCACGTCAAGGGCGGCGCGCTGACCAAGGTGTCTTGCTTAATTTATGAAGAAATTATTGGGTTGAGAGGTTAAATTTTATGCACTTCTTGACTAAGCTTACAAAAATTTATGTAAGATACTTTCCGTAAACCATGGTATGTGGATCAGTGGTGTGATAGGTTGCTAGGTCTTACTCATTTACTTAGTTTCTCGAAATATACATATGATGCTTGCCGAGCCCAATGGAATGAGCGTCAGGGTTAACAAAGCCAATAGAAAAATTGTTGAAGAAAGTAACCACTCATTTGATTACATATGCCAACTTTAACTTTGTTTTCGGCCAAAGTGTGTCTTTCGTCATGTTGACCAAATATTTTACATATTTTTTAATTAAGTTCCATGCGGAAACTAAATTCTGTATCTTTCGTCTCAACTTTCTCCGGGCTGTGAACAATTAAATACGGAATGAATTTGTGAATAGTTTTTTCTGCTTGAAAGCTGAGGTTTCAAACAAGTTTAATGCGCTTGCTAAGCTTTGTTGCTCATATCCCAGCTTGAGGCTGATGTCACAACTCCTTGGTCAAGTTACGAGCGTTGCCGCCTAACTTTAGACAACACGCCTACTAGCAACGGCGTCGCCAGCCACGTCACTCTCACCAGCTCCTCAGAATCCTTCGTCGCTGATATTTCTTACGACAGAGACGCCAGTGAGAAGTGGACATGGAGTGCCACGGTAAGTTGATTGATTAAATGTCCAATTACTGAAAATCGGGACGGTTACTTGTGCAAAATAGAGCTAAAATAGGTTTTTAGATCTAATTTGACTTTTAAATTACATCCTGCATATCTTGTCAATTATATGTGACAAATTTTGCTTAAATTCTTGTTTTGGCTTCATTAACAGCAATAACGAAGTAGGTTCAGTAAGTTAAATTTTCGATTTTGATTTTTCGGGATCAGAGTATGGAGTAAGTTATGATTTGTAATTTATAGGTTTAACTTGCCAGATGCTCTTATACCATTGTTCAGGTTTCATTTTTTATTTTTCCTTTTCGATGAGAATCCTGAGGCTTTAGCAACCAAAATTTCACTTGAGTTTATACGCTGCTTGCCTGCTTTCCGAGTCTGAGTGCGCACGTGCAACCGAAACGCTTATTACATCAGGAGTTATCGCTATTTAAATTTATCAAAAGGTGCGAGTGAAGTTGAACTTTATCTATAACATAATAAGGTTAATGTAATTATATACCTAGGTGAACCACGCATTCGATGAAACCAACATGCTGTACACCTGCGAAGTTGAGTACCTCTTCGCCTCGGACGAACTTTACCTTTCAGTCGACACCATGACTCCCTTGCAAGACTACAAGCTCCTAGCTGGCAAAATCGATATCAAGTAATCTGCATTGAATTTTTAAATGCAATCTAGTTAAAAATAGTCTAAGGTAACTGTTGTTTCTTCGATTTATAGTTTTGCCTTTGACGTATTTTATTTTAGTACTTTGCTTGTGAACAAATTCTGTGAGTCATTTGATATGATACATAGGTATTACAGCCCATCCGACCCATTTCCAGCACTGACAATATCTATGATGCTTCATGAATACTCTTGCCTCAGGTTCCCTGACTCATCGTACTCAGGCCTGGTGCAGTGGGACTCACCATTTGGGTCTGGCAAACTTGAGATGGAGGCTGAGAGAAATCACGAGACCCGCTCCATCATCTCCTCGAGCTCCTTGACACTCCAGCCTCCTCAGCAGGAACCCAGCACCTACGCGCTGAAAGTTGACCTGGAAAATAGATCCACGGACGAGAAAGTCGACCTCGACACCTCCATAGAACTCAAAAGCAGTCAGCCTGACTTGGAGTAAGTATTGCTGTCAACTATCTTGATACGCTTACGAAGAGAGTTGCTTTACATGAGGAAGAGAAGAGCAATTTATGGAACATGTTCAGTTGCCTTTAAGTATATATAGTTTGAAGGGGAGGGAGGTTGATTCTGCGTCTTTGCTTGTTATTCGAAGTTCGCGTTTTTATTATACTTCTACTAATTTATTGATATTTTCATCAATATTCTTTTCGGTTAGCTTTCAGATCCATAAAATTGTTCCACGAAGATTTGAAAAATTCAGTTTTATTTTAAAAGTGAATTGCTGAACAAACAGCATAGACGAAGTAAATGCTGCAAGCGAGAGTCGGAGTGGTTAAGAATATTTGCTGTTTTGCAGCGAGATAAAAGTGAGCGGCACGGTACGCCAGGTCACCCACGACCCCGGCTTGGTTCGCTTGGCGCTGTCGTGGCCCAACTTGTCCCCTGTCGTGTTCACGGCCACGGCGAGCCACGAGAACGGCCTCACCGTCATTAAGCCGTCCGTCTCCGTCCAGATTGAGAAAACGAAATATGGCGTCGATGTGGAAGTAAGTCACAATGTCTTTTCTGCCAATTGATCTATATTTATCCCTTAGCTAAATAAACAATATACAATTTTTTCCGTCTGGTGCAGTGGGAGGCAAAAGATGGCGGACAAGTCCGAGTTCTGAAGGTCAAAGGCGGAATGTACGAGGAAGGCAAACCGCCCTTGGAGGTGGAAGTGGATTCAACGTTCAACGTTTACCTGCACGTCGTGGACGGATTTATTAATGTTAATCTTCCGTTGCCAGCTCCGTGGACCTCAAACTCTGCTCGCATAGAGTACAACAATAACAACAACGAGCATCAGTTTAAGTAGGGCACCTTAATTTATAGTCACACTCGATCGTTTGGTTGTTCATTACGAGAATGAAAATAAGATAATAATGTCTCAATCAAAATTCTTGTTTATTTTAATTATTTAACATGATTACTGATTAACATGATTAATTAATTAAATTATTTATTCTATTAATTATTAAATTAATTAATAGATTAATTAAGTCTGTTTACATCGGTAACTGTAGGATGCTGTTTGAACCGTCATGACTATTTCCAGCGTACGTATCTCGGCCGGGGTGCACGTGATAGACGTGGAGGGCAGCGTAGCCACGCAAGAAGGCGAGCAGGTTGATGGTTTCATTTCAGTGTCGTCGAACCTGCATTGGAACAAACATCCCCTCAAAGTCTCATTCAAGCAGGTTTGTGACATTGCGCTAGGTAAATATTTACTTGTAAAGGGATCAACGATTTAATTTTTTGTCAACTCGGTGTTTAAGCTAGCGGTCCGCAAATGGACATGCCAAACAATACGATGTTCATTATTATTATGGCCCAGTAATAGTATACAACTGATTTATTTCCAACTTTTATATAGTATGGGTGCAATTTGACCTGATTTTTAAACTCCATTGTCCTTAAACGAAAAAACTAACAACTGCTTATGAATGTTAACTAAATAGGGAATTGATGTTGTGTGCGCTACTGGAAGATCTTGCTGTTCACTAACGACAGAACTTTTATTCTTTACTAAGAGATGAACTATTAACGTGCTCAGGGCCTGACCCCCGAAGGGTACACGGGCAACTACACGGTGGAGTTCCCCCGCCACAACCCCGTGACGGACACGTGGACGCGGGAGACTGTCCAGGCGTCGCTGGTGCACTCGTTCCTGCCCGCCGGCCACAAGGGCCTCCTCACCGTACATCCCGCCTACCTAAAACTCGATCCTATTATGCTCGACTATATTTTCGAGGTGCTTAATGCCTAAAAATATTTACAGTTAAGGTTAACTGCAATGCAAAGCAATACCTGTCAAGCTCCAACAGGAAAGGTTTACATGATTCTTTGATTCAAGTGCACATCGAAAATTGCTTTCAGTATTACTGCTTACAAGTTCCCGCCATGCGGGGGTATGCGGGTTTATATTTTTGACGCTTGCTTGCATCAAGTCAAGCGCTTAGGTCTCGATTGTATTTTCGTAGTGTTCGCTGCCTCAAACTCGATCTTTTCACGCTCATTAAAGTTTACAGATGCTCATTGACTCATAGGTGACCCTACTACGCTCACTTGATTGTGTTATCGAAGTGTCTATCTTTAGAGTGTTGTTTCAACGGCAAGTAATTCTTTAGAATTAAATCTACCCTACATGATGTTGAATGATTTATCTTTTCTGTCATTGTTCTGTCTTCGTGTCAAATTATCTTACTTCTAATGGATTATTACCTCAAAAAATTGTTGTAGCCTCATTTGTTGTTATAAGCAAAAGCTGTTGTAGGCTCAACTCTTTTATTTGCTTTACTTCTGTAGTCTGAATTAGATATTATCTTGATCAGGTAGGTATCTAAATGCTGGCAGTTAAATCCGTGGAGCTGTTCTCATTTCTTAAACTACCGTATAACAATATACATCTAACTGAAATGTGGGTAACATTTCACGAAGAGTTTTACCAACAAAATTTTGTGGAATAAATAATTGGAATGTATGATGCTTGCTTTACCGTAATGTTGCGGCACGGTTATAGCCTGTTACGACTAGACACTAGAGGTATGAAGTGCGAAACTACTCGGAATTCTAACAATGTTCAGTATGTTAACCCTTTATAAGATCATTCGAGTTGCATCTCGTTTGTTGTTTTCCAAGATGCTGCGTCCTAAATAAATATGATATTGCCTGTCTCCACCAAACTTAATGAACTGTTCCTCTCAGTTCCCGAACAGTGAAGACATGACCGTGCAAGTGAAGTTGTCGTACAAGGCGATCGCCCTGGGCATCAGAGTGGAGGAGCGGGCGGTAACGCTGCCAGACGGAGCGTACCGCCGCAGGTTTACTGTTGAACTCGACAACCCAATTTGGCCATTCGGTGTCGTCAATTACAGGAACGTTCAACCCAACAAAAAAGTATGTCTTCAGCAGCAAAACTGTATTTATTTATCTTTATAACCTTCTAATATTTTTTGTGCCTCCGGACGACATAATCGAATTTATAATTGGTGTAATATTTGTTTACCACCCTTTGATTTACACAAACAGTTTTGTAAAAATGATGTCTTTTCACTTGTTCAATACACTAGCACGAAACGGTGCTGGAGGCGTACGACCTGAAGGTGCGAGACAGGAAGGTGTCTCTGTCGCTGGTCTCCAACCGCGTTGCTGATGGCCGCACCTTCGTCGTTACAGGTGAGAAGCTCATGATGCGAACCACATAACATTTATACCGAGCACTATAGTACCAGAATTTGTACAACAAGCGCGTCAAGCAACTGTAACGTAACGGTAAATGTACGATACTGTACCACTGTCAGGCAACTTCATTGTTTGTTAAATTTGCGATAACATTACAGCTTCTGCCAAAATTAACAAATAAAAATATGAGCGAAATTTACCACGCCATGACAGAATCAGCCAACTTTATTATTGGAAAGATTTACGACAGCAAGACAGCATCAGCCATTGCATTCAAGATCATTTACGATATAAAGTTAGAACCGATTATATTTGTACTTTGTCACAAAACATACGCATTAACAGAGGTTAGGCGTATGATAACTTTATATCCCTATAATTTATCATTTTTACTTTCAGACGTTCATGTCTGTACATTTTATGAAATATGTACCGAGACTCCAAGCATTAATTCGAGGATAATGAATAACAGCAAGACAACTGCAGGGGATGACGCTGTATGAGAACTCTGATTTAACTTAAAAGGAATATTTTTAACGTAGCGAGCATAATTAAATTGAAAAATGCCTGAACTGGGATGGAAACATTTTTAGTTTAATGTTTTTATTTATTTAATTCGCGTTTCAAAATATTTTCTTTCAATTATATAAATATTGAGTTATTCTTCAGTTAACCTTCCTGACGGGCGAACTGTAACGCTGCTCACGGGCTACGGCTTCTCCGCCTCAAAAGTCGAGCTGTTCTTCCACTTCAGTTGGCTTCAGGATCAAAACCTTGACTTAGGATTTGAGTGGGAGGATCTCTCTATGGTATGTTATTACTTGTATTATATTAGCCTCTACCTTATAATGTACATATATGTATTTATGCTGCTATCATCTCGCTCCATGGAGCCTTGCGTGGAACAACGGCTGTTTTGCTTCATTTATATTTTTTATTGGGAGTGCAATAGCGGGACGCCGTGAGTGAATTCATAGACTTTGAACTCAATACTGCAGAATAAGCTCAAATTTTTAATATAAGCTAATCATTCACGTTATTTTAGTTACCTGACTGGAAAATTTTATCTAATGTTACTGATACATACTACACACGTAACACAAGTATTTAAACTGAAGTTATACTTTATGCACGTTTCTTTGAAGGCCAGAGAGTATTCCTTATTAAAAATTTTCTTATTTGGCGAATCAGGCTTTTGGTAGGATTTGAAAATTCGAATATGAAGCTAAAGAACTACTTCGGCCAATCATGCCAACAAACTGAAATTACGAAGATCACTTGATTGCTTAAATCGCACTTTAACAAGGAATTTAAATACGAAGAAGATGGCACAGAATCTTCTTGATTCTGAATCTCCTTGTAAAGCTCTACTATGTACCTTTGATCAAAATGCTGATATTAATTTTAATTTTCTGTGTTGGCATAGAATGGCAAGAAGAAACATCGAATGCGGATTCACGTGACCCATCCGTTCCGCTCGGTGCTGCTCGAGGCGAACTACGAGAGAAGAGACTACACCGTCAACGCCGACCTGCTCTTCAACTGGAATGCTCAGAACGCAGAGTAAATTGTATTGCATTGTTTTCTATTGGCGACGTACGAATATTTCGTTCTCCGTTTTTAGTTTTTCCTTCAAGTATCTTTGCTTTGATATTGTAAATATGCGAACGCTTGTAGATTCATTTGACAAGAATTTTTGTCCACTTTTAAATGAAACATTTATTTCATTACAACTTCACCTTTTCTCGACGACACAAAAATTCATAAATGATGTCAAGAAATCTCTTTAGAATGTTGCAGCTGCTTCCATGGATCAAGGTTATCTTTCTGCCGACGCTCATTCCTTGATAAAAATATTTTTAAATTAAAAAGAAATTATTTCAGTTTATTTGTTTCTTTCGTTGACGGGAATTTATAAGTTGTCTGGTGGCAGGAGCGACGTGCTGCGCGGCGTGCTGCAGTGGCAGGACCTCAGCCTGCCTGGCGACCGCCACTACGCCGGCCTCCTCAGTCTCGTCCATCCTTCTTTGCCGCAGGTCATACATAATTTATTGCATGGTTCTGCTCACTTAGTATACGTTTTTGAGCTCGTACCCTTAACTAATTATGTCACTGGTCATGAGTCAATTAGTCAGCTCGGCATACGTTTTGTACTGGGAAAATAATTTAGACGAAACATTAACTTCGACTAGTCAAGAATTACAAGTAATTTCTATAATTTATATTATTTCTGTTTCAGATATTATTCAGAAATAAATATATTATTCAGAAATAAATTATATTATTATTCTTTAATACAGTATTGCTCCCACAATGAAATGTTAGAAAGATCTGTTTACTAATACTAATGCTCATTGTAAATGATTTCCAAACTAAATATCAAGTATCAACTCACCACTCATTGTTCCAGGACATCAAAACTAACGTAGTGCTGCGCCGCAACGAGCACAACCCCGCACTAGCGAAGGTGACGGTGAGCTACGCTGCTGACCGTACGCGGGACTTGCAGATGAACTTCAACGTAACACGTATCGGTCTACAGCGAGGCAGGAAGCAATACATTACGAGCCTTCTGGCTCAACATCCTTATTCTAAGTAAGTTTTATTTAAAAAAATTAATAAGCTTAATCTTCATATAGGCCATTGGGAAATCTAATTTCACTGGAGTAGAATCGGCTGATATATTGTCATGATCTTGTTCAATCCTAGCATCTTTACCAAATAACTGGATGCACCTTCTTGAACATGTTCAATTATTACGTCTTTATCAAATAACTGGATGTACCTTTTTGAACGTGTTCAATTATAGCGTCTTTATCAAATAACTGGATGTACCTTCTTGAACATGTTCAATCCTAGCGTCGTGATCAAATAACTGGATGTACCTTCTTGAACATATTCAATCCTAGCGTCTTTACCAAATAACTGGATGTACCTTCTTGAACATATTCAATCCTAGCTTCTTTATCAAATAGCGAATGATTTATTTTCCAGCCTGCATTTGGAGGGTACCAGCTCTCTGGTTCTGGGCGACGGGCTCTACGGCTACCGCCAGCAACTTTCCTACACGAATTCTACAGGAGAAAAACTTAACCACGAGCTGGACGCAACCTTAGATCGCATTGAAAAAATACTTAAAGTGAAGGTAAGAAGCTACTTAATGAAGATTCCGGTCTCAGATTTTACGATAAATTAAAAGGTTTCAAAATCAGCAGTAGGAAAATTTCATTGTTGAACTTTGTGCAATGACAATTGGTGACATATCCGATTCATTTCATAACCCTCTACTTGCGTGTTAAGTTATTCGGAACAAAACGATATTCCAATGAGTTATAATGTCAATAAAACTTATTTATCCTTCTTTATTAAGAGAATCAACGAATCTAACTAACGTTGCAATTCTTCTCCCAGATGCTCGGAGGAGATCGTGAGATTGACCTGCAGCTGGTGGCTGTGCAAGAAGGCGAAGGCAAATGGCGTGTGAAAGCCATTGGAAGTGATGAGGTGGAGTTGCCAGTTAGTGGACTGATCGAAATCCACGCACTCCATCCTCTCATTGCAGTGACATTCGAGAATCAGCTTTCTAATAACGTCATGGGTTCCTCTAGGTCTGGCTGTGAGTATGCCGTCATATAGTGTAAAGAGTTGCATCTTATTTTAACTCTTTCAAATTTTATTAGGTATACTAAGAGGAATTCCCCGACTTTCACACAGTTGTTTAGAAAATATCCACAACATAAAGAACATTTACGTCATAATTATGCACGGTTGCTTATACATTTCACTTGCTAATTAATTTCGATACTAGCAGAATCTATTACAATAGCTATTTTTTCATCAAACGCTCATAATGAGCATTGATGCCCTACAGTTCTGACGAAGAAGCTGACCGTGCGAGGAGGGGTGGAAGACATGCGTAATGCCGTGTTCTCGCTCGCCCACGTTACGACAATCCCAGAAGATCCTTTTACTTCTTCTTTATCATCAACCGACAATCGCACTCGAGACGAGCATGAAACTCTTGTATCTGATTTGGATTTCTACTTCCGCCTCAACCACACCAGACTTATTTCTTCAGCTCTCAACTGGCGGCCTGGCTTGCGGGAGGAAATTATGGTAAATTCTTGACGATTTCATTATTTTGTTACATTATTCTAGTCTGTTATCTGACAAGTAAATTTGTTACCTTGTGTCATTGACCATGTGAAATATTAACCAATTCTGTCGATCAATTTTGTTCGAAGCATTATTATCTAAGACTAGAAGAATACGTCAATAAAAAGAAAGGATAATCAGCAACTACCACATGTTCACAATCTTTGTACTTGACTATGACCGTATATACTGCAGGTGGAGCTGGCCGAGTTGGCAGGCGTGAGTCGCGCGTACCGCGGCGATGCCAGGGAGTGGCTGGCAGCCGTCGTGAGAGCCTCTGTAGTGGAGGCTGGTCTCAGGGCTAAGCCTATTGCTGTAGACCTCGTCTCTACCAGCCAGCCCCTACTGACGCATTTTAAGTACGGTCTTCCCTTCTGATTTGCACATTCTCTTGAGCTGCTTTCAGTCGATGTCAATTTTTTTATCACCTTTCTCGGCACGATTATTCCACTGAATTTCAACTATAAGAATAAGAAATTTTACTTGAGCGCTAGGCGTGTTTTGTAGGCGGGGACAGTTTTTAAATGAAAAACTACGAAATCATATTTTACATTTTTCCCTTGGAAAAAGTATGCTTCACCATACATTTTCTCATAATTCTTATGCATATTAATGGAGCAATCGTAAGGTGTGGCTAGGTTTTATATCATTTAGTAAAATAAGCTTGCCGCCTGATAAGATAACCTCATCGTGTCTCTTTCCCTAATGGCGCCTCCCTGCCTGTCATGTCTTCACGTGCACTAACAAAAATGCGGATCGCTTGGTCCTGGAGCTGAGCCTACCAGAGAAAACAGACCCGGGGAGTCATGACGACCTATCCTGGTTCAGAAATGTCACTCGCTTTGTTACTCGTCACGATTGTTCATACGGCCATCATTTGAGCCCTGAGTTATTTCCGCGCCATTCTTTCACTCACTGCATTATCAACGATTTGGCCATAAATGCACGCTACTTTGAAGCAATGCCACTAAGAAAACGCATCGCAACGCGCTGATGAAGATATAATCCCATATATAATGTTTATATTTTACAAATAATCCAATCTGGGTTCCATAACATAAATTGCATCTAACTGCAACATCTATTTTGTAATGCGTAATGTCTATATATGCTTTGGACTCCGATCTTATTCTGTATTCAATTCTACAGAGTACAGAGTCGTGTAGGAGATATTTTCTCCGTTAATTATGGATAAATTTTTTGTCCTTCAATTTTTTCTCCCTTAATCACGCTAAAATTAGTGAACTTTCACTTCTGAATTCCCTCTCATTTATACTGTGAAGAATATATGTATATTTCGTTCCCATTACGCCTACAGAAACCAGACCAGAGAATTTCTGGCAGACGCAACAAAGATCTACACCAGCATGAAACTTACTGACGCTGAAATGAAGCGAAGACAGAGCCTCGAGTTTATCTTCAAGTCTTTCTGGAGTTATATCGAGTCCACGTGAGAATTTTAGCATTTTTTGTCTCAAAGAAAGCAAGGCAGAATTTCTAGAGCCTAAACGAAAACTTTCATTAAAATACTGATGTATTTTTTTTTCAAATGTCAGTGGCTGAAGAATCCTTGCTTTAGTTTAAGCATAACTTTTGATTCGCAATAATGCAGAAAGTGAGAAACCTTCTTGTGGGTCAAACATAGAATTTTCAATACGCAAGTTCCTGGGCAGTTCGTATTTATTTTTGGGCTGTCAAATATTTAATTGATTTTATATGATGAACTTTGCCTAACGCTAACTTTAAAATGTTTCATCAATTAACAATTATATACGGGCGACACTATTTCTTTCTTTAAACTCAAATTATAAATTTAATTCTTGTTTGCTTATCTGCTTTTGTTTTCAATAAAGAGCGCTTGTCGCAATTCAGTTGTCGTTAAGAGACTATAAAATTTCAGGAATTTTTACAAGTGGATCAAGCCTCGTCTGGCTGGAGGCGTCCTCAGGAGCAAAGTGTCCGCCATACTGGAGCGTGTCCGGACTTTGGTTCTGCAACTCCGATCCGGGGTAACGTGCAGGCTTTGGGTTTACTAAAACTCTTGCCTTATTTATTTATAGGGACAAATTAATAATTTTTTACTGACCTAATGTAATTCCAAGCCATTCTTAATTGCTTTGATAAGCGTTTGAGAACATACAAATTTTGACTTTTCCTATTGTTGTACAAACTGCATTAGATGTAAAACTAAATTAAAATAATACAAATTTCCTTCTAGCAACAAGCTCGATTATCTCAACTTTCTCAAGAGAGCATTTTGTTTCATTCTCCTTGTCGCCTCGGGTTAAAATTTGAAAACCATTAAATACAAATTCAAAATCCATTCGAAAATGCCTATACCATTATCTATACATTATTATGAACATCTCATCATTGCTTACTATTTTCAATTTATTTACGCTTTCAGTTGGGCGGCTCGCAAGGAGGCCTGGAGAGGCTGAAGACAGTGCTTGCTGAGACCTACGATAAGGTAAACGTTATCATATTTCTGACCTGCTCTTGTACTGAAATAATGTGCGGAAACAACTAAATCACACAACCAAGATTGTTTGTTTATAATTTTGAAAGATTTACTCTCTCAGAGCATTCAGTATGCACATTGAGAACATCATGCATCACACAGCTGGCCAAACGATGGTATCTGAAACTGAGTAACGTACTGAGCGACTTCAGGCTGCGGTTGCGCTCTTGGTTGCGCTCACGATGGCACGCGGTGTTCCACAACTACAAGCCTCACATCATAACAACTCTCAATAACATCGAGACTTCCTTCAACCACTTCGTCAGGACTGTCTCAGGCACGTATTGATCTCCACTGCCTAAACCTAGATTAAGCACTTTATATCTCTATCTTTGCTATCCACTGTATCGAAGTCTAAAAATGTTCTAAGTCACGTGGCATGTGTTATTAGTGAACTGTCTCGGAAAATACGTCGGTAAGAACATATATGCTCAATATTTTTGGTGTGGCCGAGTTATATTCACCAAGATTTGAGCTGTGAGTTTCGGGTTCGCAACCTGTAGGTGACTGTTAAAATTCTGCGATATCAGAATCAGTGTTGGATCAAACACAGCTTTGTCTTATACGACACCATAATATAATGTTATTACCATATATTGAATTATATTATAAACATTGTGTTTCCGATAATTATTGAATAAAGAAAAATATGGTTGTCAGAACAACATTTAAGAAGAACCTGATGAAAGATGATTGGACGATAAGAGTATCTCAATGGAGAATTGGACAAAAAAATTTAATGTTATAAAGTGTAGGGAATTTTCTCTAAACTTTTTATCTGTTTTATTATCGTTTAATAACACCTTAACCATTATTATTATCTCTCGATTGCTTAAATCGCAAATTCAGTAATATTTTAAAGGAAATAAAATTTCGGAAAAATTCACCATATCTTTATAGAAAACATGCGAGTTAAACTCTATCATCAAATCGTTCCATTCAAGAATTGTCTTACTTATGATACTCGTGCATATGTAAGTTTTTTTGCTTCAAGGCAAGTGATCGACCTTACATATATCTCTGACTCCCGCCATTTGATTTCCATAACTTTCATTCCTATTTCACAGGCACTGCTCAAGCTATTAAGGAAATGATAGCCACGTCTCCATACGTCCGCTTCGTTGCGGACCATCTCTCCGGCATAAAAGAGTTCATCGTGTCAGTTTACAATCGACCGCTGAGGGAGAACCTCGACAACGCTTTCACCTGGACCGAGGATGTCTTCCATAGAACTATCAACTTCCTGCGCACTGAGAGTCAGTAATTTGTAGTCGTCCCCTCCTCTTTACGCGGGACCCGTCATAATAAGCGGCCAACGAACATAATAGATTGCAAACGATTCCGTGTTATATATTTTAATACTGAATTTCAAAAATATTTGAATATGCCTTTGCACAATTTTGCATGTACAAAATTCAGGTTAAGAGATGTCTGAATGTTGGGAATTCATAGAAACTCAAGTTCCGCACAATCTTGGAAGGCCAGAAGAGAAACAGAAAGGCTTGACAGCGAAGGGCTGAAGTTTGAATTATTTTTCATACAATTTAAAGTAGAAAGGCAAAAAGTTTTAGCATTAATTCAGGCTGAGTAGGGATTTGGTTGAGAAGGACCATCAAAATGTAGTATGCCTGATTTATTGTATTAGGTGGTATGCCTAAACAAACCACAATAAGTAAGAGGAAATAAAGATTATCTCCTTGGTTGATGACAGTACTGGATATGTGCTAACGTTCTTTGTTCCGCGTAGTTGCACCGTTCCTGGAGGACTGGCTTCGTGCCATTCAGGCGGCCGGGCGCCGGCTGGAACAGTACCCCCTTGTTGTGCGACTTAAAAATAAATTGTTCGCCTTCGTTGACGCTGTAAGTTTTTAATCTATTATTGCAATATAATTGTGCAATAATGTTTGCAACCAAAATTGATCAGATTTCATTAAAATTAAATATTAGCAACGGCAATTTACCTCAGTCCCAAAATTCATGCTAAGTATCTATTTAAATTAGTCGGGTCATTAGGGCACTAGTTGTTTATCGAATGACTATTTTTGGGGGATTTGTTTCGACTTTTTTCAACGTCTAAACTAATTGCCCTTAAATTTGCGTAATGAACAGCGAAATACATGATCTCAGCATTTACGAGCATTTCACAATTACTTCAAATTGCATTTCCCTCTTGCAATGCACCCCGCATTATTCGAGTATAATTATTCTGACCTTCCTCTCAATTTGCAGTTTACTTGGAAGTTGCGGCAAATAGAATTCCGGAAAGCGTTCATCGAATTGGTCGCGTTTTCAATAGAGAACGGCTACACGATCTTCACGCAGACAGCTTTGGATGCAGAGCACAGGTGCGGTTTTTTGTAGTCTTTGTATCCTACATAGTGTCTCTTGTACCCTACATAGCGTCTCTTGTATCCTACATAGTATCTCTTGTATCCTACATAGCGTCTCTTGTATCCTATACAACGCCTCTTGTATCCACGAAACTGTTGCAGTCAAAGCTTCATGTGGGCAACTTCATGGCTGTCGCAGACACCCCTGATCTGTTATAATATTGGAGAAATGGTTGCTAGGATCCAACAGGTTTTTTGACATTTTAAATTATTCATGGCTCATATTTTGTATGTATGACTTTCACCTAATATTTCGGCGTTATAAACCAGTTGTTTACAACTCAACTTATCGGAACTAAAATAAAAAAATTATTGCAGGCAGCGGAAAGTGAAAACTCACCTCTACCTCGACGCAGAGGTCGGTCATCTCGAGTACGTTCAGAAGCTGCCGATGACTTGGTATAATTTCAACGCCGCCCCTCGTTGGGAGGTAAAGTTATCCTCAGCATTTGATTTATCATTTCTTTTTGCTGCTCACCCTGATGCTTGGCATTTTGCATTATAAATGATTAGGTTTCTTCAATTAGTTCAATCAATAACATATGCGTCAATTATTGATTAGCATCGAGTCCACTGTTGACTTATTAAATAGCCTGGTTGTATTATAAGGTTTGTTTCAATTTCGCTCGTCAAAGAACTGAGTTTTAAATACTTTTCAGGATTGTGTTTCTCAAAAATCCTTCCAACAAAACTCTTAATATATATCATATTATCCGTGTACCGTGCTTAGCGATAAATTGTTCCATAATTTGGTTTTAATTTGAATTAAAATCCTAAATGCGGGATAGGGTACAATAATTTTAATTTCTTTTCCGTTATGTGGCTCTGTTTTCTCACTAGGACCTGAAAGAATGGCGTCTATTCAAGCTCCTCCAGTCAATAATGTCAGGCGGACAACCTGTTCCTGTGCTCGATATTTGGTACAAATACTACAGCCTGTCCACCAACCCACGCACCTGGCTCCCGCCTTTTGAGGGTTAGTCTTTATGCAAACAGCCATAAAGGTTATAAATTTCTTTTATGCAATGCATTTCTTTATCATTTTCCCGAAATGATAATTTTTGCGCTCTGCACAGTGTGGGGTATTGCCATATAGGCCGCCTATTTCGAACGGCTACCTGATGCATCCATAAGTTTTTATCATCTAGACAACTTAATATGTACTTGATTGTCCCAGCTCAGGACTACTTGGTGGCGGCGCACAAATTAAGTAAATCAAGATAGCATTGTTATTCCCACGGTAGACTCTCAATACCTAAAATATAAGTTATTTTGTAGTAAATAAGACTAACAGTTGATTGACGTTTGCAGCGAGCAGTGAGGTTGTGGGTCAGCAACATATGATCACTTGGAACGGTCGTCTGCTGAAGTTCAAAGGACTGTGCCGGTATCTGCTGGCTGCAGACCTCATGTCCAGTCGCTGGGCGGTCGTCCTCAACTACCACGCCAACGCACCTAATGCATACATTATTTATGTCGACGGAAAACAAATCGAACTGGAGCAGCAGTTCGTTGTAAGAATACTTAGATATCTATTGAGTGTACCATAAACTTGCCCTGAATTTATCATGTGGTTTTAATTCGCACCATTTATGCATTAGTTGTTGGAATTGCAGTTTAAAACTAAACAATTTGAAAACTAGTTAGGGCGTTGAGTTCAACCCCACAAGCTTTCTTGTTTTCGTCAATTAATGGTCGATGTCTCTACATCTCAGCAGTCATGGGCTGAAGTGCAGCAGATTTGCTGCATAGACCGGAATTCAATTTCTTGTCCGCAAGGGGTCGAATAAAAATTCATACAAATCATACAAGTTCTTTCTAATTAGTCACGTTATATGATTAAAATTACCTGGAAGAATAGACTATCTGAATTGCATTCAACACATGCTTTAATTATTCGCTTGCAGGTAAAGTTAGATGGCCGCCCATCGCAGCTGCCGCTGGTGCTGCCCAGCACGGTCATACTCCGCGACGGTGAGGTGCTCTTCCTGAGGCACACGTCTGGACTGCAGATCCGCTGGAACCAACTACACGATGTCTTCGTTGTTACTCTGCCTGGTAAGACTTACTTAATATAACGATTTGTTTCAATTTATAGCTTTTTACGTGTAGTTGCTCTGCTTGGTCTTCGTTGCTTCAGCCAAGTGGAGAACTCAACAAGTTGCAACTGATAACTTAGCTGGTCTCCCAGACGTTTTCATTAGAGTTTGTCATTTTGTTGACATGAATTTGCTTTGCATTATCTTTCTTCTAAATTCTTGGAGAACAAATATTTGTGCGCAGGAATATTCTTCAATAAAGTGGGCGGACTGCTCGGCACGAACAACTACGAGCCGCTGGATGACCTGCTGTCGCCCACCGCTGAGCTCACTAGCGACGTATCGCAACTCGCGTCCTCGTGGAGCGTCTCTCAGGGGGCATGCGAGGCACGTATCAACGCCGCCTCCAACGCTACCGCAGCAGAGAGCGACCGCTGCTCCAGCATCTTCAGGAGCCAGGCTTCCCCCTTCAAATATTGCTTCTATCAAGTACGGTCGTACGGGTGGCATCAGTCCTTGGCCTTGTCAAAATAATCCTTGACCGCTTGATTCTTTCTTTGAAAAGATTTTTGTATTCCGGAATAACAAAGACTGCTGTCAGTGATAATTCAACGAAAGTTTCTCAAAAATTATGTCATTGTTACCCCGTATTTTTACAATCCTGTGCTCCCTCAAAATGTACAATTCTGCTAAAAATGCGCAGGTTTCACCGAACGCGTACGATGACATCTGCCGCTCCTATGCCCCCGGAGCCTCGGCTGCGGCGCGGCAAAAAGCGTCTTGCGTCGCGTCGTCCGCATTCCGGCAGGCGTGTTCCGTCGCTGGCGTACCGACCAAAATACCGCACGACTGCAGCATGTCAGAAATATAATATTAATTCATATTTTATTGATAAAATAAGTTTTCGAGTAAAGCGTATTTTTTCTTAGCCGTGTGAGAATTCAACCGATGAATTCTTTAATACGTTAAAATCCTAATTTGTTTTAATCTTGCTTAAACCTCTCACATTTTAAAATGTATAGTTTTTTCCTTAATTTCAGCTTACTTTACTATAGAATATTCTTTAAGAAGTTATATCGTTATTTCTTCAAGCTTCTTCTTTCTACATCGTTCAATTTCTCAACTTCTTGATTTGTTATTAATTTATTAATTTTTCTCATATATTCTCAATGGGGTGGCAGGGTGGCCTAGCTGTTACAGTTCAGAGTACCAAGATCGGCGCAGAGAGGTACGGGTTCGATCCCAGCTCTGTGCGCCAGTTTCTGGTCAGAATCGGCGAGGAGGCCGGGCGGTTAAGCACAGCAGAATTGAAGCGATGCGAGTTCCAGACCGCAAAATGCTGTGAATGTTCTGCGATGTTAAGAATCGGCGACAGGCCTACGGCCTAATAAATGCTGAAACCGCTATTATAATAATACATTCTCAATGAGCCATCACACTAATGGGATTCCTTATCCGATTTGCCTTCTTATGATTTTACCAAATTTTTCACTTGTACATAAATTTGCTTGTCAAAATAATTGTACGGGCTGCAGCTGCCGCTTCGAGAAGCGGGACGGGACGACGGGCGAGGTGCCGGAGAGCCAGATGACCGTCCTCTCTGTGGCCGACATCCCCAGAAGCACGGACGTTGTCATCCTCGTCGAGATTGGTCCTTGTAACGACAACGCCGTCTTCAGGAGGAACTTCAAGAGGTTCCTGCGATCCTTCGAGAGCGCACTTGTTGAGGACGGACAAGCTCCTTCGAGGTACGTGGGTCGCGCATATGGGCTTACTTCAGCAACAGCTCTTCCTTAAGTATAAGTATAATTCAAGCGAAATTAGGTTTTTGCTGCACAAACTTACTTTTTTAATATTAGACTTTCAGCTCATATTCTAGAATCATCTTGAGGGGAAAATATGATGTTATTGAAATTTACACATAAATACTTTTGACGCAAAACCTTCTAGCGATGCTTTCTCTGTGTAAGTAAAGATATTCAACGGACTATTGATATCAATCTGATTTTATCATACGTTCCTGAACTTCGGCAAGACTCGCAATAATTTACAAGTTACAGGAGGCGATTAAAATTAAATTCACAGTTTAACAATATTTTAAAAAAGATTCTGATGACAATCGTTATCATTGAGGTGCATGTGTCTAATAATCGCTCTTATTCATGCTTAGAATTATTTCTGAGCCACTCCCATACAATAAGTAAACTAAAAACGGCCCTGAAACATTAAAATCCTCTGCAAATGTTCGTCTTAATTAAAGACAGAATATCAGAGAACGCTCATCAGAGTCATTAATTTTTCAATATAAACGGATTAGACTTTCCTGGGTCGAAACGCAACGGTCCACAAATTGTTTACGCTTCAAATTCGATGACGATCAGGTACGTGGTGGTGGCGTATGGTGGTGTGGGTCTGTACGCTACGCCGCAGCTTGCGGGCACGAAGCGCGAACTCTTCAACTCGGTCGACGACGCGGCCGACGCTCTCTCGGCCATTGCCCACGGTAGGGTTTTATTCTCAAATAAACCTTTTATTTATTTATTTTAATGTTAAGGTTCAAGAGTTCACAAGACTTGTTTAGTAATCCTAAAACGTTAATGTTAATAATTTTTGGCCATTGCCCACGGTAAGGGGTTATTTCTAAATAAACCCGTCATTAATTTATTTTCTTTTAGGGTCCGCAGGGTTCATTTAATGATTTCAAAAGGGTCAAGGTAACAATTCTCGGCTATTGCATAGGGTAGCAAACCATCCGTACGTTTTATTTTTTATTTTATAAATATTATCATTGTTCGTAAACGAGGGCTACGGTAATGTGAGGGAGAATTTTTCGTCTAGCGCTGTCTGAAGTTAAGCAGGACAACATCGAGTGCTAACAGGGAAGTTTCTTTTGAGGTAGGCACTTAAAGTTCGGTCGCTTGTCTCCTTATAAACAAAGTGGCAGTAGCGAACGATCACATTTTTCAGCTACGGTGGTACAATTATTAATCAAGTGCATGTTTAATGCATCATGAAACAATTAATTAAAGTATCGTTAGGCACATCAATTTTTTCAAATCCTCGTTTGGTGCTTATAATGAGATTTCCAGCTCATGGTAGAAATTTAGTCAGTTTTTCTTCAGTACAAATTAGAAGAGAATGAACACGGAAATTTCTTCAACGGAAGTACCGAAATGACTACTGTTGTACCTATTTTTAGGCAGCTAGAGAAACTAAAATGTGATGAATTTCCTAATAAAATGACATTCTTTTGAACCAAACTTATCTAAATGAAGGTTTTACTCCAAATTACAGAAGGGACTGTAAACACACACATGGACCCCGTGGACGCTTTTGAAGCCATCCGCTACGCTGCATATCTGCCCTTCAGGGCGGGCGTCGTACCTACATTCCTGATGATGCCTTGTACGGCCTGCCATCCTAACGCCGGCTCAGTTAGTATTTAGTTCAATAAATAATTTTTTTTAGAAGATACTCTTTGTTAGAAAATAATCTAGATTTTTATACGATGATGTTCTTACCAATGTTTAATTGGATATTCATTGTCTCTCATATGTACATTTATCTTTTAAATTGTCACCAATTCTCTCGTTAGATTGACTTCGCGACGATGCTGCACATCCTCACGGACAGGAACGTCGTCCTTCACGTCCTCGTTCAGGATCCCTTGGGTCCCAAGGCGGCATTGCAGGACAAAATTCTAGGTGAGTGAGACGCAACGGTTCTACCGAGCCACCTTCACAATACCCATTGTTGTTCGCAGCCCCATCAGACCGTTGGAGACCAGAAATATCATTACCAAAAATGAGGGGTCTGTTTGAGCCTGTCAAAAGCCTCAAGAATTGCCATGTTCCGACTTAAGAATTGCCATGTTCTGACTTGAGAATTGTCATGTTCCGTGTTGAGAATTGTCATGTTCCGACTCGAGAATTGTCATGTTGCGACCTGAGAATTGTCATGTTCCGTTTTGTTATTGTACTGTTCTGACTAGAAAATTGGCAGGCTCCGACCTGAGAATTGTCGTGTTCCGTTTTGTGATTGTCATGTTCTGACTTGAGAATTGTCATGTTGCGATCTAAGAATTGCCAATTGTCATGTTCCGTTTTGTGATTGTCATGTTCTGACTTGAGGATGTCATGTTGCGACAGGCATGGACACGGAAGCCGTGTACACTGCTAAAGACGCTAGACCACAGAAGCCTCTCGTGGGCGACCGGAGCCTTCGTCGTGGCGTGGCAGACCCAAAGGAGCAGCTGGAATACTGCAGTCCTCTGGCCCTCCAGACTAACGGTGATTATCGAGTTAAGATACCTCAAGATCTTCGTACTTTGTCTGTAAGAGAGCTAAGTTTTGATTAAACTTAGCTTGATAGAAGTGATGATAACGACCGTGATAATGTAGATGGTTCATTTTACATTCTAGTGACTACTGACGACTAAAGTCTTTATTCTTAACGTATTTCAGAGTTTTGCTGCTTAGCGATGATTGTTCATCTCACTGCCGTGTTTTTTTTTTTTTAATTTTGAACGAAATTAAAAGTAAGTGTGAAGAGCGCGTCATGTCTATCCAACGGTTTACGCGGACTCCGACAAGATATTTTCACATGCAAATTCTGAAATCGCTTTAGTTATCACTCCATTTTAGTTATTTACCCTCTAAAAATTCAACAAAACTAAACTCTAAATTTTTATTTTTATGCAGCTAAAAATTATTATTTTTATGCATGAAAAAATTCAAATTAAAAAATTCAAAAAGGTCATCAGTTTTTTACAGTTTCCTAATCATTTTGGTACGGGATGCATTTGCGGTCACAGAATTGAAGCGCTCGAACTGGCTTACTTACTCGCAGCTAAGCCAATCACCGTTGCAGTGAAAATGCTCAATATTTTCATTATTCTATTTATTTAAAACGTTTTAAGTCATAAATTGTGTGTTAAGATGCGGAATGGAAATAATCTATTTCAACGCCCGAAGAAAGTATCCAGACGCGTGATGGAGGAAAAAATTTAAAATCTTTTACCGAATTCCTGCATCATTGGATTAATTTTGAATACTCGAAGGCCATACTCTTGTTCTAAAATACTTTACTTGTTGTAAAATGTGACGAATTAGACTTCTTCCTGAAATTACCAGGTACAATCTTCACAAGTCGATGGCTCTTAACATCACGACGCCGCAAAGTTGAACAGACAGCGACGGCGTTGGGGCGGCGCGTGGCGTTGACAGCGACGGCATCGCACAGCCAGCGCTGCTTCTGTCTGCCCACGACCGACGACTCCGCCAAGATGAAGTGTCATCGCGTGAGGCCAGAGTGGGGCAACTTCTCGGCCGTAGTGAGTGGTTCAGTTTTGTAGTTAGTGTTTTAGTGGCAAACGTAGCTCCATTAGAAATTCTGCCAAGATGAAGTGTCATCGCGTGAGGCCAGAGTGGGGCAACTTCTCGGCCGTAGTGAGTGGTTCAGCTTTGTATTTAGTGGCAGACTTAGCTCCAATAGAAATTCTGCCAAGATGAAGTGTCATGTCGTCATGTGAGGTCAGAGTGAGGGCATCTACTCGTCGGGGTGCGGGATTCAGGTTTATATTTTCTGTCTGGGCTTTATTGTCAGAGAACCAACTTAGCTTTCATTAAAATTCAGTCTAATGGACTTTAAAAAATCGTTGGTTCATAATTATTCATGGTGTGCTCATCGCCGGATGTACCTCATTAGAATTAATCGCCGCTGGTTGTTGGCGTTGTGTCTAGCCATATCAAGAAAACCATTCGTTTTTTTTTATTACAGCGCTACACTGTTTGTCAAAAATGAGGAACACATCAACGTGCGTCGATAGGTTAACATTGGTGCTTTTTCAGGCTCCCTACTTTGACGAGGAGGGCGAAGAAGACTACCTCGACATCCCGCAGGATTTGGGCTACTGAAGACCAGGTCTGCGATGCGCAATGACGAGCTCCGGATTCACCTTTACCATGCAACTTGGTTTGTATAATCAAGCAAACATCTGGAACTGCTCACATTTATCCCAAGGCCACCCAACTTGTTCCAAATATTTTCGTAGACGACATGCAACACGAATTTATGAACACAATTAGTTATGAATCGAGTTAGTCACCAATTACATAATTTGAATTAATTCAATGCTAACTTCATGTGATGCTCATACGTTGTGATAGAAGTTTTGAAGTAGATATAAAAATATTCATAGTTTCATAATGAAGTAAGCCGTCAAAACGCGCTAGTCACAAACGACTTTCGGTCACGAAGAAGTGTGGGACTATAAGTCGCTACAAACAAGCATTACATGACAATCATGACCGGCTATTGCATCGAAGAAAATCGTGTAGCAGCTTGGCACATAGGAGAGCTCCACCAGAAAGCACTCCTCTAAATCCCGTCATTTATTTTCGTGACAGGAATTGTTAAGAAATGCAAGTTGGAATTTCGGCGAGGAGTAAATGAATAGTTGAAGCATTTATGTATTTTGCCTATGTCTTATTAATAGTTGATTCTTGAATTCCCCGTTGCACCATTTTATATGAGAATGGACATAATTAAACCATACACCTTAGAATGTAAAGGATTTGCAAAATAAAAACCTTTCTGAATGAAGTAACATGTATTAGCTTAAGATACGTACAATAATATAAGTCGGTTATATTCGAATAATGAATCTGCAGGTAAACACTGACAAGTTCAATAGCCTAGTATACAACATGCATAAACTTACAAGAACGTCTATTGAAAACTATTCTACGGTAAGTTCAAAGCCACGAATTATATATATTAGGACATCGTGATGTAACATTCAACGTCAATACAATTAACTTTGTTCGACGACGTCATCAGATCGAATGAATCCTCTTACAATGAACACGATTAAAACGTCCAGGAGGATACTACAAACGTTTCAGCCCACACGCCTCAGAAGCATTTACAGTCAAAAGGCCCATCCAACTGAAGTGTTTTCGGGCCGAAAACAGTGAATATTTGTATCCACTAAAATTTACGTATAGAAAGAAAATTGGAATTTATAACAGATGGTAAATTATTAATGAAATACAAGTTTACGATTTCATCACACCATTATGGAATAAATAAAATTAGGGACTGCATATTAAAGAATGAACGTGGTGACTGAAGAAGCGCGAGTTCGTACCCATTGACAAATGTGAATAATCAAAACTCCAAATGATACTCGAGAATTAAAAAGACAAAACAGGGTGTCAACGGAAAGAAGAATTATGGACCGAGTTTTTCAAAAGGCACCTAAAAATTCATGACTCTAAAAAAAGGTTGAAAGCGTAAAAAAATTGAAAAAGCTACGTGCAAACAAACTCGAGCTAAGGAAAGACAGCAAAGCACAAATACTGGAAAGCTGGCGATAAAAAAAATGACAACTTAGTCCATAGATTTTAGAAGCATGACAATAGGTCCTTTCTTTAGAACAGAGAAAATTAGTCCGCCAGCAGTGCAGTCGCTAACGTAGTACAGAGCAGCTAACAAAAGCTGATGACACACGACAGTTTTGAAGCAGTGACCGTATATAATCTTATCTCTGCATAATAAGTTGTGACTGAATAGAAGTAGGTAAAGAAGTAGTCTACTACTACTTCTGAATAGAAGTAGTAGTAGAACGGTAACTCCATTATTGATAACATACGCAAAATTGAAGTACGAGTAAAGCAGAAAGTTGCGCCTACAAAATGCAATTTAACCAGCGTCCTTCGGATGGTAAAACGCTCAATATTATTGACAAGTTTTATCTAGATAATGATACATGAAAATACCCAGATGACTTTAATATTGAATATTTGTCATCCTCATCGCTATGATTTCAAGAATGTCAGGAAAGCCGTCTGCACATAAAATTTTCATAAGCGAGTGAACGCGATAATTGGGAAGTCGATAAATGCAACTTTGGCTTTTACGCAGGCCAATGCATTGTGATAAATGCTCTAGAGGAGGCTTGTGGCTATGATCTTCACTGATACGACCAAGATACTTGACAACACGAGAATAAATGCACAATATCATGAAAACTTGACCTGAACGCACACATAAAACTTTTCAACTCGTAGTTATCATTGACCGCTGAAGCAGAGAAGTTCGTCAAGTGATCGCAAGATTCCAACAAAGAAACGGTCCTTCAACTCGCGGTTTGAACACAAAATAGAGATTATTTCAAATGCGCCATCTGTTCAACAACAGAGGAGGATTGCAAGCGAGATTCTCATTTCCATATGAGAAATTCAAACTAAAAATCAAATATCTGCGTTAACAAAATTCCTTGAGAAGTACAAAAAGGATCCCATTTGGAAGTCAGGTCTAGGAGTTTAATAAAAATTATAATGCTTATTCTAGAGAAAAATCAGATCATAGAATCAGGAGGGATTAACAAATCAATCTTAAAGCTCACACTAATCGATTGAAATACAAAAATTATACAAGGCAATAATGATTCTCAACACGATAATTGATTGAAATGTTTCAGCGCGTGTGCAGCCCAGAAATGAAACTAAAGGCCTGTGAGAATATTAAAGGCAATATTCGCTGAACGCAATATTCGCTTGGATTTCGCGTAACATTCGATAAGATAAACTGAAGCCAGGTAATAAATATAGATGAGATAACATCCTATATCAGAGAGGTAAATTTTATCGATACATTTAATTAGACGTAATATATCGAGATATTTTACGAATGACTGCATACTTATCTCGGAGTAGACAAATATATTGATATATTCAATAAGCAGTAATATTAGAGCGATATTTTACGAAGGTTACAATGCGTGGCGAAGTCCAGCAGTGTAAGTATTTCGAGCGTGTCCCACGCAAAGTTGAAGTTATTCACTTCAACTTTGAATAAAATTTGCATCATTCAAGAATTTTACAGATCATAAGTAAATGACAACATTTCCACTTTTCAGACGTGTATTGCTGACAAGTTATCTTCTCTTTTAGTATTTATCCGAGACACCATCTTCTGCGGAAATTTAATTGGTATGTCCTTTTAATTGAAGGTAATATAGGTACTTGGATGCGTCATTATACGGTGGCAATTTATCTCGTAAATATTCTTATTTGGTATCAATTTTCTCGTAATTTCATCATATCCGGTGGCAATTTACCTGATAAATAGTCTAATTGCAGTAAATTTAAGTAAGTGGTGATGATGCGTGTAAAGAATTTACTTGAATTGGTCAGTGAGGGAGAGAAGCGCCGTGAAGATGTTGATGATGTCGATGTAGAGTTGGATGGAGGCGTAGATGTGTTCTTCAGGAGAGAGTTCAATTTTGCGTCCGCCCATGATCATCTGCGTGTCGTAGACCAGGTACTGCACACAGAACAAACACCAATATAATAAACTAGCGCTCATAAATTAACCCCAATGGTAGGATGAAGGCGGTCGGTTCGCCTCTTAGCCGAAGAGTGATAAGTCCCTTTGGTCACTCAGTCGTAATTAAGAAATAGTTAGAAGTGCTTAAAAAATAAAATGTTGAGTTGCATTGAAACATTCAAGTTTAGCAACGAATATAGAGAACAAAGCAGAATGACGCATGCAAAAATGAAATTTAAATTGAAAGGCTACTGATTTAAATAAATTGACGCATACAAATTATAGTGATCAAATGAAGCCCAAGCTCAATTGATCACATCACGGCTCATAAACCAGTTCCTCATTTGACATAAGTTGAGCAACGAGCCAGGCTTTCCTTAGCTGCACAGCCGGCGAATGACTTCTTTAACACTTTGACTCCGATTGCATCATATTGTATTATTATTTCATTTTTGGTACTGTTTTTAAACAGGGTTGCCAGACGGTCATTTTTTCCGGACAAATTCCGTGATTTGGTTTTTCTCAATTGCGTTGGCCGGCTAAAATTTATGATAGGAATACTTCCTAATTAAATTTTAAGTACTGCAAAAAGAAAATAAATGTAATTTTTATAGCGGAACCTACAAATAAACTAGTAGTAGTATATATTGAGTTATTAGCCTTTTTTGTTCTCTGATTTGACCGACACTAGGCAACCGGAATTATGTACCACTACGTCCTGGAGTAATACATTTCGTGGTACGCATATGTACCAATACGTAGTCAACGTGTTAACTTGAATAACTCCTCACAGAACAGCGGCTACGGTACGTCTTCAGCCGTCAGCGTGGGGTATTTTAACGTCGTCTCACACGCGAATAGAATAGAAAATTGAAAAAAACGAGCATCGCACTTACCGATCAAATAGAAAAGAGCTCGGAAAAGATATTCACATTTGAAAATGAAGTATAACGAGAAGATGGTCGCTGTTATACAACAGGATCATTCGAATACTAAGTTATTAGGAGTAGATGTGTCTTGGGAAGGGGGCTGCGCGGGACGAACTATTACAAAATTCGCGACGATTCTTACTTCTCTAAGCTAAAGAAATCTTACGCGAATACCTTGGCTGTAAAATACCTTGAAGATCGTGGACGGAGAGGCAGAAGAAGATGCAATTCAATTCTTGGAGAGGCTGAGAAGAGCCAAGAATATTTGCACAACGTCGAGGTAGAGAGTAAGAGCCCCGAAGATGTGTTCCTCAGGAGAGAGTTCGTACTTACGACCGCCCATGAGCATTTGCGTGTCGTAGATCAGGTACTGCACACATACGATCACAACATCAAGCTCTTAACAGTATTTGGTGGTAAACTAAAGTAACTTCTTGCACACTTTTGACCTCATTCCAAGCACTTATGAATTATGATGATCATAAAGGATACTTGAGATTGGAATAACGTTTCTGAAGTATATTGAGGTGTGCACAAGAACTTATTGTTCACCACAACTAGCAAAAAAATAGTAAAAAGGAACATTGATAGAACATAAATAATATTTTCTAAGGCTCTTAATAGGAGAACTAAATAAAAATTGTAAAGGATGCATGAATATTGGAAAAACACATGCTCTTCGCGATGCTCATTAGGCACATTGACATCGGCCAAGCATTGTTTGCGAACAAAGTTTCCAAACGAGCGCGAACAAGATTCTGGTTGGTGTAAACAGTGACCAGACCCAACAAATATTGCGCACCATTTTTGCGAACATTATTGCTAGTTCGCAGATTAATGGGAGGCAAATGTACAAATGAATGTTCAAAGGATTCAGCTTAAACGGTTTATCTAAAAAGAATTCAAGCGGCCTTTCTCGACTTAGAAGAAAAAAATTTTGTCCTAACTCTATTATTAAACAATTACTTGAATAGTACTTCATTTAATGAACTTAAGAGTCGGTCACTGAGAATTGCGGTTAAAGCTCACAGAATTTCAAGGCTATATGGGTAATTTAGATTCTAGATCTTCATCGAACTCTTGGGAACAACAGCTCGTAGAAGAGATCAGACAGTATGCACAACAGCTCATAGAAGAAATCAGACAGTATGCACAACAGCTCGTAGAAGAGATCAGACAGTATGCACAACAGCCCTCCACTCCATGCGTTGCTAATGCACTTCAACGTTTAAACATTATACGCTCGCAAACAATGATGGGCCGGGGTCACTGGTCTTATAGATGCCAAGGTTCAGGTGAAGCAGTGAAGAATAAGTCTACAAATAAGCTAAATTTTATATGCTATTTAATACTTATATTAAAGTAACGCTAAGGGAACTCAAAGACCGAATTTTCGTGCGCTATAAAACGGATCAAATGAGTGGATAGAAAACGTGCATCTGAACGAGTTACGAAGACTGAGCTTACGATTCTGCTGAAAGGTAATAAGATAAAATTGTACAAGACTTTAAACAAAGAATTCCGAATAGCAACCAAACCGAAGCCAAGTTCTCGAGCATAACAATTAACCTGGGGCTTTCATTCATCAAGGTACGTGATAAGGCAAGTGAGAGCACTTGGCGCCACCACAAATGAACAAAACAACGAGTAATTGTCAATACAACGCAGCCAGCCATCGCAGACTTGACCGAGTTTGGCTCATGAAAATAAATGGACAACATGTAAAGAGGATAATATGCGTGTGCAGAAAGAAGATTTTACATAAACTTAATGTGCATCGTAGTCGCATTCTATTAGAGAATTGACCCTCAGAATGATTCAGTGAACTTTACTTGGGATAAAATACCTACAGTGCAAAATATGGGAGGTTTTACTGAAAAAATAATCTTGTCAATTTTCTCACTTCCCAGGGCCGTAAATTAGAAAAAACTCACGTCCGGGAGAACAACAACGCATATAAATCACGTGTGATTTTGAACGCTCATGCAATATAGTTCAGCACAAGCTGCTCCCAAACATCACCTAGCATGATTTAATCGAAGCAAACAAAGCAGAGTGCCGTCAAAGCTAAACTTGAACGCTTTTGATAAGTGGATGATACATCAGGAAATGTGTAAACATGCGCATTCATATTTTTCGTTGCTTGGATGGGCTACTTACTACTAAAGGAGCAGCAATGTCAGCTACACAATTATTTTCAACTAAATCTAAAGGACAAACTAAAAATAAAAGTAAATGACGACTCAACTACAGGAATGAGCGTAATGTGCAAGAAACGTCTTAATCACCGTTGCTGCAATAACTTGAACTGCCAATAAGAAATTCATGCCACGACGCGGGTACCCACAGACTGCAGTGCTGGTGCACAAGCGAGAGCTTCTCTCAGTGACGGAGTAGATCAATCTACTATTTAATCTCCAAGCAGGTGCTCAATAAATCAGTAGAGAAACTTAGCATAGCGAAGCACGTTGTGTCAGACAGGTTTGTTAGAGAAAAACTATACCTAAAGCAGCATCTATAGTTTCTTAGGCTGATCACGAAAACTCGAGTACAAATTTAGTTATTGTACCACTTAGAATCTTTTTAGATTCCGATTAAGAATCATACCGTTAGACAAGATGAGTTAAATATAAACTTTTATTAGCAAGAAGTATTAGATTACTTGTAATTGAGAGTTTACTAAACTGGCTTACTAAACTAATACCATTAGACGTGCGTGCAGCCTGGCATTGAGGTAGCCTTACCATTGAGAAGAGGAGCGCGATGCCGGCAGAGTAGATGGTGTGCATGATGTTGCTGTACGTGAAGATGGAGATGATGCCGAACACGAAGAGCACCATGCCAGCGACGAACAGGTATGTGCCGCACCCAGTGAAGTCAAACTGAGGGAGTACATTAAATGGAGTCTGAGGGAGTACTACAGTTAAATGGAGTCTAACTGAGGGAGTACACAGTTAAATGGAGTCTAACTGAGAGAGTACACAGTTAAATGGAGTCTAAATGAAGGAGTACAGTTAAATGGAGTCTAACTGAAGGAGTACAGTTAAATAGAGTCATACTGAGCGAATACAATTCCGTGAAGTCAGTTCCACAATGTAGTGGCAGAAGACCTGCATAATTTCTGTAAACAAGGATGACTAATACAAGTATTATTCTGGTTTACCTTTAAAAGTTTCCTTTATTAATATTTTTCAGCAAACAATTATAAGGTATCACATTTTCAAGAGAACAAGAGACAAGGAAGCTACACCTTGGTCTGCATAGCAAAGAGGGAGAACAAGAGACAAGCCACACCTTGGTCTGTATAGCAAAGAGGGAGAACAAAAGACAAGCCACACCTTGGTCTGTATAGCAAAGAGGGGGAACAAGAGACAAGCCACACCTTGGTCTGTATGGCAAAGAGGGGGAACAAGAGACAAGTCACACCTTGGTCTGTATAGCAAAGAGGGAGAACAAGAGGCAAACCACACCTTGGTCTGTATAGCAAAGAGGGAGAACAAGAGACAAGTCACACCTTGGTCTGTATAGCAAAGAGGGAGATGAGGAAGCAGATGACAGCAGTGATGCCGACGGTCATAAGCACAATGTCGGTGTCGTAGGCAGACGAGATGGCCCCAGTAACGTAGCTGAGTGCGAGTGTGAAGATGCTCAGCATGATGAAGTTCCCAGGCCATTTACGACGCAAGCTTGTGCAGCACACCAACGAGATGTATGTCACCAAGAAGACGGCATATGACAGCCACACAACCCACATGTTTTCCCGAACAAAATTTTTCACGCCCGAACTGAGGACAGAAATTATATTATTCACAAGGCTTACTCATTTGCTAAGATTAGTAGCATCAATTCAGCCTATTGCGTTACAAACTCAAGTTTGTGAATGATGGAAAATACGGTCAATGGAGTTTGGTGCTTCACAATCTCCACAACAATGTATATAGGTACATTACAAGAACATGGGTACATTGAAAAATATTCAACCTTGTGAGTACTAAATGAATAATTTAATTGACTATGTGAGTAGCTAGCAATAAAAGTGGAATTTCGAGTGATGATAAACACAGAAAGATTTACAATCAACTGACTTTGTTGCATAACTCACTGAAATGAGAAGAGCGCAATGATGCCCACAGTCACAAGCAATTGCAGCATGAGGATGAGGTAGACCTTGCGGACAAAAGCATGACGGATCGCCTTGTCATTGAAGGAGCCTCCCAGCCCTGAGGCGGCTAGTTCCTCCTCGTCATCTTTGGGGTCGTCACCTCTCCGATTGTACACATTCCCTTGACTTGCGTTGTACATGTTAGGGTCCTGGAAAATGAGAACCAGAATTTAATGCTTGCAATAGGTTTGACTTATCACTACGTTACAGGAAGCTCTCTTAATGAAGTGATTGATGACTTAGGTGACTGACAGCATTTGTCAAAGCAGGGTTAAAACACGGGTGTGATTGATGGTCTCCATCTCCCATACAAACTTCCAAACCACCACTTAATTTAGTCTTTTCTGTTATGTTGCATTTTCATTTCAATTCTTTAATTGTAGCGAGGAATAATTACTATGGAAGTATGGAATAATACAAAAACTAGACCTATGCAAAAAAATAAACATGTTACTACCTAAGAAAACAGTAATTATCAAAATGAAAAATATAACTCACCATTGGTCTTGGAGCAAAACCAAAGCCAGGCATGCCTTGCTGTCCAGGGGCACTTGGGTAGCCTGGCTGGACTGGGTATCCAGGTTGGACTGGGTATCCTGGCTGTACAGGGTATCCTGGCTGCACAGGGTATCCTGTTTGGCCAGGATACCCCTGCTGAGCAGGATACCCTTGTTGACCTGGGTACTGAGCATTTGGATAAGGCTGGGCTGGAGGATAACCTGGCTGAGGGTAGCCACCTTGAGCCCAGGCTCCATTTTTATTTGGATCTACAGGATAAGCAGGAGCTGACATTTTTTTTTTTGCCTACAAAAAATTCCTGCAACAAGAAAAACAATACTTGTGTTAAAGTTTTAGGGGATTAATTCTAAATAATACATGCTTCAGAAATATGAAATATTATATGTTAATGCAAAAAGCAAACTAAGCTATTTTCAGTCTTAGATGATGATCGGCCGAGATACAGACCACTCTTATCTCTAGGGTTAGCAGGTTCTCAAATTCACAATAGTTTAGTGTCAATTACTTTTTCAACCCAATCCTGACTTTGAACCTATGTTGACTTCAAAGAGCTGGTAGAGGACAGATTATCATCACCAAATGTGACATTATCATCAGGTTATTTATTGTTGCAGAGATTTTATTAAACAATTTGTTTATGTGAAATTTGGAATAATGTACCCTCACAATCTCCTTGGTCATGTCATGCATGAGGTAAGTAAAACCATTATTTAGTAATGAATTTATTCCGTTTTTGTCATTGTTTCATTGCTGTTAGCAAGCTTTCTGACATTAGCAAACTGGAAGACAATCAATGAAAACGTAATAAGCACAGAAGTTTATTACAAGAGCAAGGTACTGAAAAGTGGAATTGATAACTAGGTACTTGCAACAGCATACTAACAAGATGCACAATTTCTGAACAAACCTATTATATGATCCTACAGCTGCAAGATTTTATAAAGAAATTATAATTATTCTCAAAATGATCCCATGCTTAACTACCAACCTACTAAATTAGATATTACTGTTTGAAAATTAACAAAGGAATCTCAATTTTTAACAAAGTCCTCATGTTATTGGTAAGCTTCTCTTGTTTCATGCTCAAGAAGATGGAGGCATTCAAACTTCAGAGGCACAAAATGAGCATTCTTCTGCCATTCCATGCACCTTAATCTGTTCAATAAACATTGACGATTGCACAGGGCAAATATCCAAGCTGGCAGCTGATATCAGTGACTAATAAGCCTACATGTATAGCCCCATAAAGCAGGATATGATGACACAGCCACAGCTGCCTGCAGCAGGTGTCATTGAAACTTGATCACCCATACACATTCACATTGAGCTGCAGTGCTGCACTGTGCTAGACATTAGTTTATGTTTCATAGCTATTGTGCAGCTGCACATTTAAACATTTTAAAACAAATATTGCAGCACTGTGGCTGGTATATTTATATATTTTTCAACCAATTTTGGTGCACAGGGAAAATTGAGACAACAGTAAAATAAATTCCCAAGCTTCTACACCATCTTCTTGCCCATAGCTTCCGTTTACTTGCGCAGCTGTTTTCTCTTGAAGAGGTGCCACAAATCAAGAGAAGTAGTAGTACCATAAAATGGGGTTACTTTGACAGGCGGGGTAACTTTGACCACTTTTCGTTTTTTTAACAAAAACCCCCAAAACTCAAAACCGATTTGACATAGAAAATTTTTGTCAATGGCCATCGAAGGCCTAATACTGAGGCTACGTAACACAATAGAAAGATTTAAAAAGTTTGCATATCTAATATAAAAAAGCGTTCCATCTTAAAAAAAACATTCCAGGCAACTAGAAACAGGTTTGCAGGCCGTCAGAAATCGGCTTCGGTTGCGGTAGCTATGATTGTATGAACGTCAAGTCAGGCAACACAGAGAAGGTCCCATGCAAGATTGTTAATTGCGCACGTCACTTACAGATGAGCAAGAGGGATGGATCTACAGAAGGAAATACTATATACTCCCAAAATAATAGTTTCAAATTAAATATAAAAAAAAACATTTATGGCACCCATTCGTTACCTCAGCTTTCAAATTGAGGAGAAACTCATCGGCAGTTGGAGTAACTTCTCAAAGTCAAAGAAAAGGCAATGCACTACAAACAACAAGACACTTCACAGTTGACTGACTAGAATAGACTCAATAGTCAATAGAGTACTCGAAAGTCAAAAATTTAGCATTCAAACCTTTAGATTCTGTGAACCTTGTGATTGCTTCATTATTAAAACTTTAGAAGGCTCACAATATATCATGAAAAGTTTTCACTCAATTATCGTCTCGAAGTTCGGGAGCTTTATCTGCAGTAATGTTTTGTAGGTACCTTACCCACCGATTGCTTAAGGGGAGCGTCTAGGGTAAAATTTATCTTGGCTATTTACAAACGGATCACTCTGAAACTTGGTACACATATGTAAAATAGAATTCTAAGACATTTTTGTTCGTGTGAATTTTTCGAAAAAATGAAAGAAAACATGAAATTCTTAGAAAACGGCCAAAAAAGGGGGTACCGTAGAAATCTATCTCCTCCTAGGATTTTCAAGCTACAACATTAGAGACACATATCATTCGATGTGTAAAGACCATATCTAAAACGCAACATGAGGGTTTTTAGGATTTCTCATTTTTGTGGGTGTGGGAGCATTTTTCATAAATTTTTCGATTTTCCCCCCCACCACCCCCTCTTTTGCGGAATAAAATCCAAACTATAACGAAATTAGAAAAACGCCCGTGTTACATTCTAGTCTGTGACGAGCACTATGAGAGTAAATTTCAGTAAGTGAACAACGAGTTTGTTCCACCCGCTAGTGCGCCCGGTTACAACGTTAGACGCGTTCAAGCGTTGATTGGATTCTTGTTACTGCGATGATGCAAGCTCTGTTTTTTTCAATGAAACAGCTGTGGCATCTTGCAGAGACTCATCAGTAATGATGATGGACTGAAAGTCAATGTGTCCTGGACGTTCCAGATTTTTGGGTCCTGCTTTCCGATTTGCTATGTTTACCAGTTAATATATTACCCCTCTGGATTTCCACACTGGCGGGAAGACATATGTGACCATCAGAGTGGAAATCTAAGATTGGAGGTTCACTTAAAAAAAAGCGTTCTGCCTTGAAAAAAAACATTCCAGGCAAGTGGCAACTAGAAACAGGTTTGCAGGTCGTCAGAAATCGGCCTCGGCATGAACGTTACGTCAGGCAACACAGAGAAAATCCCAATATTGTTAATTGCTGTCTCTTATACACATCTAGATGTGTATAAGAGACAGTCAGTGTTCAGTACAGGCAACGCAGACGTGGGTTTAGCTGGCGTTACTAAGCATCAAATAAGGTTAACAAACGAAACGCCCATTTACCAACGTCCTCGCAGATTTCCCCAGCCTATCGCAGACGAAATAGAGCGCCAATGCAAAGAGTTAAACAGCCTCGATATTATTGAGCCCAGTGNCAATGAATATCTTTGATTCACACCAAGAATTAATAGAAAGTTATTTACCATTTAAATTTAAACACGTCTTTATAGGTACATCACTTACAATAACTTACATGCCCAGCCTGATGCTGGACAGCTGGAGGAAAGATCTAGCTTCTAGCCTACTGGCTACTGCCTATGTAAGGTGCAGAAAAGCAGGCATCAAGATCAGCAAAGTTGGAACTTGCTGCTACAGGCAGGAAGTCCAACTCATAAAAGTACTGACAATACCTAAAAGGTGTCTAAAGAAGGTTCCCTTGATGTTGATGATGCCTGATCCAAGAATCATAACATACACGCCACTGACGCCAGACGGCAGACGGCCGCCAGACGCCACTTGTTCTTCTTGGTCCCCTCACGGCTCACTCCACGACGCCACGTCCCCTGCAGAGTGCAGACTGCAGGCAATGTACCTACATGATGATGTAGGTACTTGACTAACCACAACCAGAGACGCTGAGAGCCGACTTCATGAAAAGTTAAAAAAATCTACGTTGCAATGGGCGAGACGCGAATAAAACATTCAATTTGTAAGGATAATACAGGCGTAGCCCGCGTAGGCCTAGTACGATGAGCAACCCCAGCCAGAATGTATCTGCACAGACTGCACGGTTTCAACCAAACTTCAGGATGTTCCCTAAGATTGTGGCGCAATATTTACCACAGGCAACTGCTGAGTGCAGACTCCAGGCTGACGTCATTGTCAGCACTGCTTTCGGATGTTCCGACTTCCGAGAACATATTTGTATTTGGTGATAAACAGCGACATCTACCGATTAAAATTAGAAACTATACAAAGGTTCATGTTCTCCTTCATGGAATTAATTCATATATGAATGATAATGCTATTGGTAATAATTCCATTTCCAATTTAAGAATCGATCACGCTATATGCTTGGTATCTCAATATGTATTAATAAATTGCATATTCAATTTAAGAATCGATCACTATAGAATATTGATTAAATGTGAACAACTTAAAACAAATATCCCTCATATAGCAAATTCATGCAATTTTAATTTAGGAAGTTTTAGAAGCTTTTTTAGAACAGTTAAAAAAATGAATTAATAATAGTAATAACAAGTTTTAAAAGTTCTCGAATAAATCAGAGTTTACCTCTGAAAATGTTGATAAAAGCAGCCTGTTTAAAAATCCATTCATCAATCTATGAGAAATTCTGATCATCAATCGAGTTATCTTACTGGCATTCTTTGAAAAAAAAAAATTATTCTAAATGAGCTAAATTGATTGTCCGAGTAACAAATTTATAGCATAACCGAGGCAGGAAATTCGAGAATACTGAATACCGAGAGAAAAATGGAGAAGTCCCTTAGTACGTATGACACCGCCGCGTAGTAAGGTTGTGCGAGAGATTATGCGCTTCTTTTACCGGGTCGCAATTCAAGATATTTACTGGGTACTGAACACGACATTTCATGATTTTCCTAAATTTACAGGGTGTTGGAGTCCTTCAAAAATCATTTATTGCTACGTGCTTGTTAAAAGAGATTAAAGGTGAGTAGCTATTTTATACAATCTGATGGATGATGTAATTAAATGTATATTCTTGCTCGAGCACTGTCAGTGTTACTCTTAAAATTTTGCTCTTCAAATCGACAAATGCACTACTCGTATGATAATTTTTGAGGAATCTTTGGCTAAGGTTAAAGAAAGTGTTATAGTTTTTGAGAAATAACTTCAGCTTCAGTTATTAAAAACTTTGGTGCTTTCGTTGCCTGACTCCAGGAATTCATCGAAATGGTCACTATTTATTTTATATCTTTTCCTGTTTTTTTTTTCTATTCGTGTAATACAGAAGATAATATAACCTTGCTATGTAAGGGCCTCCACAGTATTTAAGCTTCATTCGGGTGAATTCCGCGGGCCAATGCCCAGATCGAAATTTACGCGTTTTTTATTTTAGTAATATTCGCCAAACCTGTAGCCTGTAGGGAATGTAAATATGTTCTCTGGCTTGAAACCTTGTTCAATGCTACGTTTAGCGTTTTGGAATTTTTCACTCAACATTATTTCATGCCATCTCGCGTGCCCTCAGGAAGTAGGCTTCTGAGAAGGTCAAGTTATTTTCACGAGCGTGGATCGAAATCAAGTTTGAGGCTCAAGAGAACTATGTAAAAAGGGCCGGCAAACGTTTCATTCGTCGACCTTTTTATTCAATAATTGTACATACATCAAAACACCCGTGCAAATAAATGTATAATTGTGTGCAATTTCTCCATAAATATAAATGAAAATGTATGAACGAAAATATAAATGATATATAAATAATTTCTCCGTAAATATAAATGAAAATGCAAATAAATGAAAATGTCATTAAATATTTTTTACCATTTTGGCGATCGAAAATATTTTAAATAAAGGAAGCTTGTATTACACCTTTTGACATGTTTGACGGTATTTACTGAGATGAAGCGTTGTCTAACTGATGAAAACCAAAGGTGAGAAATTTTGGTACGTTCAGAAGAAGTTTGACATTTTTGAAAGTCTACACTACATAGTTAGCGACTAGCGTTGAAAGCATTTAATAGACTCGGTATGCAAAACTTACGTATTACTAGACAATAAGTTGAACTGTCTTATAAATACTCGATATACTTTTTGGAAAACCTAATAATAAATATATAGTTTATTATAACAAAAAAACAAATTTTCATCTAAAACTGCATTGCACCTAAGGACTTAAAAAATAGAATAGACTTTTTAGCGCATTTCATCATTTATGGAAAAAATGCACTATTGTGCTCGCCATGTCCGTCTTTCCGTCTGTCTGTCTGTCTGTTCGTCCGTCCGTGACCTCAAGTTTTCGTCAACGAGAAAATGCGCTCTGTCACTCACTGCAGTGAGTACTGAGTATATTTTTTTCCGTGATGGATCCTCTTCCTACCCCCATAAATGTAGGTACCTACCACCTGCGTTCTGTCCTAGTCCCGCCCCCCAAGGTTGATATCGACCACTCAGCTGATCTCCGACTTGGAGTAGGTAACCTGATGCTGTCCTTGTCCTTTAACCTCAAATTACTTAATTTAATACCTGATTACAATTGGGCTAGTAGGCGTGACGCGTGTTATCATAATGCATTGGCGCATACGGTTGGTGCTGATTTACAGTTTACTATCGTCTAAAAAAAATTATAACCACAACTTGGAAAAATACAATGGAATCCAACCATGTAACAGTTAGGTCAAGTATTAGCTACGGAATTGGATGGTTTCGTCCAGTTCTAAAATATCATCTGCACTAAATCCTAGGCCCCACAAATGCACTCCAAATTGTCGGACTGACAAAAAGACACCGGCAAAGTGCAAACATTTCTTATAGCTTCCTGATTGATGTCCATCTATTTTTTCTACGTTGTTGGGCAACAATAGCCGATGCATGAACCATTGTGCAGATCCAGAACTTATTATTGTTATTATATTATTCCCCTGTTGCTGCTGCTCAATGTTCCCCACAATGTAGTACGATCATTTAGCTGGTAGACGGCCCCCGGTAGGGGAAGAACTTGTCTCAACTGTTACACTTATCTCCCAGGCTCTGGCGAACTCCCTTATGTCGTTCCCATGTAGAAGGCAGGGGAGGAAGTTTTCATTAAATTCTCCGAGAAACCAAGTGGTCGGAACTGCGTTTTGATTGTGCTCTACTGTGGCTCCGTTCGAGCCTGTCTTGCCTCGCACGTAATTGCTGGAGGTCTGCTGGAAACAATTCAGTCTTAATGCTCTCTGATGTAAATGGACAATTTCATGAGACACAGACGGCCAGCGCTGAAAATTATCATACGTTTTCTCCAGCTACTTAATCATTTAGCTGTCCACGTTCGTTTTAAATTTAGCGCGACATTCATTGCGTTGCTCTCTTTCGTTGGCATACAAACTAGAGATACAAAAAGCTTTTGATTTCACCACTCGTCGAATGAAATTTTTCGGTTGGCTGCAACCCTTTAAGGTTGCTGCGGGGCAACTTAGTTGTGAAGCGATTCGGTTTTTTGTAACTTTTGCTTAGTTCTTCAATGAACCGTTAGATTAAGAATATTGGCAACTTATGTAAAAGCCTTTGAAAAAGGTGCTTCCAAGAACCTGTCTCGGTCGGGATCCGTCGCTATTGTCAGAGAAGCGAACCCATTTCTAAAAGCATGTTGCGTTTCTTGATTATCGTACAATATTGTAAGTCGTGGAATATTCGTAATCATTACGCAATGAAAAATCTTCGCACTCACTTGCAACTCTGCCCCAGCCGGCTGAATTACAGGTATTGTGGAAGAAATGACTGTACAAGACGGTAGTCGTGACATGTTCATATTGATTCGCTGATGACATCAAAGATGCCGGACGGTCCCGAAGATGCTTTATCGGCACGAGAAACCTCCCTATTTTAAGCATCTCTGTCCTGACGTCTTCAGCGCTCGAAATCCATGCAGACCAGCAGTTATGGATACTGCCGGCTGATTGCACTCTGTCCGATTCTCTTGTGGAGATATTGTGCAATGTGCATGCGGCCTATGAGGTGTAGTTCCAGGCGAGGTCACAAGGGCTCACGACATGCACCTCTGCAGTCAACAGTTAACAAAGAAACGATGAAGGCTATGCACTTGTGATTCGATATACTTTTTGGAAAACCTAATAATAAATATATAGTTTATTATAACAAAAAAACAAATTTTCATCTAAAACTGCATTGCACCTAAGGACTTAAAAAATAGAATAGACTTTTTAGCGCATTTCATCATTTATGGAAAAAATGCACTATTGTGCTCGCCATGTCCGTCTTTCCGTCTGTCTGTCTGTCTGTTCGTCCGTCCGTGACCTCAAGTTTTCGTCAACGAGAAAATGCGCTCTGTCACTCACTGCAGTGAGTACTGAGTATATTTTTTTCCGTGATGGATCCTCTTCCTACCCCCATAAATGTAGGTACCTACCACCTGCGTTCTGTCCTAGTCCCGCCCCCCAAGGTTGATATCGACCACTCAGCTGATCTCCGACTTGGAGTTGGTAACCTGACGTTCTCCTTATCCTTTAACCTACAATTACTTAATTTAATACCTGATTACAATTGGGCTAGTAGGCGTGACGCGTGTTATCATAATGCATTGGCGCATACGGTTGGTGCTGATTTACAGTTTACTATCGTCTAAAAAAAATTATAACCACAACTTGGAAAAATACTATGGAATCCAACCATGTAACAGTTAGGTCAAGTATTAGCTACGGAATTGGATGGTTTCGTCCAGTTCTAAAATATCATCTGCACTAAATCCTAGGCCCCACAAATGCACTCCAAATTGTCGGACTGACAAAAAGACACCGGCAAAGTGCAAACATTTCTTATAGCTTCCTGATTGATGTCCATCTATTTTTTCTACGTTGTTGGGCAACAATAGCTGATGCATGAACCATTGTGCAGATCCAGAACTTATTATTGTTATTATATTATTCCCCTGTTGCTGCTGCTCAATGTTCCCCACAATGTAGTACGATCATTTAGCTGGTAGACGGCCCCCGGTAGGGGAAGAACTTGTCTCAACTGTTACTCTTATCTCCCAGGCTCTGGCGAACTCCCTTATGTCGTTCCCATGTAGAAGGCAGGGGAGGAAGTTTTCATTAAATTCTCCGAGAAACCAAGTGGTCGGAACTGCGTTTTGATTGTGCTCTACTGTGGCTCCGTTCGAGCCTGTCTTGCCTCGCACGTAATTGCTGGAGGTCTGCTGGAAACAATTCAGTCTTAATGCTCTCTGATGTAAATGGACAATTTCATGAGACACAGACGGCCAGCGCTGAAAATTATCATACGTTTTCTCCAGCTACTTAATCATTTAGCTGTCCACGTTCGTTTTAAATTTAGCGCGACATTCATTGCGTTGCTCTCTTTCGTTGGCATACAAACTAGAGATACAAAAACCTTTTGATTTAACCACTCGTCGAATGAAATTTTTCGGTTGGCTGCAACCCTTTAAGGTTGCTGCGGGGCAACTTAGTTGTGAAGCGATTCGGTTTTTTGTAACTTTTGCTTAGTTCTTCAATGAACCGTTAGATTAAGAATATTGGCAACTTATGTAAAAGCCTTTGAAAAAGGTGCTTCCAAGAACCTGTCTCGGTCGGGATCCGTCGCTATTGTCAGAGAAGCGAACCCATTTCTAAAAGCATGTTGCGTTTCTTGATTATCGTACAATATTGTAAGTCGTGGAATATTCGTAATCATTACGCAATGAAAAATCTTCGCACTCACTTGCAACTCTGCCCCAGCCGGCTGAATTACAGGTATTGTGGAAGAAATGACTCTGTACAAGACGGTAGTCGTGACATGTTCATATTGATTCGCTGATGACATATCAAAGATGCCGGACGATCCAGAAAATGCTTTATCGGCACGAGAAACGTCCCTATTTTAAGCATCTCTGTCCTGACGTCTTCAGCGCTCGAAATCCATGCAGACCAGCAGTTATGGATACTGCCGGCTGATTGCACTCTGTCCGATTCTCTTGTGGAGATATTGTGCAATGT